CAGTTTTTCTGTTCTATTCTGCAGATACTGCCACACACACTATCCAGACTTATTTTGTCTATTATTGTATTTCTTGTTTACTGAATTTATATACCATTAAAAATGGAAAAATTAAAATAAAATATAATACAAGTAATAAAATATTGGGATCATCAACTAGAGGTGCTAATCTTAATGGGCTTTTTTCTTAGATGAGCATGAAGTAAGACTCCTGAATGCTGCAAGAAATCTGGATGCTCAGGATCTTTATTGTGTCTGACCACTGGAGAAAAATGCTCTCAGTTTGCTCAGATGTAAAATGGGACAGATCATATTTTGAGATGAGCTGCTAAAAGAGGCCAAAGGTTACTTTACAGTCTTCAATTTATATAAGCCTTCAATATCTTGACTATATTACTTTCCCCAATGCTAGGAGTTTGTGAATAATGTAAATGATTGAAATAACCATGTGCACAGCAAATCATAGCATGTCACTGAGACAGAATGAGGGGTTATTGTGGGTGGGCCTCCATATTTTTCCTACCTCCATATTTTTCTCATCTTTGTTTTAAGCATCTCATTTCACACTCCCCAAACTAAACTCTTTATTCCAATTCTGCAAAAATAGGGGAAATCAATGGGTGGAAGAACAAATCTTTGGTATAAGACTTAATCTACAGACAAAAACATTGGAGATGGGTTAACATAAACAACATGCTGGCTTCCTAGATATACAGTCATGTCTTCAGGGACTTACAAAAGACCAACATGATCAAGAACAATCTGATTTCTGGAGGAATGATGTTCCCTGGGTGCCATGACAGAAAAGGTCTCTTCCTGGTCCTGCTAGATCAGGGGTAGACAACCTTGGCTCTTTTATGTTTCTTGGACTTCTGGGAGTTGAAGTCCATGAGTCATAAAAGAGCCAAGGTTGCCTACCCCTGTTCTAGATGATTCTTCAATAGTCAGGACCTGTAGTATGCTTCTCATGCTGGATCTGATGAGATGGATGGATACAATTGGAGCAAGGCAAGGCAATCTCACAAATAATCCCACCTAATGCCATAAAGGGTTTTATAGGTGACCACCAGCACCTTGATTTGAACTTGGGAGCACAACTAGTGCAGGGATAAGGAACCTTGGCGCTTTTATGACTTGTGGACTTCAACTCCCAGAATTCCTGAGTCAGCATTGCTGGTTTAGGAATTCTGGGTATTGAACTCCACAAGTCATAGAAGAGCCAAGGTTCCCTACCCAGACCTAGTGGAAGCTTGTGGAGCACAGGTGTAACCTGCACTCTTAAAGGAGTACCCATAACTGCCCACAGCACAGCATTTTGTAACAGCATCAATTCCGGGTGCGGGTCTTCAAGAACTGCTTCATGTGGTAACCAAGGCATGAATGATTATAAGGAGAACCCCTAATCCACAAAAGATGTCATTGGTGCAGAAGCCAAAGGTGTGCATGCATATAAACAAACTATCCTAGAGAATTCATAGCATTAGTATTTTTCTCCTGGCTCTTTATAGTTGACCTTTCCCATTTATTTTCCCACTGCTTTTTTCCATTTGATTATACTTGACAATTTATAAATTTGTAATGATCCTTCTGCCAGACTCCCCAGGCTTGCTGAGAACCTGCTTGCTGAGGGCACCGAGCCAAATTGGGCAGACAATCATAACCAACAAGCCTACATCCCTTCAGAATCACACCAAACAGGGGGTCAGGATATCATTTCTCCCCAGTCAATAGCAGTGATCATAGTTCCCTCCTCCTTTTTCATCTGCTGTAGCCTTTGCACAACTAATGATGAGTGCTTTTTCTATTAGCCATCTAGCAAAATATTCCTTCAAAAATGTACTTCCTAAACCAAAAAATGGATCCACTAGCAGCGTACAGTATTGAGGGTACAGTATTAGACCGAACAACAGAAGAAAAGAATTTAGGGATGCTCGTAGCAGATAACTGCAAAATGAGTAAACAGTGTGCAAGGCAACTGTGAAGACAAACAAAATTCTGGGGTTGTCACTAGAGAGATCACCAGCAGGAAAGAGGAGGTCCCTGATCCCATTACATAGGGCTTTAATCAGATCCCATTTGGAATGCAATTCTGGAGACCTCACTTAAAAAAAAATATTGATAAAATTGAGTGAGTCCAAAGGCAAACAACAAAAATGTTGCTCATCTTCAGACTCTGGTGCAAGGTCTGTGGGACAAAACATATCAGGAGAGATTGGAGGAACTGAACATGTACAGTCTGGAGAGCAGAAGGGACAGGGAGCAGGGACATGATTGAAACCTTTAAATATATTAAAAGTGTGCATAAGGTTCTAGAAGGCATTATTTTCAATATTAAGCAAATAGCAAGAACATGGGGGTAATAACCTCAAAATGACAAGAGAGAGGTTCTGTGAAGAATTACTTCACAGAAAGAGTAGTGGAAGCTTGGAACTAATTTCCAGCAGAGGTAGTGGGTCAATCATCAGTAACTGAGTTTAAACATGCTTGGGATAAATGCACGTCTATCATCTGGCAAAAATGAAATATAAAATAATAAAATAAAGTAAATAATAAAATAAATAAAATAAAATAAAATAAAATAATAAAATGAATAAATTAAATTAATAGGAAAACACAAACAAACAAACAAAAAACTCAAACAGCAAATGGACCACTGGGTCTTTTTCTGCCGTCAGTTTTCTATGTTTCTATGAATACATGAATCTTTTTAGCTTAGTAAATTACAGCAGGTAATGATGCTGTAGCAATAAACTTGATACTTGATGCTGCTCTAACGTGGTTTGCAACTTCTCAGAAGTTTTTCCCCCCAGATAAAGTGTTTCTTTTCTATCTTACTCTAGGGTATTGGAGAAAGTCTTTCAAATTTCTCTTGTGTTTCTAAATGCATTTTATGTGGACCCTGCCATAGAGCAGGAATAATATTAGGAAGAAGTGTTTCTAAGTTTATTTTATTGTAGGTGGGGGAAGACGGTTTATGTCACACACCATTCAACCACTCAAATCCTGATTGCCACGCTTCCCAGTATGAAAATGGTCTCCATGGATTGGTGATGTGTTCCTTGGGGATCTGCAGTATGGAAAGCCAGAGTGGCTGAAGACCAAAGAGATATATATAAAATGATAGAATGGACAAATCACACTGCCCACCTCCTAACTGAGCAAATGCAAGAGTAGCATATTTTATTTTACTCATAAGAACGTTATCAACATTCTTTCTTGTTCTAAAAAAAAATGAAAGCAAACGTCCCTTCTTCATACTGAATTAGAACTGGTAGAAAAAAAATAGAACCAGTAGAATTCTCTGCATGACACCAGGACACGGTTTATTTTCACTTTATCATAACCGAGTGAGCTTTCCCCAAAGGTCTGAATCCGCATCTGCCTTCCTCAATGGCATTTTGAATGCAGCAACATAGCTGCTCAGACTCCAGGGACTTAGTGAAATGGAAGCTTCCCAGAGACCTTCAGCTACACTTGTTTATTACCAATGCCACTTGTTGAAGAAAAAATAAAAGGGGGGGACAGGATCTTGAGCTTCAGCAGGCCCAGGTATATTGTTCTCTGTGGTGGAAGCCCATCATTCTCCAACCCCCAATCAAAGTACATATTACTTAAGCCCAGAGGTGTTGTTTAGTATGCATGTCTCAAAAAGATCCCTCACTTTTCTTGGCAGTATAAAACACTGTATTAATTCATTCCAAAGAGCACAACTATGGTATTATACAGAGATGATAAAATAAACTTTTCTAGATATGAATTGGCTGTATCATGGAAAAGACAGCTATAAAGAACCACAGCACATAGATCTCTATGCAATGTTTACTACAGTTTCTTCCATATAAGTGTAAATCTGAATTAAAATGAGATTCTTCCAAGAATTGTGTGATTTATAGATTTTTCCTTTTAAGAGCCTCAAAAGAGATCGATGGGCATGGCTAAAAGGGCAATTTCCTGCAATCCTGGCTAAGTGCTTTACCTGTGCTGAAGTGCAAAAAGCTGTGAAAAAAAATAGGGTGTAGCACAGAAATGCACTCCTTATTCCATGAATTGCTAGAGTCATGAGTGGCTTGTTATTCTGAGATTGGTGTAAAGACAGTACTAGTAAACCAACAGATTGGTTTACTTACATACATGCTTTATAAGAGATTCAATATCACAGAATAAAAAATTGATAGTGGCAAACATTGGAACAGCTAATGTTCATTCTATTTTAGAGGAAGAGGAATGTTCATTCTATTTCTATTTTACAGATATGACCACTGAGTCACAAAAATAGAAATTATAGAAGGCAGTGACTATCAAATCCCTCTCTCCAAAATAAAGAGAGTCTGCCTGCAATCACACCTGATTAGACCGCAATGAACTGGGATGGGAAATCTATCCACTTAAAAATCAATTCCTTCTAACCATCAGGTGAATTTGGTGGGGGAAATAGCATTCAGCTGGTGTTTAAAGATCATAAAGAACAAAGTGGGTGTTTTATCCATTAAACATTCAGAACAGCGTCCTGATCATAATCTGTGTGCCTGAAGGACCTCATTCTGCATACCCAACTATGGTCAAAGATTCAAACCCACATGATGTACAGAAAGGGTGGAAAAGACCCAGTCTTGGATCACCTTTATAAGACAGTGACCAGAGAATCCAATGGGTGAGTTAAATTACTATATTCCTGTGGAAGATGTGCAGCTAAAGCTTGAAGGAAAGAGCTAAGGTGCTGGCTGGTCCATCTTAATAGGGAAAGTCTCGCACTACCAAACCCAATCTCGACCTGTTGAATATTCCTAAAAAAACAAACAAACAAAAAAAAAACCCCACAACCACCTAAGAGGTGAATCGCGCTTCCTGCATACCGATCCCGCCCCCCACGCCCCTCGCTGTTCTTTCTTCTTCAATGCCATCGATATCCTACAAGAAGATGCCGAAGAGTCTCGCCCTAGCGGTGCGTTTTTGCCCCCGGCTGCAAGCGAACTCTGCGAACTCTCTCTCTGCCTTTGTACCTTGGTTTTAACTCGCTCCGTCTCCCATTGTGGTCTGAGCGTTCGGATAAGCTGCAGAGACCCCGGCAGGACATTAGTCTCATCCACTGCAATGTTGACACGCCGGACGGCTGGGTAGCCGGAGAAGACGCGCGCGCTCTCCTCCTCCTCCTCCTCCGCTCCCTCCATGCCCCATCGGCAGCTCAGCCACCACGCTGCTGGCTTCAGGTGCAAGGCAGCGCTAGGGAAACGGAAGAGCAGCCTTTCCCACCAGCAACTCCACCCCCCTCAGCAACGAGAGGCTTGCGAGGTCGCCCATGTGGAGGAGATGGGAAGGGGCTGCGAGGGGAGGAGCCAGCCCCGATAGGAATCCATGAGTCACTCTGCCGCCGCCGCCGCCGCCACCGCTACCTCCTCCTCCCACCGCACCCCCAGCAAGCCTTTCTTATTGGAACATCCAGGCTGCCCGGATTGTGATGTCAGAGGGAGGAATCGTTCGCCGCCAGACCACAGCAGCCCCTCAAGAAGCACTTGGAGGGCGAGTGGAGGAACACTAGCCAGGCGAGGAGGTGGAGGATGCCGCCGCCGGCGGAGCCCGCCAAGAAAGTGCTGCTCCCAGCGCTCTTGTTAGCGGACGCCCCCGATTGGCGCTTCCAAGCAAAAGTGGCGCACGCCAACTCGGCTCCCGGGAGTTTCTGGATCTAAGACGCCGGGGGAGGGGTTGGGGAAAGAGCTGCGACGATTAATTACCGACGAGGGAAAAAGTGTCCACCCGGATGTGTGCTTTTCGGGCTGCAGTCTCTGGCTTGTGTTCGCAGCAGGTTGCTCTGAGCCACAAACAAGCCAACTGCCTCGTAGCCTAGCTTGACGTGCGAACCCTGCTGGCGTGGTTAGGTTAGGGTTCAGGGAATGGCGCAAATTCAGAACATTGAGTTCAATGAATATTCATTTAACCATGGATTGGAATATCAGGTGAGCAACTTCCACACAAATATATATATATATATACTTAAGTGTCAGGCAGCTAAGTGGTTTGTGAGCGACAAGCAAGAATTCAACAGGGATTCAACTGCATGTAGGTGCAGGTGGAGATTATCAGACTAATTTTTAGCTGTCATGCAATTAAAGGCAAAGCATGCCAAGCTTGTTGAGAGGAATTCCCAGTCCTGATTCAAATAAATATTATGTAACGGTTAGTGTGTCAAACCAAGATCATTTTCACACCTGATCCTAACTCCAGCACAGCATGCTTTTCCTCCTCCCTCCCATACCTAAACTTTAAATTATTCCTTAGCTGTGTTAGTGGTTAAAAGTGTGACACAGGTTCTGCCATGGATACAATCTGATATGCTTCACTGACCATTTTGTTTATAGAACAATTACCGTAGGATGAAAACGGTCTGGTAACATGCTCACTTTTAGCGAATGCAGGCATGCCTCTCGCCCCTTTCTCCCTGGGCAGGGTCTTCCACAGTCATTCATAGGACAGTAGTCCCAAAGGTGCTTTTTCAGGAGGCAACTGGACTTTCTTGTTTTTCTTTGAAGACTTTTCGCTTCTCACCCAAGAAGCTTCTTCAGCTCTGACTAAATGGTGGGGAATGGAAGGATTTATATTTCTTGCAGACAGCTGGTCGTTTGCATTCTTTTAGAGCAGGGGTGTCAAACTGCTGGTCCACGGGCTGGATGCGTCACCAGGAAACCGTGCCCACCCCATTGCCGCCAATGGGGAAAAAGGTCGGATACGTCGCATGATGTCACGTGACGTCGCAAGTTTGACATGTCTGTTTTAGAGGGTCCTGGGGTCATCTGGAGGATTATCTGTGTCCTCAGGGTCACCTGAGTAGTGCAAAGAAAAACAAAGCCAGTTGCCTCCTGAAATAGCACCTTTGGGACAACCATGACCTGTATGACTGAGAATCTCATAGGACAGTAGGAAATCTGATTGCTTCAAACCGGGTTTTTCCTCTATGCTCAGCTTGGAGACTTGGAGCACCCTGGAAAGGTCATATGAACCCAGGTCATTGCAACTTTTTGTAAATCTGTGCCAAATCTTGCTAAGTGCATTAATTGTTATGTGACCATGTGGACGCTGCAACAGTCATAAGTAAGGATCAGTCTTAAGTCACTTTTTTCAAAGATATTATAACTCGGTCATTAAACAAATGGTCATAAGTCAAGGACTACCTCTATTGCATTTGTTCTTTGTGAAGGGAAAGAGGACAGTCCTGGATCCACAAAAACAATTCTGTCAAGCCCATTCCTCCTACACGAGGGGTATCAAACTCACAGCGTCACGTGATGTGTTGTGACATAGCGTGACTTTTTTTCCATTGCCAGCAATGGGGTGGGTGTGGTTTCACTATGATGCATCCAGCCTGCGAGCCGGCAGTTTGACACCCCTGCCCTACACAAAAAAGAAAAATTAATAGTATCCCATCATTTCAACCATAAAATAGTTACAGAGATAAATCTTGTCAGTTTTGCTCTAGCTCTGTTGCTGTGGGTTACAATATGAGTGAAGACAATGGTACGATTTACAGTCAAAACACTCCAGATCAATCCTAGCTGTATTTTGAAGTAGAATTATTTGGATGGTGTATATTTGTAGGGCATAATAAATACGTTAGTGGCTGCTGAGCCATCTTTTTCCTTAAAAGACCTATAGATAAAATCGTACTTAAGCTGAATTTGGGGAGATGCAATAAAGCAAGATTTCTTGTCAGTGGGAAAAGAGATGTGATTCATAATTTTACAATAGAAATCTGAGATGTCAGATCTTTTTTTACAAAAGGTAGAAATAATTTCAGCTGCTAAATATAAACAATACGTGGAATTACATAGATCAGGAAACTATTTTGGAGTGGTGAAAAGTGTCCTAAAGGTAAGTGACCTATGTCAACAGTAATGTAGCAGCACGTGGTCCTATTATTGATGGTCAATGTTTTCAATTATGTAAACTGCAATTGAAATAGTTCAGTTTTTTGAAAGCTCCCATTTTCAGTGGATTGAAACCTAGTAGTTTTCAGAAGCAACAGAAGATGTGCTTAATGTGTGTCTTTTGGTCTGTATCACTTGGAGGAGTGAGCAGGAAAAATTCCCATGACTGAATCTATGACCATAGAAAACAGACACATTAAAAATTTCAACAAGTGACCTATTAAAGAATACCTTGGTCTAGATGCCTTACTCTGCAAATGGTTATTCATGTTCATATAATAAATCTAATAAATATAAATGCATTCTGAAGTTTGCCATAAGTACTCAGTTTCAAAGGTGGCCATCATGTTAGTCTTCCTCAGTATAATGAATTCTGTTATTCGTTTATTTAAATAACAATTATGCCAGAATGTATCTGTATTTTTATCATCAGATGCAGATGCCTATTCCTTTTTCATTCTGTAGTTTGGTTGTCCTTATTTTGATGATCTATCAATAGCCACCTTCTTTAAAATCCTCTTCTCTGTCCAGCATGTTAATTTTCCATATAACAGGGATCTTATTTGTTTGTAGAGAAATATAATGGGTGAACATCACCTGCATTTAAAGAGGAAATGGCAAGAAGCTGGTTATCCTCAACAGTTTTTTGTGGGAACAAGATTCAATATATTGTAACCACTAAAACTTTAGTAAGGAAAATGTTAACATATTGCAAAAAAAAAATACTTTGAAGTAAATTTCGCTTAACAGTATGTGATTTTCTACAGAGGAGAGAAAAAAAATCTCCTTTCCTAAATATCCAGCTAACTAACTCAAACTCAATTAATTGAATAAGTGTCATCAAGCTGCAGGGAGTGATTTCCCCCCTCCCTTTTTAAAATGGAATGAGTCTAATAACTTTAATTAAAACTGCTATAATTGTCCTATTTTCTTTGTGGGGCTCAGTTTGCTTAATTGCCTTGTTGGGAATAGTGTAAATTGTTAATAACTCTTGGTTGAAGGTCACTAGTGGCTTCCTTCCAAAATCATCTCTATGTCATACACATTGGCAGACAGGAAATTGTCCTGTCACTTATTGGTAGAGGTGATAATGGATGGTTTAGGTGATAGAAATACTCAGCAGTGATTTAATTCTGGAGAATTACATCCTACCATATTTGGGGTGTAAAATCTGGTTTGTTGGTTTGGACTTAATCAAAGCCAGCTAAACCCCTCCAACCTGAGATCATCATTATTTAAAGGCAGGTATGTGCATAGCAGCAAGATAGCTGCTTATAGAATAATATCTAAGAGATTCTTGGATGGGAAGATGAACAAGAACTATTGGAAAAGCCATTCTATATTTCTATTACTAAATAATTGAACTTTTATTCCAGGGAACAAGAGAGAGGCAGCTTTTCCTCTCAAACTGATGGAAGGAATTCCTTTAAATCTGCAAACTGAGTTTGGTTGATGGGCATTGCAGACTATGTGACCTGTCAAATGGCCATTATTAATTTGAACATAACCGACTTTCCACTATAACAGCAAAACTGATTCCGCGGAGGAAGCCCCTGTGAATGTGATTAAATCTGTGCTGATCATATATCTTTTCCCAGGGATTTGGGGACATTTCTGGTTGTAAAAGGACAGTATAAGATTGCAAGACTGAAGTCCCCATTCACTGAGGGAAAGGTTAAATTTAAATATAAAAATACTAAAATCTTTTCCTCCATGAGGCAAGGAAAGTGGAATGAGGCATATTCAGCGTAAAACTACCAAAAAACAAAGATAAAAGATCTTCACAAAAGTCTTCTGTTTCTTTTTTATAGATAGATATTTTTTATTAAATTAAAAAATATTAAAATAAAGCTTGAGATAAAAAGGAGTGATACATGTTGAAACATCATGTGACTGCATATAGAGCACAGTTTATGGAGGACAGTGTTTCATTTGAGGATATCCAAGTTAAAGATAAGCACAAAATTAAAGAGTATGTAAATTGTTAGGAACTGTTCATAAATATATGTAAGTCTGTATATGCATCTTTGCCTGTACTTGCAGAGATGTGGATATAGGGTAAAATGTCATTCTGAGAACATATGGGTACACTTATAGCACTGTTGAGAACACCTTAAACTAAACTCATCTTGTTCCAGGATTGTGTGGCTTTTTTTGGTCCCAGGAAAAGGCAAAGCTGCTTCAAGAGATTCCTATCAAGTGTTAAGCCTGGATTCATATGTTCATTGAATCACATTTTGCCCTTTGAATCCAGACTGCTGCTCATTCCTGAGGGATAGAAAGCACACATGCATATATTATGCAAATCTGTATGCTCTTTTTTAGTTATACAGAAATGACCCAACCTAAAACTAGTGGAAAACATTTCAGTTTTCAAAGTAATGGATTTTTCAATCTGTAACAAAAAAAGTGAAAAATTGTAGCATTTTGAAGAATAATAAAATTATTGTGAAAAGCACTCTTTTTTGCTTCATGCTGCCTTAAGCAGTACTATTTTCAGGAAGATAAAATCTCTCGGTGATTATCCGGTTTATATACAAGTAACAATTACGCCACATTTCATGCATTGCAATACATTTTTCTTTTCCTATAATACTATCTTTCTGAAGAAAAAGGTCACAAAGTGGGAAAAAGCCCATTTAATGTTATGATCAGAATATAGGCAGAACCAAAAGATTTTAGTTCTCTTCAGTAGGAGGATGAAGTTTCACTCTGGAGTCTCTGCAGGACACTTCTAACAAAATGAAGAGAGACATCACAGGCAGGTGACATCTGTATCCTAAACCATCTTCTTCATACAGGGCTAATATTTGAAAATTAGTTTGATACTAATCCATGCCATGATGACATTGCAAAATGATTCATCCAGCAGATGAAGCTAAGCAAAGATAAGTTTAAATGCAAAATAAACTGAAAAGTCCTTTGTAATTAAGAAAGAAATGATTCAAAATGTTACAACTAAAGGACACAAATGTTTACTGTATAATAGAATCTGTTATCAAGCTATTCTCTTTCAAAGTTCAATCTTTCAAAAGTGAGCATCTTCCAAAATGGGACTTGTCAGAACGATGTAGCAAAACCGATCCGATTGTTCTGCCGGTCAAATTCAGTGTAGTACTGCTTAATAAAAGTTGCACCCAGAAGCCAGAGAGGGCCGAAAGGAGGAGGAATGTCAATAGCCGAGAATGCCAAAGTGCAGAGCTCTTTCCCATATTTTGAATGCTGCAGAAAAAACAATGCAACCAAAAGGAAGTAAATCAGCAAGATGCCTGAGTAATGCCTGACTAATGCAGTATCATGATCTGCTTCCCGATGGCTGTTACACCTTTGATTTAATCACCAGCTCTCAAAAATCCCTCCAAAATTTGTTTTTTTACACCTTTCACTTTCCAAGTTTTATCTAAACGTTGTTCACCCATATTTGTTCCTGGCTCCAGATCTTACCTTGAGAACATAGGTAGAACTGCTGAGTGGGTAGGTCATATCTCCAAGATGGAAGGAAATATCAGGCAGCAAATGAATTTTTTTACATTCAATGACATACTGTGAGAGAATAAAGGAAATATAGGACAGAAAGTCTTAATTCCTATGTTATAAGTCACAGTGCTTCAAGTAATAGGAAAAGGCCTTATGTCAGCTTTTCCCAGTTTTTCCCATCACTATCGAGAAGTTATCAAGATGGGGAACCACCTAAAAATATTTTTTCCAATTCCTATGGGAATCTCTCCTTCCTATCCAGATTTTAATTTAGATTTCTCTTAAGCAACTTTGCTTTACACTTTTGAGTAAACCAATGAAGTTTTTTTTTCCCAAAAAGGGAAAAATGCTAAAATTGGACACTTGAAAATTTAAACACTAAGGAACCTGGACATTACATGAAAAAGACTGGAAATCAAATGCGTTTCATATCTCATTGCTGTTTTTTTTAAATTCCTTTTTCCCATGATTAGAACAGAGGACAAAGTTTTAGAAAGTTATGCTCGGATTTCTTACATCTTCTTCTTCTACCAAAGTAGCTCCTATGGTTTTCATCAGAACAGATATTGAACTGGCTGGTCCAGAGACAAAGGAAGAGCCGGTATCTATAGCTGCTGTGCATCCTTCATGACAAATTACTATATTATTTTCTATAGAAACACTGCAGAGAAAGCAAAAGAGTGTTCAGACATTCCTGTACTTTTGAAGAATAAGCCTCATATATGTCAAAATGAAAAAAAACTGGCATTCAAAGTCTTGAATTCCTCTGAACTGCATATCACAATAGTTTGTAAGAGGAACTTATTGTTAGCATCTCATAAAAGACAGTCACCTTGGGAAAAGCTGACTTCCAAAATGCAATTAATGTTTCATATCTTTAGTTGACTCCCCCTTTGGGTCTTGATTTTATTATTTTGACATTACACAGAACCTACCCCTTAAGATCAACCTGCCAGTAGCCTTCTCTGCTAATACTGACATAGTGAAAATCTCCAGTGTAGTAAGAGGGATCACTGCCACCCAGGATAATCTCTCCTCCAGTGTTCAACTGTGAGTTTCTAGGCCAAAGAAAAAAAATCACAAAACAGTCATTTTATTATTGCTCACTTTTGTGCACAAGGTTTAATGAGCTTTGTTGCTAAAAACCTATGAAGGAGAGCCATTTTGCTTTTAAGCCAGGATTTCTGAAGCAATCAGTATTTCCAACAAAAATACTCAAGCTAATCCTGAAAAGGTATTCCTTTTGCAAAGCAGTCGTATTCTCTGGCGAAAGCCAAGGACTCTGTGAGCCCCCATTCAAATATTAAAAGAAGCTTCAGACACTGGTATTTAGGCAACACTCTAGGATTGAATATTAGTGAACTTTGGGACAAGTTAAGGGACACATCCAAGTGTTGTCTTCAAAAAATATCAAGCATATCTATGCATAGGACATTTTCTGAAAAAATAATTACTCTCTGACAATGAACCTAAAGCACAATCAAATTATGCATTGATCCCAGTAATTTGAAGTGTGGGTTTTATATTCCTTAACAAAACTGACCTGCTATAGTAGACAGAGAAGACCTTTTCTGACAAGACCCTTTCGGATATTATCTTGTCAAAAACTGGGATAACCCCATCAATGGCCTGCTTGGGGTAGCCCATACCAAGCACTCCATCAAAGTGAGCATACATGAAAGGGTTGAAAGGTAGTGCTATAGCTTCTGCGAAGAGTTGGATGATGGGAATATCAGCAACCTAGAGAAAAGTACACACAAAGGAACAAACTGCTGTGGAACAATGAGTTGAATAAAAATAACTCGTAATTCTTTCTTTATCTTTGTCCCCCCCCACCTCACTCACAGACACCCACATATACTTTTGTGTACAGTTAAGTCATTTTTGCATCAATCCCAGTAATTGTTCAAGTCACTAAGGGACCTGTCGTTATCTTTTAGTGCCATGTTTTATTAAAACTGCATTTTTGTACATGCTGGCCTGGCATTATGTGAGTAAATGTAAATGGATTGCTACTTATATGATTTTCTCCTTTTTGCATCACCATAGATCTAGCTCTATTACAGCCTGATGCTATAACTGGCTGGATATTCTTAGACGTATGCCTCTTTATATATTTACTGTGGTAGCAATGCATTTGCCTGTATTCAACCTGTATGTTCCTTTAAAAAAAAAAGAATAATTGTAAAAGTTCCAGTGATTTCTTTTCAGTGATAAGTGAGTCTGGCATCCCACAGGTCTTGCACAGTACAAATGGGATGAATGTGGTCAAAGTGCCACAGTACAAACAATTGAGAGCCTCCTTATTTGTAGCCCCCTGGTCCAATTTTCAAGGCCCGTGAATAACCTGCATTTGCCAGACAGTAGGAAAGCACTTTCTCTGTTTTCTTCCTTCAGGAGTTCAAATGATTATCATCCTCTTAGCACTTACTCTGACAATGTCCTGGCTAAGGAAACCCTTAACATATCCTTGGGCATATAGTAAGACAATTTCAGTTCCATTTTGCTTGTATGTACTTGATTCAGAGGAATCATAACGATTGTGTGCGACTGAAAGAAAGAAAGAATATTAATATGTAGAACATTAATTCAGGCATTAGGAACAAGTGTCTTAAATGTCAACCTCATTTACTGGCAAAGAAGTAAGAATCATATAGATTTCAGAAAGGCATACTGTACAATATTTAAACAGGTAAACACATAAACTTACAAACTACAACAGTAAATCTTCAGGCAAACATAATGCAATTAAGGTAAAATCCCTCTCAAACATTTCTTCCCTATAGCATTGCTAGCTGGAGAATTTTGGGAGTTGAAGTCCACACATCGTAAAGTTGCCAAGGTTGAGAAACACTGCATACTATCACATGCATGACAATTGAGAATGGGATCCTTCCCTTTGTGGGTTTATCCACATATCTTTGAAGATGCCCCACTTACCTTGTGCAGAGAGGATATCCTTATGGTGGAGCCTTCATCTCATTGCCAACCCACTGCTCAGGCAAGGTGAAAGTGCATCCAGACAGTGTGGTAGAAAAGTGGGGTTTTCCATGGGAAAACAAGGAAATTCGCTTACATGTCATGAAAGTGTTGTCTTTGTAGGATTGGTGACATGCTAGGTTACAATTGGGTCACTGTGGGTCTATCTAAACCATTCCAGCTGCAGGATTCAGTGTCTTTATAGTCATTTCTGCTTTGGCTGCCTGAGAAAAGGACTTCCCTTACAACTTATTTTGCCTTGGTCATATTGACATAAGGACTAGGGGAGACATGATAGCAGTGTTCCACTATTTGAGGGATTTCTACAGAGACGAGGGGGTCAAACTATTTTCCAAAGCACCAGAAGGCAAGACAAGAAACAATGGATGGAAACTAACCAAGGAGAGAAGGAACCTATAACTAAAGAGAAATTTCCAAACGGTGACAGCAATCAACCAATGGAATGGCTTGCCTTCAGAAGTTGTGGGTGCTCCATCACTGGAGGCTTTCAATAAGAGATTGGAATGACATAGGGTCTCCTGCTCGAGCAGGTGATTGGAAGAAGACGTTCAAAGTTCCTCCCATTTCTGTTATTCTGTAAGATCCTATGACTTCATGGGGGACGTCTCCAACTTCCTGGGAACTATACAGACTTTCGCTTATATTTTTAAAACAGAATTAAGTTAACCAGCCCAGCCCTGAGTTTCTGTGTAAAGCCACTAGTATGGAAAGATTTTCCTGCCCACTAGACCTGCAGCCACAGATCGAGTATTGTAATCTGGTGATCTAAAAAGATATAAATGGGTAGAGGGTGCAGGGTTTTTTTTTCCATTTGAGGCGTTGCGGCCCTGGTTTACAAAAGGGTAGGGAAAACTTAAGTTTTTAACAACATTAAAAACTAAACACTAAAACTAAAAAGGATTGTTTTCTCCAACACACCTGAAAGAAATTCATCAATGGTTTCCTTGAAAGGTTTGCTATGGATTTCAATAGCAGCAGCAGGAGCAGAAGCTAACTGTAGCTCTATTTATTAACCTCTTCTGAGACATACTAAAGGTAGGCTGTAGAGCCATGGGTTTTCTGGAAAATGTACTTTCTTCCCATCTCAAGGACAGGAGAAAATGCATAATTGAAGCTGTATGGAACAGCCCTGAGGATGGAGAAATAGAGTCTCACTCCTCACACAAAGCTTTTTCACATGAACCAAGCTTCCGTTGACCCATTGCAGAAGCTCCACAGTGGTTGCTTTGCTATCATTGTTCTGAGAAGAATTCTCTAGAGAGATCTCCAAAATCAAGTTTTATTTTCCATTGAAGTACATGGGAAATGAAGATAAACAAACCAATGGGAAAGGAGGGGAAGATAAAATGTCTCACTTTTTAAGCAGCTGGGTAGATTAATCAATGACCAGCTGAGTTGACTGCTTAAGCAATATTTTATTCAAGCTAAGTGTAGGATTCTTTCTTTCTTTGAATTCAGTGCTCCGTGTTGTATAGCATATACTATATTGGTCGCAATATAATTTAGTGCAGGGATGTCAAACTGCCGGCCCATGGGCCAGATGCATCATAGCAAAACTGCACCCACCCCATTGCTGGCAGTGGCAAAAAAGTCACAATACGTCATGACAGGTCACATGACATTGCGAGTTTGACACCCCTGATTTAGTGTTATAGTTTACTGTTACCTAAACTAGGTAGCATCATCAGTGCTCATACTTTGCTCATGCAGCACTGATGGTATTACTTATTTTAAAACTGAAACATCAGCAAAATAACAACCAAGCACTGACTCAGACATCCCCTAAACACCGCTGAAGATGTTAGCTAGCCTGGCAACAAAATGTTCAGATAAGGGGCTGGGAGGTGGTAATCCTGCCTTAAACATGAAAGTCAGATTGAGCCAATCTCTCTCTCAGCCCATCCCTTTAACAGGGTTATTGTTGTGGAGAAAACAGGAGGAGCATCACGCATCAAAGCACCACTAGATATTGTAAATTTAATTATATTAATGATTTAGTACTCATTTTTTCTATATTAACATTAACATCCAAAATCATGTGTCATATCATTCAGTGCTACCTTTTAAATTGTTTTTTTTCTATTTTTTAATACACTAAAATATCAGGTAACTTATTATTCATAACCCGTCATTAATTTAGCACACAGTACCACTCATGGCTGCATGCTAGTAATTGTCCAAGAATCTTATGTGCAAATGATAAGAAAAGTCAATGTTAGGATGTCAGTGTATTGTGATAGGAATAAAAATACCAGTTGTGTAATTTTGTTCTGCATGCATAATGGCAAAATGCCTCAGGGTAGAAATCCTCATATGCGGTTGTATCCAAAACTTACCACAGGCACTGTACAATGGGGAGCACTGGTGGGATGGCACCCAAAGATTAGCTGATCCTGTGTCAAAGACAACCTTGAAGATCTGGGCTGGTGTTCCAATACTTATCTCACCATAATATTGCATCTGAAAGGCAGATCATAACAAAGAGCAGAACAACATTTTTGTTAGAGAAAAAAAACCATAATTCATCCCATCAATATCTGTATAAAATGTTTGACTAGTTTTATTTGCTGACTGCTTTCTTTCGGAACATATAACACACTTACATCACGGAAGTTTGTTAGTATGGTAGGTGCTGTTTTGTTATGAAGCCCTTCATCAAGGTAGGAGATATGGTGCTTCAAAGAAGGAAGGTCATCTGCCACTTTCATGCCCATCTCTTGCAGTGTTTCGCGGATTGAGGGCATTTTTTTGAGTGAAATTCTGACAGGTAGAAAAAAGACCATTGTGTAAACTGGAAGGTGAATCAGATACAGTCACATTTGCAATATATGCAGAAGTCAACAAACACAACTGACAAGTTACTGCCAAGACCAATAGAGAAAGCCTTCAGCATATAATGATTTATTTTAATAAATAATATGGAAGAGATAAGGCCTTGTTTTGGAATGCAAAATGGCAAACATGCAACGCTAAGAAAAAGTGAGTGCTGCTTCTGAAGCCCTTTTGGGAGACTGAATCCAAAACACTGAACTGTCAGAACAACCTTCAAGGTTCCTTCCAACATTATTATTATTATTATTGTTATTATTATTATTATTGATCATCGCACAGTCAGCCAGATGTTCAACTGGATTTGGCATTTTGTCTACCTAGCGAGTCCTTACCCAGGACCTGGGATAGGCAGATGTGGATGTTTCCATCGTCGCAGGATGGAAGCAGTTCCTAGTAAGGCCACCTTTTGCAATTGACTAATAGCGAATTTGTCAATGCCAATGGTGTTCAAGTGGTGCTCCAATTGTTTTGGGATTGCACCCAAGGCGCCTATGACTATTGGTACTACCCTTGCTTGCTTTTGCTACAGTCTTTCTATTTCTATTTGTAGGTCTTTGTATTTTGTTATCTTCTCCAGGTCTTTCTCTTCTATTCTGCTATCTCCAGGCACTGCCACATCCACTATCCAGACTTTTTTGTCTTTCTTATCGACAATTGTTAAGTCTGGGGTGTTATGTTGCAGGTGCTTGTCTGTTTGAATTCTGAAGTCCCAGAGCAGTTTAATTTTATCATTTTCTATGACTTTCTCTATTTTATGATCCCAGCAGTTTTTGCTTACAGGCAAATGATATTTTTTGCAGATCTTCCAATGCACCATTGTTGCTACTTTGTCATGCCGCTGCTTGTAATCAGTCTGTGCAATCTTCTTGCAACAGCTTACCAAGTGGTCCACTGTTTCTTCAGCTTTTTTGCATAGGCGGCACTTACTGTCTGTTGCTGTCTTCTCAATTTTGACTTTGTATGCATTTGTCCTTAAGGCTTGGTCTTGTGCAGCCAGAATTAGTCCCTCGGTCTCTTTCTTCAATTTTCCTGCTCTTAGCCATTGCCAGGTCTTGTTATTATCTGCTTTCCCTGCTATTTTTTTAATTTGGCCACTTCTCTCTACCAGAAACAAAAAGTATCCCCTCCCAAAAAAAGGGGGGGTGTCTGTGAGTCTTGGGAAGATGTATTGTTGAAAATGAGAGGTCCTTGGTACTCTCTGAGCTTGGTTGTATTTTGGCAGAAGTTTCATTACCTAAACTAGGTAGCAAAATCAGTGCTCAAACTGTGCTCATGCAGCACTGATGGTGTTACCTATTTTAAGTAATGAAACATCTGCAAGATAACAACCAAGGTCTGACACAGACATCCTCTAAACGCTGCTGAAGATGTTACCCAGACTGGCAACAAAACATTTGGAAACCAACCCACAAGCTTGGAAAATGAACCTTCACCCTCATCCTACACCCGAGCTACAGATATTCACCACTATTGCATAACAACCAAGCTCAGAGAGTACCAAGGACCCCTCATTTTCAACAATACATCTTCCCAAGACTCACAGACCAATTCCACCCAAACTTTTTTGTTTGTTTGAAGTGGCACTTTCTGTTTCTGGTAGAGAAGTGGCAAAAAAATAGAATCTCAGCATAATCCTGCACTGAATAACTTCAACCCTCTTCAGAGCACAATGAATCTCTGTAATAAAACCAATGGGTGTACTCAGCAGTTAGAGCTCCCAGTTATCGAAATATGTTTTATTCTTTCTTTCCTTGGTGTCTCCTCACCTTGACATTTTCTTTTTTTGCAGAGAGACATTGGGGAGAAAGGTATCAATATCTGGGGAAAAAAGTCTACTCCAGATTCTGAGCTACTAATGAGCTTTTTTGGAGGAGTTAATTCAGTTTAGGTTTCTTATTAATCTGTCCAAAATAGCCCAATTTAATTCTGGACTTGATGAAATTCAGTTGCATCCCCAAAGGCTAGGATTTGAAAGGCAGACAGGTAGATAGAACTGCTCAACAAAGTCTATTCCAAAGGTGAATAGAGTAAATTAATAGAGAGAATTAATTATATGCCTATTGAGGTTTTGTCTGTGGAATGTGGCCTTCTGTTTTCTCTTTTTTGCCTGCTTTTCTACAACAGCCTTCTCCCCCATTATCTGTTTAATACATTTTGTTGTAACCCCTCCACCCTGCTTCCCACAGTCAGATTAATGGGATGTATAGTTGCGGCTACCCTGCTACAGTATGTGAACCAGCTTTTTTGCAACTAGCTGACACACAGCCTGAAGCTGGCTTGGTTTGATACATACCAATGTGTGACCCCAGATGGCAGCAGATACTTGCAGTGAATTGGCAATGCAGTAATTTTAAGCTTTTCTGTTTTGAAAGAATATTTCATTTGATTTTTATCTTATATTATTGATGTGTTATCTGGTTGTTACATTGGTCAATTACTAGGTGATATACTAAAAAGACATAGTCTTACCTTTGGAAGGCATCACTGGAAAAACACAAAAAGCAAGAGATAAGCAGAACAAACTCCCAACACCGCAGCATTATTCTGTTGGTTTTGGTATGGATGCTGTTTTTCTGAGCTGCTTTTTCTTGTCTTGTGTGAAAAAGGAAACCAGTTCTAGTAGGCTTTTATAGCCAAACATAGCCAGTTTTACTTTCTGCTGAGTTTTGATTGGTAAGAAACCAGTAGTAAATCTTGCCCATTGGTAGAGGGAGGACACCTTTGAGGTACTAGCTTTGACCTTGTTTCCTAGTAAAGGTCAGTTTGGTCAACACACATAAATATTTGTGTCCACTCAATCTTTTTTATGTGTACCATTAACTCAATGTATGAGACCCAGTGAGGCAAACTGAGAACTCTTTTTTACGAACCTTAAGTTTTAAAATATCTTCGTAGTAAGTCAACCTTATCCTTTTAATATAATGTTCTTGGGAAAAAATAAAACCTCCTTGCTACAACTATAATTCTAAATATAGATTCTATTAGATTTGTTTCTTATGGAGGCTTATTTATTTATTTGATTTTTATCCTCCTTTATTACTTTATAAGTAACTCAAGGTAGCAAATATACCTAATACTCTTTCCTTCTCCTGCTAAATGGGTTGGGCTGAGAGAATGACTGATCCAAAGTCACCTAACTGCTTTTCATGCCTAAGGTGGGACTAGAACCCACAGTCTCCTGCTTTCTAGGTTGGTAAGAACCTAGAAAGGATTGCCATGAGTTGTAGTATATGAGCAAGAATCTTTGCCCAGAGGAATTGTTTTGGCTACATTAAGCAAAAGCTACAACCAGAATGGATTTCATCTTATCACTCATCCTCAGTTGGACTAGGTCATATTTTTATCTCAAAAAGAATCTTAAAGTTTTCTAATATTGGCTGTCTTATAAAGATTATATAGGAAAAAAATGGGTTAGTTTTGGATTTGGTAATCTTTCCTGAATATTTGTGATGCAGCAAAAAGCAAGCAAACAAACAAAAAAAAACACGAAAGAAAAAGGCTGGTTTATGCATTAGGTAGAATGAGGCACCTTTGAAATGCTTCAGAGCATAGATATTGTCATAGAACAGAAGTGATATATTGGAAAATGGAGGCCATTCCTTAATCTAGCTTGTTCCCCATATCTGAAGGTGAGGACTCTTCCAGGATTCAAGTAATACTCAACAGTCTACATGGTACTATTTTGTGCCAGCTCTGTTTATAATTGTATAGCTTATATAAAGGCCATTCCATATAGGAAAGGGAGAGAAGATAACGCTTAATTTCATCTGTTGAGACAAACATTTACTATGCAGCTCCATAGAACACAAAATGTAGAATTTGGCATGATATGATGTACCTTCTTCTATTAAGAAGATATGTAACTATTTTTTAATATTCAAATATCCAAGAATCATAATTACAAGTTACCGAATACATGAATTAAGTTTATAGTTTTCATTCAGACTAAGCTATTTGATTATGTAAAACTGTAATTGCACCCATCCTGGTCCTATTAGATCTCTCTGCAGCATTTGGTACCATTTATATCTTTTTAGATCACCAGCAAAGGATAGGAGTTGGGAGCATCTTTTCTCAATAGTTTCTTTCCAAGTATGTGCCTGCTAATACATTTGCCCCCCTATCATTCTTATCCAGCATAATGATGTGGAGCATTTAAACCTTAGGCACATCAAAATTGCAATTAAAATCCATTTTCTGGTCCCTAGTTTCTGTGGGCGGTTATTTGGTCTTATTGCTTCATGCCTATTTCTTTCTAAAAGAGAAGACAAGATCACAGAACCAAAACATACAACAAATATCATGCTTAGTTTGTTCATGGTCTTCATGGAGAACATCAACCATTATTGAGGAAACAAAATAGAGTACTCTACATGGCAATGTTTCTACTCCTCAGACCAGTGATGGCGAACCTTTTAGAGACTGAGTGCCCAAACTGCAACCCAAAACACTTATGCAGTTTGCCCCTGTGCTTTCAAAGCTTCTATTTTATAATTTGAGTTGAACTGTGGCTGAGCTAGAAGAAACTGGATAGCAGGACCACATAATGTGAAAGTGGCTTTGCAGGATTGATGCCCTCATACATGTTGACATAAACTAATAGAGACTGGCCCTAGTGCTGTATGGATTAGCCACCTCATTGTTCATTGTTCAATTTAAGCAAATATTTGGACTGTGTCAAGGGCAGGAAATATTACATTCTGCCTTCTGTTCATCAACAGAACCTCCCATCTTTTTTAGCAATTTGGAGGATGTTAGGACCCTTTTGCATGGATTCTGTTTATTTTCTCACAGGATGCCTTGAAACATTATGCTTGTGAGCAGGGATCTTTTTTTCCCCAAAGTTAGTTTTTCAAAAGCTAAAGGCCACAAAGAGGATGGTGCAAAGGTCTTTTATGTGTGGGTAAAACCTTTTAATGACGTAGATTGATATAGAAACCACTGGACAATTTTTCACATACCCATATATTCATTCCACCAGATTTAATTAATCTTTGATATGAATATAAGCGTAAAACTTTTATCAGTGAAATATATGCTTATGGCCCAAGTTACATGCCAAAGATAATTTAAAACCATAATTAATAAGAGAATGCATACTTCTATACACTGGAAGGAAACATTCCAATTGCCATCACCAATTGCAAAAAGGATCTAACCCTCAAATGTAAGGTTTAATTTTTAGGGAATTGGCGCATCAGCCTGGATACCCCTGTCAATTCCTTTGCTGCCAGTTGCAGGACTCCTGCCCACTCAGAGATTTGGCAAGGCCCTCCCAACTTGGGCTTTGCTACCCAGGACCTATAGAAACCTGGTAGTGCTCTAATAAAATTACAGGTAGTCCTTGTTTAGCTATCATAGCAACCAAAGCAATTAAGTTCATTAAGCAAAACGATTACTAAGTAAAACTGCAACTGTGCTTATGATTTTTCTTCAGCTTTCCTTTGATTTATAGACCTATGAAGGTCATAAATACAAAGAATGGTCACATAGCTACTTTTTCATCTTAGTCGTAATTGCAAATGGTCACTGTACAAGGCAGTCAATAAATGAGAACTATGTATCAACAGTGGATTATCCACAACTGTGGCAAATGTAGCTGAACTGCTAGTTCTGTCCATGCTGAACACGCAGATTTTCAATCATAACATCTCACACTCTTTATGAAACCCCACAAGCCATTCATAAAACATATCTTTGGTCATATGAACTTTACCATTCAGGAAACTGTATGATGTTACCTGTTTTCCTTTTGATTTGTCTGCTTAAAAACACATATCGTACTAAGCCACATTTAAACCATAATAAATTGCTTTTACACATCAGGCTAAGCTATAAACTACTGTATGTTTTAAACGAGAAAGCCTGGGTTTCCCAACCAAACTATAGCCAATGTATTGTTCAAACAAACTCAGTCATATTATGCCTTCTCTCTATAATACTATAGACTATATAGTATATTACCGTATATACTGTAATGCTATAGACTTTTTCTACAACCCTTTTTGACTTAGACTTCTTAGTTCCATTCTGTTTCCCATTCTCCTGCTGTAGCTTTTTGCTGAAGGTTTATTAAAGAACAGATTCTTTTTCAGGAACCAGACTATTGCCTGATGTTTTTCCCACACGAGGGCAGAGACGCTCCCACCCTTTAAAGCTCTGGGCTGCGTCACACTGCCTGGCTCACTGGCCTCTGGGCAAGTTGTTACAAGCAGAGGGTCACAAGCTACTAACCCTTTCTTGCATTTGTTAGTTGTGAAGGGGACATGAGAAAGCCTGGGGAGGCTAGATAGCAGATAGAAATCAACTTCCAGGTCATCTAACAGAGCTTTGCTTAAAAACAAACTACAATCTCACCAAGGGAAGGGCAGCTTTTTTCACATCACTTCAGGCTGCAGAACCATTTTTAAAGAAACGTTTGTGGCCAGTGACAGCAATATAAGCCTATACTTAAACTCTAATGGAATAGGCCAGTGATGGCGAACCTTTTAGAGACCGAGTGCCCAAACTGCAACCCAAAACCACTTATGCATCGTCGGGTGTCAGGTGGGTGTGGCCCATTGGGTGGGCGTGCCCATTGGGTTGGCGTGGCTGCGATGGTAATGGCAGACTGGGTGGGACTAAAAAGTTCAATCAATCAATTCCAACTTTGCAAGATTTTTTTTCCTGCAAAAAGTTGAAATTGACTGATTGATTGAACTTTTTTTTTTTTTTTACACATGGTGGCAGAGGCCTAAAGCGAAAAGGTTTTATAAAACCCAGCTGAAGGCCTAGGATTGGGGCGACGCGTGCCCACAGAGAGGGCTCTGAGTGTCGCCTCTGGCACCCGTGCCATAGGTTCGCCACCACTGGAATAGGCACAACTTTTCATTGTCAATAACTCTATCTTTTAAAAATCTTGAAAGAGGAGTTTATACCTGTGTGCATCCATTCATACAATTGGTCCCTGAAGGGGCTGATGAATCAGACTCTAGTCCTTAAAAATGTATACAATAGTATAATTCATTATCTTTAAAGGTTATTGTTGGGTAATGCATCACATAATTGTGGACTTGGAAACATGGCTCTCCAGATACTGCTGGAGTCTTAATTAGTTAGTTTAGCCAATAGGCCAATAGGGTATACAAGCCACTATCCTGGTGACTTTGTTTTGCCCATTTTTGTCATACATTCTCAACATTAATTGAAAAACATGGCAGGGAAGAACTGATGCCAAATAACTAATTTTAACTGACAATTGTCCATTTATATATTCTTTTATGTACTACTAAGAAACTCATATCCAACAACATTGTTAAACCCACTAGGAGAATTGTTCTATGTGTACTGTATTTATCTATTGCACCTTCTCCCAGGGCAGGTTAGTCTTCTAGATTCAACTGTCTCATTAAAAAAATGTATTTTCAATTATCTCCTCCAATAGCTAAACTAGCTCTATAGAAATTAACAGCTGAGACCTAGGGAGAAATCTAAAGGATCTAAACCAGGTTTTCAAGGGCAGCATTGTGCTTTATAGCTATTTAAGCCATGTCATTTTAATGAGGAAGGAAATAGTTCATGTAGCTTAGGGGGAACAGCAATAGAAGCAAAGGAAGCAAACTGCCGTGTTTCAGAAATATAATATAAATGAAAAGTTTAAGGTTTAAATAGCATATGCAACTTCCAGAATCATAGAATTTTAGAATTTCAAAGTCATCTATTTCCATTATGTCTGATTCCCCAACTTCTGCTGGAATACCTGCGGTGAAATATTTTTTTCCCTTAGGTCTTACTTTTTTCTTCTTCCATTGTTTGCTTGCTAGTAAAAAGCCTCATCTGTGCAATACATGTTCTTAGAATGAATTATAGCATGAGCAGAGCATGTCATAACTTCAATCTCTGAATGTTCTAACCATGTTAATGCAAGCAGTGATGGGACTTCCAATTCTAGACTGCACAAGTCCAGATGACCAAAAGTTGGTAGCAGAGAATTAGGGTTTCCTATAACTGCACTGCTAACTAATAGTCAACTGGATTTTTGCAACCCAAAGGGTTAAGCTAAACAAATTAGGATTTTTACCATTTGTCAATTGTACAAATCAGCTTTCTCCAACACAGCCAGTTTAGAGCCATCTGGAGTGCCACAGGTAGGGTGAGATTAATACAAGCTATTTTCCAGAAAATACTGCCATGTGCTTTAACAACTTAGCTATCCTTTGTGTCAGTGCCCTGTTCACATACAGCTCTTAATTTTGCTTTATGAAATGCAATGCATGAACCTATTCATTATATCTTAGTATGATGTACAAGCCAAACTATTATGGCATGTTCAACAAATCATGATTTTAAAACATTCTAACTTAGTGTTCTGTGGTTGCAATAGTAGGATAAAGACTTGATTTTAGGAGCAAGGTTTTTGGTCAAAGATGATTCATTAACCTGGTCAATCTTTCATGTCTAAATAATTCCCCCGCCCCATTTGTTACTCGAAGTTACTCTTAAGCGACATATTAAATATGGCAATCTATGTATCTATCTCATGGGACTTCCAAATTTCCAATATGGGGCGAAGTAGAAGTTGTTTTGTTGAGATTCATGTCTCCACTTTCTAACCTCAGAAAGACTCCAGAACCTATCAAAGAAGCTATTAAAAGCTGCTCTTGGTTTGCTTTTCCTCACTAACACGAATGATGCCAATGCTGGTCGAGCTAAGGCTAGGGTAAGTGAGGAAATGAAAACTAGCATTAGCTTCCCTAATGTTAGCAAAAAAAGAAAAAAACTCTCATTTTCATTACCTCACTAATGCTAGCCTTAGGTCTGCCAGTGCCACCATCAATAGTGTTAGTGAAGAAAAGGAAACCAAGAGGGTTTATTTTTCTTGCTAATTCCAGCCTTAGCTTCACCAGCATTATTTGTCATTCAAAAAAAGACAGCCACTTGTGGGATTGTGCCATGTGGCTCAGCAATGGAGTGGCCTGTCCTCTTTCCCTGCCCTGAACTCCTGAGGGCTGGAGATCTTCAAAAGGTAAGTATGCAATTGCAATAGTGGGGTGGCAGAGAGGAGCATGTGGAACACAGTGGGGTGGCAAAGTAAGGGAAGAACTTAGCTGTATTTTTTTAAAAAGAGGCCAAATGTAATAGAGTGAATGGTACATGGATATACTATGTGGGTGTCTGTTTTTGTGTATTTTGTCTCCTGCTGGTCTCATCATAAGCAACAGGCATTCCAAAGCTGCCCTGCTCCTTCTCTCCCTGTTTCATAGACATACAGAAGGAAAGAAAATTGCCAGACCATCACTAGTGCCTCAATGGATAAGGAGCAACTGATGGCCAGCAACTGATGGCCATCAGCCAGCGTGCTGATTGGGGAATTCTGGGAGTTGAAGTCTACACATCTTAAAATTGCTCAGAGTGAAATATACTGCTCTAGACTTGAGGGAACTATGTAGTATAAGAAAGATATTTTTTCAACTTTCTTTAAGGAAGGAGGTAGTATATCCTATGCCTTTTGAATTGTTCCTCCCAGGACCCCAATATTATGTTTTAAAGGATTTGCTTTTGATACAAAGGTATTATACATAAAACAAGGATCTCCTGGAATGTTTTTTAAAAGATGAACCAATTTCATCTTACATTCAGACATAACTATGTGATCAGAATTCCCTTTACTAAATTTGAAAAAAAAAACCCACAGAATTCAAAATTGATATTCGCTGAATAAAGGCTGGAGCAGATTTCTTCAGCATTGTTTGTGAAGGAAAGTATGAGTCCCTTGTTTGGGGGCAGTTGCATAGAAGTTCTTTTTATACATCAGTGAATTTTAACATTTCCCATTTGAATGTGCCCTTTCTCCCCTCCCTCCCACTTTTCAGCAGGAAGTTGGACCCAATCAGCATGCATGGCACATATCTCCATACAATGGGTAGTTGGGGTTCAGAAGGTGTTTGCGCTGAACCATCTGCAGCCCTCTTTAACCTCTGCTTACCTCTTCATAGCACAGATGTGCAGTGATGGCTATGGGTAGTTGTGGGCAATACTAAATCAGCCTTAAGATTCCAATCATAGTCAAAATTGTATGGTAAATTGTACCACATTCATTGCTATATTGCTTTTGTTGCTGTTTTAATTTTCTTGCCTCAAAATAATACAACACACAAATTAACACACGTAATACATTAACTTTAATATGGTTTATTCATTACAATTTTTATTGTAATGTCTGGTATTAAAGAAAGCAAGAAACAATGACTAATTCTTAAAAAACAGGTACCATATATACCACCTACAATATAAACCCTTTGGCAGAAAAGCCAAGCCTTTATTTTTCACCAAACTATCATGATACATAGTGAAAATAAAACCTCAAAATGTCCATACATTTAATTTTTACAATTGGTTTATCCATAAATGGGACCTTTTTCAATCTATTTGGTTAAAAATTTAAAGGTCAGCTTAGGTGATGGTATTCCATCTGAATTATTTAAAATCCTACAAGATGAGGCTGTTAAAGTGCTGCACTCAACATGTGAGCAAATTTGGAAAACTCAACAATGGCTACAGGACTGGAAAAGATCAGTTTACATTCCAATCCCAAAGAAGGGTAGTGCCAAATAATGTTTAAATTACCATAGAATAGCACTCATTTCACAAGCTAGCAAGGTCATGCTCAAAATCCTATAAGCTAGGCTTCAGCCATATGTGAACAAAGAACTATAGAAGTACAAGTTGGATTTCAAAGAGGCAGGGGAACTAAATTGCCAACATTCACTAGTTTATGGAAAAAGCAAGGGAATTCCAGAAAAACATCTATGTCTGCTTTATTGACTATGCTAATGATTGTGTAGATCACAACAAACTATGTGGTGGGAAAACCACACCACCTTACTTGCCTCCTGAGAAACCTATATATAGTTCAAGAAGCAACAGTTAGAACCAGACATGGAGCAACCGTTTGCTTCAAAAATAGGGAAAGGAGGAAGACAAGGCTGAATATAGTCACCCTGCTTATTTTACTTATATGCAGAGTACCTCTTGTGAAATGCTGGGCTGGATGAATCACAAGATGGAATTGAGATTGTGGGAGAAATATCAACAACTCAGATATGCAGATGATACCAGTTTAATGGCAGGAAGTGAGGAGGAATTAAAGATCCTATTGATGAGGGTGAAAGAGGAGAGTGCAAAAGTTAGCTTGAAACTCAGCATTAAAAAACGAAGATTGTGGCATCCAGTCCCATCACTTCCTGGCAAATAGAAGACAAAGAGATGGTCCATGGGGTAGCAAAGAGCTGGGCATGACTTAATGACTGAACAACAACACTTAAAGAGTGTCATAGTCATAACATGGAACAATGAAGAAGTAATCCATCTCAAACCAGCCCCTCCCCTGTTTGCCCCCGTCCATTATTCTTGAGGCTTTCTTGATTTTTCCTGGGCTTTTATTGCTTGCCTCTTTCCATATCTTAACCCAAAGGAATTCCAGTTGTAGGTGGAGAGATCCTGGGTCCCTTCTAACAGCAATGCCCCTTGCAGCAATGGAACTCCCTTATTTTTTGTGGGAGGCATCCCTGGCCATAACTGCACTTTATGCACTTGCCGCTTGCACAATAGGGTTACTGTGGATTTCAGACCTTCTTTGCCAGAGCTGAAGCTCGTTTCAGAACATGGGATGTCATTAGCCCAGTGGACCCAGTTGGCTGTGCCTCTGGAGGGTTTAGCTAGAAAGAATAAAAAAAACTTTATAGAGAGAACATACCTGGAGAAGCATCAAGATGGGGAAAGGGCAGAACTTGTAAAATAACATGTCTGTCTGTCTGTCTGTCTCTATATCTCTATATCTATATCATCCATCTATCATTATCTATCATCTGTCTGTCAGTCTATCATCTTCTATCTAAAGTTATCTCCCATCTGTCTATCTCAATTTATCTATCTCTCTATCAATCATCTATCTATCTATCTATCTATGTATCTATCTATCCATCCATCCATCTATCCACAAATTTATATGGACATCCATCTCACACAGGGTGACGCTGGGGACTGTAAAATAAAACCAACAATTAAAACAGAACATAAAAGCTAGCTTAAAAAATGTAAGTAAAAATAAAATTACAAGAGGGTTAAATAAGAATACATGATGTAACCAATGGGCAGGATCTTTGCCACCCATGAATAGGTCTGATGGGGGGGGAGGCATGTTTTGAGAGCTTTCCAAAAGGCTAACCTCATCTCAAGGGGGATGATGTTCTAGAGGGTGGGGCACAGCAGAAAAGGCTCATTTCCATTATGATAAAGGAAGTGTCAAATTCAAAGCCCTGCCAATTCACAAATGAATTGAAGGTCTAGGAAATTATGAAAAGCATGGATATAAGGCTAAATTGTGTTCTAGATTTGAAGGGGAAAAGATAATTCAGGAGTGGATCTGAGCACACACGTAGCACCCATAGCACTTCTTTAAACAAAATCTTTTTTCTCCCTTGGGCTTTGGGTACTAGGTGTCGATGGAACCCAAGACAAGACTCAGTTTCTTTACAGAGTTGCTGACAGGTGAGCATTCCTCCTACCATGCCTTTACCATTTTTCATATTTCTTCACAGCTCCAGGATGCAGTGACACAAGGACCACATATATGTTGTCTAAATATCAGTGAGCATTCTTTTGCAGAGCAATTTCAAATCATTGCTAAGTTTTCAACAGAATCCGTCAAGGCTGCCTCTACTTCTTACCTTGAGGCCAGAAGCTCTTTAGAGGATAATAGCTGTCTGCAGGTTTTCCAAACTGAACTCTGAAGAATAACAGGAACATAAGCAAGCAACGTAATAGGTTCATCCTGAAATGCAGCAGATCTGAGATAAAAAATGAAGGAAACCAGAACAATTCAGACTATAGTTTTCCAAACTGTGCTGTATACATTCCTTGGCCAAGTGCAGAGTCCATGGGAGGTGTAAAGAACCTTTTAGTTAATTGTAACTAACTTTTCATATCTCTCTCAAACCTATTTTGGCTCACATCTTCAGTTTTTAGCTAAGCCTTTGTTATACTTTATCATTCATCTCTACTTATAATAATTTAACTTTTTACAAAAGCATCATTTTCTCTCTCTCTTAACACACATATGGAAAAAAAAGAATTTACTGTGTTTAATTGTCCTTCCTATCTAAAGGATATTACTTAATTGGGAAAATTATTCATCCAAGCAGTTCAGCTGAGTCTAATCATGTTCTTTATATAAGAGGAAGATAGTAATGAATTTGATAAGCACTATTCCTTGAAAGCATGATCGTTTTGAAATATTCCATGACTTAGAACTGAAAGTCTGCACACAAAAATTATTTTTTATAAAAACATTGGTATAGACATCAGGCATTCATACATCCTTTATTATAAAGGACAGTCCTTTATTTCATAAAGCTGTCCTTTAGATTTTTTTTCCAAAAACTCACTTTAGATCTTTGGTCTTTAAAATTTTATTGTACAAATGGTACCATATAATGCACAATCTTTCACATTCCTGTGAAAAATACAGAAACTAACTTGTCTTTTTAAAATAATTCATACATACTGTTTGATTATATATTTTTTATTAGAATATGCATTTTTTGTAAAAATTGTCTTGGTTTTGCTCTTACATTTTCTTTTGTAAAGCACTTATAAAAACCTACATTTTTTATCCTTATGAATCTCTTTTGATTTTCTCTCCTTTTCAGGTTTGTCCTTTATTTTTTTCAAGAAATATGGCCACTGTACAAGAAAAATTTAATAGAGTATATCTAAAATAATGTTTGAAAGAAAAATAATGTTATCTCAGTTCCAGTTTAATATGGCTCAGAATCACTGGTAAAAAGCAAGCTCTGTGTGCACGGTGCATGCATGTTTGTTTGTTTTTGTGTGTGTGTGTGTGAACTGAATATAAAATTAAACTCAGGTTTCCAATCTTCTGGCTAAGTTCCACTGTCAATCTGCTTGACAGTTGGTTCATTTCCTGTTGCTTCAGTTGCCCAATCATACAAACATAACACCTCTGCTTTGCACTCCTACAGATTTACTACTTTTAATTATTACTAATTGTAGCTACAGTTCTTAATTTAAATCTAATTTATTATTACACAATTAATGGTCTGTCTCTAAACAGAAATTCCACTGCAGGGAAAAAATAGTTATTTATAAATGTAACATAATAGGGTTTTTTAAAAAATGCATTCACAATGCAAGAACCTTACACTGACTGGCATATTATTGTGGATCAAGACCTGCTATTCTCTTTCTCTCCTTCAATCTCTGTGATTTATTAATGCCTTAAAGTACAGAATGCAGCTGTGGATCAGAAGATCATTTGGGATCATGGGTGGAAGCCTGGCCCATGCACATCTGGAAAGAAGAAGCCATGGTGCAGCTGAGAAGTCAGAATTTCTAGACAGCTTTCCCATCTACTGTTTTGCCAAGGCTCCCCATACTTTGTAGAATTTGCCTGACCAGTGAGGATCAAAGAATGTTGTTGGAAAAAAATACGTTTTGAGACCAGTTTTCAAACTTGTAGAGCAGAAAACATTTATAACTGGCTATTATGAAGAAAACAAGCAGACGCGGAGCATACACAGAGAGAAATTTTAATTAGAGTGAATTAAATGTGATTTGAAAGAGAGGAGTCGTTACTCAGCATACAAACATTCATTCCAGTTCCACCACTAATGAACAGGTGTTTTCCAAATCCAGCTAACCCTGCATGGCCAGAGGCAAAAGGAAGACTAAAGTTGCAGGTATGAGTAAATACATACTGTATTAAGTGCTTCTACTTCAAAGTTCTTTTCCCTCTTAAACAGCAACAGCAAGACCATTTTTAAAAATCACAGTCTGCCTGCAATTTAAAACAACAGTCCTAACCCTTCACCATTTTCAAAAACTTTCCAGTTGATAAAAATGCATTTGAGACTAGGAAGGAGAGGTATATGATGCAGAGTATCTACTTGAAATATGACAGTGGAGCCAAAACTATGAACATTTCCTCCAGAATCCCATTTAATGCACTGGAACAAACTTTTGAATAAATATATGCAATTCTCTCACATAATTTGCAACCATGTTGTCTTTAGTGGATTTAGTCAAAGATAAATGTTTGTATAGGGCTTTACTTACCTCAGTTTTTTCTGCAATGTCCAGGCCCAAAATCTTGATCTCTTGGAAAAAGATAAAATGATCTCTGCTGTAGCTCTCATCTCATTCTTAAGGCCAGGGTCTGAATTATTGAATGCCCTTACTGGTGACATCAGCAAAGATGGACCCACCTCTAGTTTGTATCTTTTAATTTCCCTGCCTAAACAGCTTTATTGTGTCTTGAAGGGTAGACCCAACTAAATAATATTTGTACCCCTACATTTTCTCATTGAACTTTCCTACAGAAAAAAAGAATAGCAAAAATACGTCAGGGAAATTGACATATTTAAATGTTCTATTATACTCTACTTTTAATTTTTTTCTACTAAATGACTATTCTAATTTTATCTGCCCAAGCCCTCCTCTTTTATTCTATTGTCTCTTTTGGATAGAGATTGTTAAGAACTGAAGATGAGATAAATTATTGGCCTTGAGGTGGTATTGCTGGAGACTGCTCACTGCATCTATGAGCCGATTTTTATTGCTAATGCAGAGGGAAGAGGAGGGGGGGGGGAGAGGAAAGATTCTTCATATTCTGCCTCTATGTTGATTCCTTACCTGACCTATTATTAATATATGGGATCTTTATATTTTAAGGAAGAAAGGGATCTTACTGTTTCCCATTCACATTCTTCCTGTAGTTTAGATAAAATCAAGGCTTTTCTATTAGTTATTTTCTTTTTAGTTTTCTAGTGAGATTTGTGGAGTTCTTGATGCTCTTGGTTGTTTGCAAATGTTTCATTACCCAACCAGATAATATCAGCAATGCTAGTAAGTTTGGGATTTTCTAGATGTTTATAAATAGTTGCTTGTCCTTCCAGTGTTAGTAGGGTGTAGTTTTTTTTCCCTTGGTAATTCCATGATTAGGGTATAGGTAGTCCTCGACTTATGACTAATCAAAGTTCCAATAGACTTCTATGTGTGTGTGTGGGGATCTTACAACCTAGATTCAAAGTTCTCCCAATCACTCCCCTGATCACATGACTGCATATTGGGCTTTTGGCATCTGGGCCACATCTGCAGCCATTTGCAGTGTCCCCTGGTCATGTGACTGTGTTTTATGATGGCTTTGCCAAAAGCCGGCATTTACTTCTGGTTTTCAGGAAAATTGGCCCGTGGCAAGCTTTGGTTTGCTTAACAGTTGTGTCATTTTTTTAAACTATTTTCTAACACTGGCTCCTGCTAAACCCCAAACTCCAAAATGAAATGTCTACATTCAACCGCCCTTAGTTTTAGCAAACTGATTTGCTCATTTTTGTCATTGTGCTTCGAAAACTTGCAGAATTTGTTTGACCAGTCTATAAATAGGATGAACCTGGCACTGATACATCACATCCAGTGAAACAAACTAGCATTTTTCCACTTCACTGCAATTGCTTGAATATTGAAGATCCCATTCAGATATATTTCTGCAACCGAGTTGACATGTCCTAAATGCTGGATGTTTTGCTGTCACATCCTTGTGACACAATGTGTCATACTTCCAGGTACTGAAGATCATTGAGGTGTGTTTTTGTATATTTAAAAGATGCAGCCTAGTCACAATCGAGTGTGTATAAACCAGCATCAGAAGATGGAAACCCCATTATAATCACATCTTTTACAAGGAATGATTCTACCAATTACCCTATACATTTCTGAAAGTGATCCTATGTAGTATTTAAATCAGCACTAAATAACATGCACTATTGAGGTAGCAGGCTATTCCTAAAAAATGTCTGTGCTTGTAAGAAAGGAAGTTGTCTCTGGTAACAAGTCATTCACTCAAGTTATACTGCAGAGCTGGTGTCTCCAAATTTCTGAAACAGCTGCAACAAGAAAAATTACTAATTATTTTACTAATAATTTTATACAGAATTATATGATAGAATGAAAATTACAATAACTGGGATAAAAGAACAAAGATATATGACATATTAAACTTGATTCAATTAAGATGATAAGATAAGATAAGATAAGATAGCCTTTATTGTCATTTTTATACAGTAGGCACAATGGCACACATCAAAAATGAAATTTAGTTACCCGCTCTCAAAGTGAAACATATACATGACACATACCTAAACATACTATGAACAACGTATGTATAGACGGTACTGGGTTTGTGTTATGATCCATCAATGATAAACATAAAGCTGTGAATTCATCTCTACCAGCATTATCAGCGAGGTCTGCCTTTCAAAATACCAGCAGAGTGGGAACCATTCAATTCATTCCAAAAGGCAGATGCTGCAAAAAAGAAGGTGCCCTTCTGGGGTCTGGATAGATGACATTGCTTAATTGAAGGAACTCATAATATGCCAGCTGTGTCAGACTGAATATTGTGCCTATCTCCAAGTAACCAGCACCTAGAATCACATCTGGAAGCAAACCAGCACCTAGAATCACATCTGGAAGCAAACTGGCAACCAATACAGCTCACAAAGCAGAAGTGTTACATGAGCATATTGAGCTACCCATGGTGCTGCATTCCAGACTAGTTGAAGCTTACAGATAGTCTTCAAGGGCAGACCGACATAGAATGCATTGCTGTAGTCAGCTTATGGAGTGACCAGGGTACAAGTGACTGTTTCAGTAATGTCTCCTACTGTACTTTTAAGGCCAACTTTGCTCAATGATCTCTATCCAGATGTGTTGGAACGAATCTCCCAGACTCCTCAACTAAATAAGCTAAAGACATAGACAATGTGTCAACAGGGGGCCATGCAAGAGGGCAGGCTGCTTAGAGCAGAGGTCCACTTTAAGACTTGTGAACTTCGCTATGCTGAGGAATTCTGGGAGCTGAAGTCCACAAGTCTTAAAGTTGTCAAGATTGCAGACCCCTGGCTTAGATGGTGTAGCACTTTGTTCACCCCAATCCTGTTTCTCAAGGGATCACCCCAGTTTTTCATTACCTTGTTCAAAAATGAGACATTCACCAGTGATCCCAGAAATCCAAAAGCAATTGGGAAAAAGCTCCTAAGAAAAAAAGAAAAAAGTTAATTACTGATGAAAATAATCAACTGCAAATGAAATTGAGATCAAAATCAGATGTGACACTATTAATATTTTTTGTTGAAAGTTAAAAGTACCCACCCCTATCTCACCAACATGATTCTGGGCAGCTATCAGAATTAAAAGACAATATAAGCACAATGTATATTAAAAAATAAAAACACCAACCCCAGTTGATTAAGACACAAATAATGATTATGTATATTGTTTGATTATGTATATTGTTACAGAATATATGTAGTTCCAGACTGGATTATATAAATTCTTAGACCTTGGTTTTACATTTGTTGCTGATTATTTTTTCTACTTTTTTCAGATATCCCTAATCTTCTTTTGGCTTAATTGGCAACCCCGGAGGTGGCAGTGTGGGCCCTCAATGCCCAATATCCATGGTTAGAGAACAAATAGCTCTCCCTTGGAATCCCTGTCCTTCTTCCAGGAACTGTTACTACTTCCACTCCATTCTTTTGACTGAAAACCAAGCTCAGAGAATTAGTACAACCCAAAACTTTTACATACATGATTTCCCATAGAAAATGCAATGGTTTAGGAGGATTGATCACCTGAAGAGATTAATGAAACCATAGGTCTCTAGTAGCATGCCTAGTAGAGGCCACCGAAGCAGAACAATGATTATGCCTTTTGGAAGAAGAATCCAAAAGTTCTTCTTAGTCCAATTATAACAGCCAAGCCACACAGGAACAAGATCTAAGAAAGCAAAGAATATATTTGAGGATTCATTGGAATGTAGCCAGAAGAGCAAACTTTATATAATATAGTATTTTATGGAAAAAATAATGGAGGCTGAATCCTATATATAGTTGGGACCAATTTTATATTCTGTTTGACCAAACTATCTTATATGGTTGAGTAGGAAAGAGAACATTGGTTCTATTTTTTCTATTTTTTTTAAATCATTTTCAAGAATTAAGGATGGGATGACAGCTTCACAGGTCCCCCTGTATAGCAACTGTTCATTTTGAAAAAGAATTCAAATAAAAAAGTCTACTAGAAATGTATATCTGCTGATGCTACCTTAAAGTGCAATTGAATTGATCTGAGCTGGGAATATTTGCATGCTATTCCCACTCCAAGTAGAGTAGAGTAGAGTACAGTAGAGTAGAGTAGAGTAGAGCAAAGTAGAGTAGAGAAGAGAAGAAAGCTGGGGTGAAATTGACGAGACTTTTATCATTTTTGCCCTTCTCTTAAGCAAGACATGTCAAACTCGTGATGTCACATGATGTTGCGCAACGTATCGGGAGAGTTTTACCATTGCCAGCAATGGGGTGGGCGCGGCTTCCACATGATGCGTCCGGCCCGTGGGCCAGCAGTTTGACACTCCTGTCTTAGGCGGCGATCAACCAATACATAAAATACCAGAAAATGCTTTTATTTTTTCCTGCAGAAATTGATTCATGAATGGATGGATGAAGTAACATTTTCTCTCTTTATGTAGGGTGGATGTGAAAGTTTTTTGTTGCATCAGCATTCTCTCCCCACCTTCCCAGTCCAGTTCACAGTTCAGTGTCCTATTTCTGAAGCCTACCTTTAGAATCTGACTTTTCACCATGGCAACAGATGTTGAATCATGATTGATATGGTAAGCTACATATGTTCTATGTTTTGAAACAATGTCACCCTGCAGCCATTCTTACATTTTTTATATATATTTATTAAACCATGCACAATTTTAAACTGAATTCTGTAATGGGTTAAAATGGCTAATTCTGATCTGGCAGTCAAAGCTCATGTGCCTGATTGATTAAAAAAACCAGTTTATAAATAAATGCACTTATCCTTAAAGCATAAAAGTATATGAGTGCAAGTTCTTTGTAAAGCAGGCTCAGCAAACCTGAAAGATTTTTTTAATAAACCTGCCTATTATTTTATCATACTCACTACTTATTATTTCTTTTTGCACAAAATATTTGATACTTTCAAAAAAACTTACATTTCCAAAGGCCAGAAGCACCGAATCCATGTACAACAATACACCGAACAGGAGGAAGAATATCCCAAAGCCAACAAGCCCAACACCAATTTCTACAATAGATGAAATTGGTACCATCAAAATCACAGCAATCTTTAGGGATCACCTAATTGAGGAGAGCCAGGATCAGAAGGAAAAGATTTTGGTACTCAGGATAGCTGAAGGACTGCTGGCTCATTTCAGGTTAAAATGAAAGTCTGAAGTACAATAGTGGCCTCAACATAAAATTCAACCCTGTTTGACATCGGCCAAATTTCATTCTATTCTTCTGATGATTCAGGTTAGATGCCATCCTTCATCTCTCTCATTCTAATTTCTGTCCCTAAAGCCTTTAGGCATAGGATTTTTTTTTTCATTTGCCTAGCTGTTATAGGATATAGATCAGTTTCTTTCACATCTTTCCAATACCTTTTCGACCAGAAAACTTGATCCCATAAAAATATCAATTGGATCTTTGAAACCAGCTTCTAATTTGGTGCAGATCCAAAATGAACCAATTTTAATTACTAAGTTTGGAATGATGAACCTTAATACAAAATATTATAAACCTTTGTCGTCACTGGTTTTCTTTTACCCAGAGAAACTCATTTTAAGCATCTTGAAATATTTCTGGTGTGAATGAATGTCAGTGCATGGTTTTGCTTCTCACATTACTTTACATTTAAATTAGTTTACCTTAGCTTTGTTCAACCTGGTGATAACCTGTAGTTGTATTGGACCACACACTCAGAATTCCTGGTTAGCCACAGCTGATATACATATTATTAGCAATCATGGGAGGATTATTTTTTGGTGAATACATTTTTGTATTAATACAGTCTGTAATGTCTGTTGGTTATGACCTACATCATCTTCTTAGGAACACATTTCAGGTTAGACTAAATCACACTGCTGAGAGATCACCAGTGCCAATTAGAGATACTATGAAGTTATCTGACTTGCACCTGGGACCATAAACACGTAGATTTACTTAGATTGTTTCTCATAAGCAAATTTGTAATAAATGTGCCAACTGAGCAATCAATAGTAACACAATTTTAAAGAGGTCTGAGCTTTCAAACAGATTAACTTTGATTATATTTTCAGAGGGAAACCAATGACATATTGCTGAAATATGATAACAAAACCCTATCTGCTAAGTTCATACTCACTCTGAAGTTCTGTAATTTCCAACATATTTGCTGCTGAAGGCTTAGAAAGGATTGGCTGTCAAGACCTCCATATATTTCCCAGTTAGTGAACCTTGGAAAGACCTTTAGCCCTTACTGCATCATCCTGCAAATTATTAACCTCTGTGCAATGGAGACTTCATTGAACTATCATTATAGATCTTACAAGGTGAGCAGTATTGTTACAATCATATAGTTTGTATTTCCCGTATTCCTGGATCTGCAAAAGGTAATAGATAGTGGCACCCAGTAACTCCCTGTAGCTGTGCTTAACAAGGCATTTCCAGAATAATCCTGCAAAAAGTAACACTACCTGTGCAAGTATTTGTATGGTTTAATATGTCGAGTACTCCCCCCCCCATCCCATTAGCCCTGGCTTTATTTTTGTTTTCCTTCAAGACCTATTATCATTACTTCCTTTTTGTGGTCAGAAAGCAAGCTGTAGGATGGCTTGGATCCTACCTTGCAGAGGACGGTCATCTAATATAGTGTTTCTCAATCATGGCAACTTTAACCCCTGAGGACTTCAGTGCTGGCTGGGGAATTCTGGAATTTGAAGTCTATAGAGTTTAAAGGTGGTAAGGTTGAGAAAAGCTTCTCTGACAGAATGATTATCAGAAGACAGATTCTCCTTTAAAAGTGACCTTTGCCTGACAGGCTATCAGTTTAATATGAAACATAAAAACTAATTGGGTGACTTTGGGCCAATCACATTCTCTTAGCTCAACCTACCTCACAGGGTTGTTGTGGGGAAAAATAGGAGGAGGAAGGTGGGTTGGATTTGTTCACAACTTGAGTTATTTGTAAAATAATAATGGTGGGACACATAATCAACCAACCAGCCTTAAGAAAGAGAAATCAAAACCCGAGATACAGAGTAACAACCAATTAGTCCCTGTTGTGATATGACTCACAGGATATTTAAGTAGAATTTCAATTTCTAAATGTGAGTCTATACCCATAAGTAGTATGTGCCACTTTAATACAAATCTATATTTTCTTTTGTCTAACTTTTTGTGAATCATTACTTCTTTTATTAAAAAATAAAAATTAAATGTACAATCCAATGAATGATAAATTGCTAGATAGCAGTTGCAAATGCATATTTTAGGAAGAGAGACCTCAAAAAAACGGAAAAGTAAACACCAGAAAAAGCCTTTTTTTAAAAACTAGGGAACAAGATGGGCTATTGAGATTCTGATTATCTGATAGAAATTGTTTCAGGTTAGCATTTTGCTATTTTTCTCCTATATAAATACATTTTTTCCCTCTCCAATGTATTTCAGAAGCATTTCCTTTTAGTACACAGATATATTGTTATAAAAAAATAAGTTTCAGTTCTTGACCAGGCAATCAGCACAAAGCATCATTATACAACTAATTAAATGACCAGAGACATCTACATCATCTACGTGTGAGTCACAGAACATATTTTTATAGGAAAGAAGATGCATCATATTAATACTTACTAAATAGCTAATGCAGGAAAACAAATGACTCATGCAGAACATTATATACATGAAATGTATAGTCATAATTGTTTCTAAAATGGTTTCTTGTATTAATTTCATATATTATTATTAGATATATTTTAGTAAAAACTGTACTATAGGATGATAATAGTTTCATCATCCATAGTACTTTAGCTTCAGAGCCTCATTTCCTTTATAACAGATAAAGTATGGCTTCTACATTTAGCTATGGTACTCAAGGAGGCTCTCATCCTTGAATACTGATAGGATTTATTGTGAGTGCAACTATATATGTATTTACTGGCATATCATTAAGAGATGAAAATCCATGATTTATATTCCTTCTTGCTCATTTTATGACTTTATTGGTGGTTTATTTGGGGGGGACAGTTTATTCTTTATCGTTAGCAACTGCACCATGGAGATATAAGCCTCCAAGAGTCCCTCAACTGCAGTGAGTGAAAAGTAATTCAATAATAAATAAATGTAGCTGTACATATTCAGCTGAAATATATAGAAATATAGAGAAAGTACACTCTGAGGACAACTGTGTACAGTATACCTTTCTAACCCGCCTTTTCCTAGGTCTTACATATTAAAAAAAGAGAAGCAGACACAGTCTAGTTATAAACCATCCATTTTTTATTTATTTGCTTTATACAAACTTGCAAGGTACAAATGCATTTATTTTGTTTTGTTTTTCTTGCACGTGTTGGTATTATTAATTTTTTTTGTTTTGAGCGGGAGGACCTTTTAAAGTAACTACACCTAGAACAAATGTTGCAGGAAAGAATATTAAGTAAGCCACTGTGGATTTAATTATGGAAAGATTATCCCTTGGTCTGGTGTGAAGAACCCCCAAGTCACCAACATATTGTTTTCAATCACAGAACAGCTAATTTTTATAATTGTTATAATCTAAGGTCACTTTTATACAAAAAGAAAGAAAAAGAAAGACATCAACATCACATTGCTTCTTTGATAATTTTAACATCTAACACAAGTTTTTTTTTCTTTCCAAATAATGTGCATAAATAATGTAGTATTTATTGGTTGCAGGTGCTGCTGGTATATGAACATTTTATTAGAAAGGAACACACATGCACATGTACGCAAAAAATAAAACATGTTAAAAACAGAGTTCTACAATACTGCAAAACTGTGACCTAAATGTGCTCTGCTGAGAACTTAGAGCAATGTTTCTCAGCCTTGGCAGCTGAAAGACACATGGACTTCAGCTCCCGGAATTCTCTAGCCAATTATGGGAAAGCCAGCTCTGCTGGCTGGGAAATTCTGAAAGTTGAACTTCACACATCTACAAGTTACCAAGGTTGAGAAATATTGATTAAAAGCCTCAGAATGCTTAAAGTGATGACATTGGCAACAATCAGTTACAATCCTACCTTGCTATGAATTGAACAGAGTGCTTGAGAAGGGTAAGAGAATGCTTTTTGATGTTATTTATGTCATTTTAATGCTTTCCATAATAGCAAAAAAAAGTGCCTGTTTTATATGTAGGAAAGGAGAAAAGGTGATTTGAGAAGGGATTTGCACTTCCTTGACAGAAAAAAATCAGTTCAGCTGAGATTCCAAAATGTAACACCATCTTTACATTGCCCTAAAACAGAGATCCCCAACCTTTTCGGGTTGATGGCCCCGAGGGGGGAAGGGGGGAAAGAGAGGATAGTTTTATGGGAGGGGCAGGAGAGTGCATGAGCACCCACTGCTTGTGCGAGTGGGGTCAAAGCACCCGTGACACTCATGCGAGTGATGCTCCAAGCGCTCGCACAAATGGAGCCCCAAGCACACGCCAACACCAGCCAGCCACTCACTTGTCCCGGTTGTGAGTAGGCCCTGGACCAGTAGTGGGCCATGGCCCACAGGCTGGGGACCCCTGCCCAAAAATATTGGTGGAATGATATTCTTTCGAGATGGTTGCTATGTTTATCAAGCAGCTGCACAAGTAGGACCACTACCTCTGAGTCTTCAAAAGAGGTAGAATAAGGAGCCACTCTCTAAATTAAGAGAGGGACAAATCTAAATAGATAATCCTTCACATAGGCTAACTAAGACCTTTCCTCAGCTCTTACTTCATCTCTCTACTAAGCTACTAGCATTTGGAATGGGTCAATCACAGATAGGAAAAATGTACCGACTGAAAAATGTACCTTTCTCCCACTAGATTGGACATGTGGAGGTAAATACAGCAGCTTAGAGAGCAATTGTGACTGACGAGAGGAAAATAAAACAATTGTCTTGCAGGGATTTCTCTCTGCTAGCGACACCAAAATGAACAAATCTGAACAAAAGGGAGGTAAAAAGTAAGTGGCATCAACATTTCAAAGCCACCTCTATTGCAAAGGATCCCAGTGGGATAGCTGTATACCAGCGAGACAATCTTTGCGGTCCCTGATATGCTACAGTTCTATAATTCATCTGACAACATATCTTTCAAGCCAGAACTTCACCAGGGTTAAGTTAACTCAGCTTTGCTAGTTCCATATAAACTATTGCCAAGTTGCATCAACTGAGGCTTAGGCCCTGGTGTAGAAAACACGAGCTTACCTAGTAACAAGGAAATAAATGCACCACTCCCTTACAGACAGCTTTCATTCATTTTAAATAAATTTGCTTTTAATAAAAAGCAGAAAAATATATATTTATTTAAATATGCCTTTTAAAATTTCTTTCTTTAATTATTTTGATACACCACCCAGTGTCTGTATTTCAGAAACTCAGTGGCAAAACAGGCTTCAGCAGCCCTGTATACAGAGAAAGTAGGCCCAAAAGAAATTAGTATAGGGAGAAGAGGAAAAAAACCCATATATTATATATATAATATATATATAAAATATATATAAATGTACACACACATATATCACGGTATAATTTTTAAAAACACATATTAAGGCATGTAGAGGATCATGAAGGGCTAACAGAAGCTACTGCAAGAGCAGAATGAAATACTTTCATCATCATCTTCATCAATGTGGAATGTCAACAGTATTGCTAAAGGAGAAGGATCTAAAACTCTGATTCTCTGATTTACGTATTGCCAACAGGTTCGTTTAAATAATAAAAAAGAGACAGCATCTTTGTTGGACAGGGAGATAGAAAGTTTCACTTGTAAATATGGATGAAGCTGAACTCTTAGACATGCCAAGGCAGTGCTTCTTTTGCAGCAAGCAGCAGGATAGAGGACCCGATAAAGCTAGATTCCACATAGCAAGAGATGGGAATATTTATCACTTAAGCTCTTAGATCAGAAGGATGATTCTGGGTGCTGAGTCATTAATTCCTTTTAATACACATGAAGATAGATTCTTAGACAAATTCTTAAAAACAACAATATCAGAACTCTTCCAGAGATATTGTTCAGTTAACTTTCTATTTTCTGAACATTCATTTCAACAGAATAATATATAAGTATCATATGTATGGATGTTTAGAAACTCCAACGTGGATAGAAAGCCTTACTATAAATACATTAAGGATTAAAGCCTAATAGAAATAAGCCATACTTATTTCAATGGAATTTACTCCCCAAAAGCATAGGTAAATTTTGAAGCTTAAGTCTTTTACTATGTGTGGGCCTGAGAAATATTCCTCCTAATGGACTAATATGCCTAGTCTCTCCATGTTTTTCAATCTAACATACATGGATTAGAATGGATCAGCAAGTTATCAAAACAGATGCTAAGAGATTTTGCTGAGCCAGCCAAATTCCACCATGCACTATTACTTTAGAACTCTATCCTTACCACAAACAGGGGTGACCAAGAATCATTTGGTAATACTGAAGTTAGCTCTTTTCATTTTGTAAACAGAACTCTATTCTCTTGGGATCAAACTAGACTTGATATCCCTAAGTTTAAATTCTGGTGACTCTGCACACCTGCAGTCTTCTTGACAACAGAAGCGGTTTGCCATTGTCTTTTCCAGGGAAGTTGAAGGGGACAGCTCTAACTTTTGAAACGTGGGAGTTGCCCAAATCATATATATATGTTGGGAAAAGGATACACAGTAAGGTGCATATTATAAGTACTGAATTCTCTCCGTTCTAGTTCACTCTTCCTAAATGATTTCTCCCTGGCATCACTTCTCTGTATGCTATGGAGATGCTTCCTGCAAACCTTCTGCTCTTTAAATTAGAGTATTAATTCATTTTGTTATACCAAAAAAAAAAAAAATCAAGGCAAATCACATTTCATGCCTATTTAAACTTGAATTTGAAAGACGTATATGCATTGATAATGTATGTCATCTATTGATTAAAGTAGGTACTTGGATATTAAAGTTATCCCTAAAAATTCATTAAAGAATTAGACTTCTTGCTAGCCTGGGAAAATTGTGAGAATTTTCAAGACTATTTGAAGAAGTTTGAACATAAGGAACAGTGCTGCTCAAAGCGAGTGTTTTCTGTTTCAGCTGGGATCCAAACTAGTTTTTCATGCATCATGATAAAGAATTGCAGCAGCCCCATGGGTCACGTGATCCAAATTCAGACACTTGACAACTGATTCATATTTATGATGGTTGCAGTATCCCAAGGTCATGTGAACCTCTTTTGCAATCTTCTGACAAAGTCAGTAGGGAAATCAGATTCACTTAACAACCATATTGCTAACTTAAGAACTGCAACAACTTTGGCAAGAAAGGTTATAAGATGAGGCAAAACTCACTTAACAAATGTCTCATTTAGCAACAGAAATTTGGGGATCAATTGTGGACATAAGTCGACGACTACCTGTATTCATGGGATCTATTTGTAGGTATTGTAGTACAGCCATTTTCTACTGCTGTGTGATTTTTTTTTATTGTGTTTCCTTCTCCTTTTACAACGTCACTGAAAAAAGTAACTTATGATCATTTTTCACACTTAACGACCACTGCAGCATCCCCATGGCCTGGGGTCAAAATACAGACAATTGGCAACTGACTCATATTTATGAGAGTTGCAATGTCCCAGGATCACGTGATCCCCTTTTACAACCTTCTGACAAGCAAAGTCAATGGGGAAGCCAGTTTTACTTAACAACCAAGTTACTAATTTAACAACTGAAGTGATTTACTTAGCAATTGTGGCAAGAAAGGTTGTAAATGGGGCAAAACTCACTTTAACAAATGTAGCAACATAAATTTTGGGTTTAATTGTGGCCATAGGTCGAGGACTATCTGTACTTGCAAAGAAGCAAAATATTGGGGGATGGGGAAGAAATGCAGAATTTTTGAAAACATGGCAGTGAACTCATTGAATATCTAGGTCTGGATTATAAAGAAGCTAGCTGGTTTTTTTTGTATTCTGATCTAGAACAATTTTATTTGCTTCCATAAAATCGACTCTAGTTGGCTTTATATTGGGCATGATCAATTGATAGCCTTTGAAATAAATCTATGAGCCACGTGATCATCCACTTATATTTTGATTCATCTATTAATAAGGCAGATTGTTTTCAAAAGCACTACATTGGGTGACAGGTCCTGTCCGTGCCCAAGTTCAGCAGTAAGGGATTCTGATTATGAAGTGTTACAAGGTTTAATGCAAAGTCTGATTACTGTATTTCTAAACAAGTAAGATCATCTTAGCTTTAAGTGGTATTCAGTTCAGGATTTACCATGTATAAATCTTTGAGTGTACAACTGCAGCGAGGAAAAGTCCACATTATATCTTTGATCTAGCTTAATATAGGTTAGGACAACTTGGTACTTACTGTACTTCACAAGAATAAATTTCCTAAGTCCTTTTTTTGTACAGTAACTCTCCCCTGTCCTGTCCTTCTGAATTATTTTCACAACTTGTTTAGAAAAAACTGAGAACTCATTTGGGAAAGCTGCCAACTTTCAGATGCTGATAGAAGCAAATACAGCAAAGGTCTTGTACTCTTGACATATGAGCTTAGTTCCTCTGAAAGTTCATGATCATAAGCCATTGTTATTATAGCTCTAGCTTGGACAGAGATGAATGAAATGCACTGTGTGAGATAGTGAGAGAATTCTACTTCAAAGTAAACGTTTCTCTATTATTCTAAAGTTGAGAGAAATGCTACAAATGGCAGAAATTGAAAAAGCCTCACTTTCTCCTTCCAATGATACATAGGAGAGAATTGATTTATACATACTATGGAATCAGCTCATACTTGCTTTAGTTAAGTTCAGACACATTTCCATTTATCTTGCAGACTTACTATTTCATTAGTTTCTTTATGCCGAAATCTTCATAGCATATACTTTCTTTCTGGCTCCAACATATATCCTGGAGAACCAAGAGTTGAGTGGCACTATTTTGAATTGGTTCTGATATGAGAATAAATATGTCACCTGCCAGTCCCACTTCTGAGTCACAGTAAACTTAAAACACACAAAGTGGTTTATCCCATCAAACTGAACTCTTTTATGGCCATCCTTCCCCTTTGTATCTTTCATCCACACTTCTATTACATGTCCACGTACATTGCACATACTTCCTATTCCATCTTTCTCATAAACTTAGGAAAAGTGAGGGGGGGGAACTCTTCAGCATATCACAGCCATTACAAGATTCCTAAGAATTAGCAGATTTCAAAGCTGCTTCTGGTTTTTTTCCCTCCACACTGACAGCCTTCTGTTTTCTTTATCTGCCATATCCACAAGGTTCAGTGATGCTTCCTCCTTTTTCTTCTTGTGAGTGGGTAGATATAAGTATAAGCAGCATGACCATGCATGGGTTGCTTAATTCCATAGATTAAAGTTTCTAGAGCCAATCAGATTGGCAGATGGGAACAAAGTGTGAGGAGGAAAAATACGTCGTTCAATTCAATAAAATGGTTATAAAGTCTCTGGCTGCCATGACAATCTATTCTTTATATACTTCTCCTCTCTCAAAGTAAAAAAAAAAAAGTAAAATAAAAACAAGTAATGAAGGAGGTTAGAAATTTAGGAAATGGCTACCTAAGGACAGGAAATTGAACATTCCCCTGCTGTCACCAGCTTTTGTTTTTCAGTTCAAATTATTTGATGCTTCTGCTGACCTTTAGCCACCCGTCCTTTGTCTTGATGCCTCCTGCAGGAGGAAGAAGCCATCTCGCAGAATGGAACTTCTCCTGGATGCTGCTTCTTTAATTGCTTTTATAGATCAGGCATCTGAGAGGTTTTGATACAAACTTTGGCAGCAGTGGGAGGAGAACAGAGCAAAGACAAAGCACACTTCTTTTCTTCAGAGGCAGTTTTCCTTCCTGAATGTTTCTGCAGCTCAACCGCAGGAGATAGTTGGCAAACCATGGGAATGGTTATGTACATTATTAAGCAGTAGAGTTGAGAGGACAAATTCATGTGTTAAAATGTGGCTCCATGGAACTTCACAGCATTCACAGCAGCCAGGGCTTGTGCTGGGGAGAACAGAGGAAGAAGAGAAGAGATTAAAAAAAAAAAAGATGAAGATGAAACCTGCTGACAGCAGTATAAATATAGCTAAAGTACTTTGGGACACATAGGTAAAGAATCTGATAACATGTTAAATGGTCACTCAGCTTTGTCAGTCCAGATTGGTAGCTCAAGTTTGGTGCCCCAGTAGAACAGTAGCATGGCACAGAAGGAATAAGGCAGCGTTTAAAGGAAGTACTGCCACCACTGCTGGTTACATCTCTTCCACTCTGCCAGTGTCACTCCCAAATCAGTCATATTAACCAGAAGACAGAAGTCTAGCAGTTAAGTGGAGAGGTGAGAATAATACTTTTAATGGTCCAGAGGCCTGAACAAAGCTTGGGATCACCTCTGTGATGAATGCTAAAGCTGGCAAACAAGCACTTGTCCTTTCCTTGGAAAAACTGATGGGGAAAAGAATGGGAACTGCATTTTTTTCCAGTGAATTCCTTTTGGTGGTTACTGAGGATAATCTTTTAGTTTCCCTGAACCTTTAAAAATAAATATGGTAGAAAATGCCAGGGCAGAAACCTACCCTCCAAAGCCTACCTCAGTTTACTCATCTCAATTGGTTATATCTCTGTTTAAAGTTTTGTGACAGAGAAGAATCACTAGAGCAGTATTCTGTCCTTACTATTCTGACCGCAATAGAAATGTTTACTGGCCCTTGGGAAAAGGACTGGAAATTAAACTCCTGTTATCTCTTCAATGGAACTGGAGTTGTAAGGGCCAAAGTCTGTTTTTAAGTTGACATTCCAGCATTGTCACCCCAACTTAATCCTCAAGGTCTTTAAAAACACAGTAACCTAATAATTTTTGGACTGTCTTCCACATTACCAATCAAAGAAGATAGCTGGACTGACAGTATTATCCTGTGAACTCATACTTGAAATATCCCTCTTATGGTTGTCAGGATGGCTATATGTGCATAAAGTCACAGCTTAAATGATGGACTTCGGACATAAAAAATACATCAGTAGTAGCCCCATCTTTCAATTCAGTTTCCAAAGATGAACAAAGACAGAAATAACTGTCACGAACAGTTTAGATCAACTAACAAAAACAGCTTATTTTTTTGTAGCTAATGTATATTGTCCAAAATATGGCAGTTTGGCATATGTGTGCTGATACACACACACACACATTTTGAAAATACTAGAAAAATCATAACAAGATGGCAAATACTAGTTTTGACTAAGAATGATTTTGATGGTCACTTTCCCCAAATTTATAATAAGAGACACCTAGATAACTTTCTGCTGCTTCTTGCAACATTTTTTGGCTTTCTACAACATGTCCCAAAAGCAAATTTTCAGAGCAGTCATAGGAAGGTCTCTGAACTGAAAATGGTATTTGACAGCTGGGATGGCAAAACTGGAATTCTGAAAATTGATTATTATGGGATACTTTGGCCATATTATATCTAATGCATGATCAGAAAAATACCTCATAAGTAACAGATTTGATTGGAGAATCCATGAAATGTAAAGACAAGATACATTTGAATGGAACGCAGTTTAAACTAGAACTTGATGAGAGATGTTCACAAATGCAAACAGAAACATGGACAACAGTTCTGGGAAGATTAACAATGGACCTTTTTCTTCCTCTAGTTTCTCCTTTGAATGTACTTTTTTCAGATTAGATATACTATTCTTAATCATCTTTGTGAATAGATTCTGTTTGTAAAAAAAGTATATTAGCTTTGTAATCCCACAATGTCTGGCTATGTCATCTGCCCTTGGAGTCTCAGGGGACTGGTGAAATCTTGAGGTGGGTCCCTTGCTGATCTAATCTCTTGTATGTTTTATGCATTTTAAAACTTTTTTAATTTGATTGTTTTTGACATGTTGTCACTTCCGGGTGACAATATGTCAAAACGGGTAGCCATATAAGTTGATAAATAAATAAAATAAAGTCTCTATACTGGTAGTAGCATTGCCATAATTCAGACAGGGAACTGGATTTGCAACCATAGGTTCAGACATGACACCTGGATTGTGCATGCTTTCAAAATGATTCATAAAACTTGCTTTGAAACATTTGGGTGCTCGAGCCCAGCATCTCTTTAAAGTTGTGTGCCTTTCTTTAAGCTTCTGCATGGAACTGAAAACTGATGTGGATGCTTTGAGAATCATATTAAAGATGAAGCTGTTTTAACAGGTTGAGTTCAGCCAGTGAAGCACCGAAGTGCTGTGCTTGTACTTTTAAATGAACTGAAGGACCTCTTTATTGTTTTTGAACACCTCCATTAGATATAATGTCATTATGTGCATCTTTCACCCAACTTTAACCCTCAAGAATCTAACAAGGCTGGGAATAAAAAGAGAGGAATATATTAGCTCACGAAGTAACTGCCCATCCTGACACTGCAACTCCTAGAGAGCTTATGATTGAAATGAGATGCAAAGCAGGGCTTCTTGGCAACAGCTAATATTCTCTAAGTTACAGCACTTTGTTCAGTTTAGAATACTTGCTGTAAGGTTGCTCTAAATTGATGTAAGTGAAACAACTGATGAAATTAGGCTACTTTGTCCTAGTAAATCCAGAAAAGGGTGTGTGGCATTTTTCAAGCATTCCATAGGAGGAGAGTGGGTTTATGTGGCAAAGAAGAAAGGGTTAGTTTAATGAGATTGGTGGATGGGTGGGCTTAGTGAAAATATGAAACTCTGTTGAAAAAGAAGCTTACCACTTCTTTTCTTCACAGATACACACGAATGAGATGGAAGCATAAGACAAAAAGTGCTTACTTTAAGGTTCAGACACGCATAAAATGACTGTCGGTGCCCTGGGATGAGTCAGACGAGAGGGACTTGGTTGGTGGAGTCAGGGAAGCTGGGGAAGTGGGAGGGCTCGGGGTAGCACATTGAGCTGAAAATAAGAAATGGAGATACAGCCTGAATAATATACGGTGCTTCAGACAGCGCGGGGTGGGGGAAGGGGGGAGAAAACAAAGGCAAAGAAATACCATCCATTGAGCAAACATGCATTAAAAGAGAAGGAAAAAGAAAGACAATAACAAAAATCACAGAGCAGTAGAAAATGACTGCACTATATTATCTACAAATAAGTCCCATGAGTATTGCTTATGTTAAACTATGGAGTAAAGCTGGGCGGTGTGCAGTCCCATGTTCCTGGTGGATAGCCCTTTGACCATGATTGCTAAAACAGAAGGTCCCATTTCCCACTTTCATTTTGTAGTGAGAAACATCAGAAAACTAATTTATAAACTCTAAAAACAAAAGTAATTCCCCAAATCCCATATGAATGATGAGGTTCCATTCACTCTGAGGCTCTAAGTTCTCTCCCAAAATTCTAACTGAGATTCTGGGCCACCATATCTATCTGCGGAATAAACAGAGATCAAACTCTGGGCAGAGGTGGCGCAGCAGTTAGAGTGCAGTACTGCAGGCCACTTTAGCTGACTGTGTTCAGCAGGTCAGTGGTTCAAATCTCACCGGCTCAAGGTTGACTCAGCCTTCCATCCTTCCGGGGTAGGTAAAATGAGGACCCAGATTGTTGGGGGCAATGTAAATATATATATACATTGCTTACTGGTGTACACCGCTTTGAGAGTGCTTGCACTTAAAGCGGTATATAAGTCTCATAAATAAATAAATAAATAAATAAATAAACTCACAATAATTACTCTGTATAATACAAGCCACAAGGTCAGCCTTTTCCAGCTTGGCTCCCTCTAAATATATGGTGTGTTGGGACAATAATGTTTAGAATCCCAACCATTTCCCAGCTGGAGAGGTTACAGACCATATCCAGTTATATGAAGAAAACTAAATTAAATTCTGTCAACGCCAATTTAGTAAAGTGCATTAAGTATTAATATTCATGGAAAGTAACATATTTTTGGAGTCTCCCAAAATGTGCAGTAATTTAATTATATATTCAAATACAGTTTGAATAAGAAGAATTCCATGTTTTGGCACAAGTCTGATTATAAGGGAACTACAGTAATTACACAACAGCTTCTTCCGTAGCAATGTGCAGCAGTTTAAGAAAAAATAACTTTCCAGTGAACTGTAGAAGGTAGAATATACCACCAGGGCAATGTTTCAATGCAATAATGCAGAGCAAGCGTATTTGAGTAGCTGACTGTCCTAAATGCCTTTTGCCAAGATGTGTACCATAGTAGTGGATATATTTTAAATATATGCATATTCAAGATTGACAGGGGTAACTGTTACTGTCCTTCCCAAAGCTTTCAGTTTATAATTCCTGCACTCAAGGTAAGTTGGATAGCTCTCTAGCCTCTTCAAACAAGTGCTACCTTCAGAGATGACTGGTCCTTTTGGTATAGGAATACAATTGAGGCAGAGCAGGAGGAGTTTGAAAAATGACTCCTTTGGATGAAGTGCACAATTGGTTATTGCCATATCCTCACTTTGTCATACTCTCTTCCCATCTGAGCCATCAGGAAATTATGCTGCCCTCAATCTTGCTGCCCTCACATTGTACTTCGCTATAAACCTGGAATGATCCTGTGCTGCACTGCTATTCAGAGAGCTTTAACACATTTGTGCATTTGTGCATACCTAGTGGAAATGATTACTGAGTGTCCTCACATTGGGGCAAGAAAACTGTCCTATATAATGCAGAAGGTAGTCCAAAGTGTTGAGGCAGCCATGGAGAAGGCATGATCACAACTCCTACATCCCTCATTTCATGTAGGGTGGCAACCTTCAGAATATAGTCCCCACAGGGTGGGCCAAATCTGATGGTGAAAATGGTTCTGCAGATACTGGATGCCAAGCCATGTACAGCTTTAAAAATAATCAATAGCACTTTGAACAGACTCAGAAAGCAAATCAATAACCAAAGAAGTTACTGTGGCACAGATATTACATTCATAAATCTGCTTCTGGAAGTTGTGGAATCTGCTACATTTTGGACCACTTGATGCTTCTGGGGCTTCTTTAAGTGCATTTCAGGAGACTATTGCTGAGATGAAGAAAGCACAAGTCACTGATGGGAGGTCCTTGTGGTCCAAAAAAGAACCATAATTTTGTGCGTCAGCTGAAGTGAGACAACTGGCCATAGCCTCACTGCTCCTTTAAAAAGGAGCCGAGAGTCTAGGAACCCTCTTCGATTTCAGACCTACCACTTTAGAGAGGGGTTGATCCTATTCACAGTCAATGTTGGAACAATTAACTGACCTGACTTGCAGAAATGCTATCCATGTTAGGATAGATAGAGATTGGCCAATTGTTTAAAATTGAGAAATGGCCTCTTCAGGCGGGGATGCACTATTGCTTCCTTGAAGGCAGTGGTACAATATAACTTAAAGATGTTTTAATACCTCTTAAATCTAGCTACTCCATGCCCCAACCAGATGCACATATAAGCCATGTGGTGCATAGATCAAGCTTACAGGTGATGGACCTCATTCCATAGAGAGCCCTATTCATATCCTTAGTTTCTGCGAATTCAAAAGATCCCAGATAATTTCACAAAGATTTCACCCAAGTCATATTGGTATGTAAAATCCAGCTCACATTAAATGTAAGCGATTTTTATTTAGCAAAGGAAATTGCAAATATATCATAGATCTTTAGTAAGATCTTTACCTTCTCTTCCCCTAAAAGTAACGGTGAACAGAGTTGCCAGATGTTAATGTGCAGATGCAATAAAGGTAAGACAAGATGGGATCATGTTTCTCCACTCTTATTACGATGATGTACTCCCAAAATGGCACAATGACTGGTTTCATTTATTCTCCCCACCCTCACCCCATTGCTCTCGGCATCCCATTTACCATCTGCATTGCCTGCAGCTCCTCAGTAAACTCAATGAGGGAGGAGGAATGGCTAGGGAGCAAACTCATCCAGCACCCTCATTTCTGCAGTCTAGATACTGACAGGCTGCAAAATTGGCAGCAATGTAGTGTATTCAATTCACCTTAAGACAGACAAGTGTGTGGTTAATGGGCTACATATAATTCTCATGAGTACAACTCACTATGCCTCATATTGACAATATCTGGTGGCAATTTTTTAATTTATCCATGGGTGGCTTAACACACAGATTCTATTTTTTTTTTAAAAAAAAATCCTTATTCCCACTGCAAATAAAATAAAATAACACATTATTCCATATTCAATGCCACCAGTGTTTCCTTTAACCTTTAAAATAAGTCTTAAAAATGTTCAGGTCTCTATAGAGAAGTTGCCTGCTGCTGACCTATTGTAAGAAGGCGTAAGTAGTTGGAGCTGCTTTTCTTTGGAGTTACAAATTAGAGGAGAAGACATTGCCATTCAGTCAAAGGCTTACTACCATATATGTCATTTAACAAATCAGACTAATTCATTTGTTTACATTTTCTGGAAATTGGTATCAGTGATGGAAAAATGCCTCTTGACTCATTGACTTAAAAAAAAATATTAAAACAGTACAACAGCACAGTTGGCTTCTTATGACAATTTTCTAACTTTTATAAATAATTTTAATGAATTTAGACAAACCATTTAAATTATTTGATTAATTTTCATCACTTAGACTGTCAAATTCAACTTATTTTGGAGGCTAGATCTCTAGTTCATTTGTTTTACTATAATGTCCAATATCCCAAAGATACATCTTTGGGATAACTATGACCTGGAAGACTGGGAATCTCCATAGACATAATGTCCAATACCACAACACTTAAATGCTTAAGCAACAATATCTGGCCAAGTTCATCAATGGAAGGAAAAGCTTTGCTCTTATTGGGACTGTGATGCTCCATTGCCTAATCTTTTGATAATGCTGCAAAGCATTCCATCTTACCAGACAGCATGCGGCCTCTTCGGGAGGCTTCTGTAGCTAAAGCGCAGGAAATCTCAATTCGTTTTTCCTGCTCCTGTAACTGAGCCTCTGAGTCCTGGGCCACGTCCATTTCTCCCTCACTGAGGGGGATGACGTTTTGCATGCTGCAAGAGAAAACATTCAAGTTATTTCAGCCAGAAGGCACGCCCAACACTCAAAGCTACAAAGTTAATAAAAGAAGATGGAAACAGATGTGAAACATCCTATTTGTTTAATATAATTTTTAACATTTTCTATAAAACACAAATGGCCATTTTTAAAGTTATCTTTAAGACTGTAAACACAATCACTCTTCCTTTGCAAAATTAATATTTTTGTTCATTTTCTAGTGAGGGAATTTTGAGGCCATAAATATTTAGATAAGTTATTTTTCCTATCTACTATAGATTGGAATTGCTAATAGGTATATCCAGCAAGACCAGATGTCCAGACAAGGCACCAAAGAGAAAGAAGAAAACAGAATGAAACTTATACAACATTAGTAGCTTCTGAATATTAAGAGACTAGTGGACAGTGCTGTTAATAAACAGTAAGGATAAATATATAGCCTCCAAAATGAAATGTTATTCCAAAATGAAATAAAAATTCAAGCTCAGTGACCAAATGGCACATGGGAAAGTCAAAATGTGTGAAGTAGCACTGCACCTGGATTTAGCAATAAGTGTCTTTATCCTTTCCACTTTCTTTTGTTTCTCCTTCATCTCCTCAGGGCTCAGTGGAGTATCAGGTTCCAGCTCAATATACCTTTCCGGGATGAGGACTTTATCTGGAGTGGAAAGCTGAGTAACAAAAACAGCCAATAAGTGGCAATGGACTTGTTAAATGTTTCACTTGGTAGTATATTCTACCCTATCGTATCCTACACTACTTCTAGGTTAGTCTAGTCTAGTCTAGTCTAGTCTAGTCTAGTCTAGTCTAGTCTAGTCTAGTCTAGTCTACCCTACTTCTAGTATCCAACCTTAATCACTATATTATACATTCCAGAATATACACTTCAGATCATGCTTAAAACATGTGTGCTCTGAAACTCTCCAGTCTGTCTTAAAATCAAATATTCCAGGCATTTCATAAATACAAAGTTCAGAATTCTTAGTTCCTCTCCCACACCTGCATGACTTTTCATTGGGCCTATCCTGTATCCTTAACAAACTATTGAAACTCTCAGCTCATATTGCTCCAACCACACAGACCCTTTGAGTTTCAGAGAAGGCAACTAGATCTCAGGGTACATTATTGAGAAAAGGCAGTTTGCTGAGATTCAGATTGATCATATATTTCACCTCTTTGCTAATGTCCACATTATAATGTTCTGGCTCCAACTCCATTTTGCGCAGGCGAGCAATCTCATCTCGGGGGCTTTCATACATCCTGCCAGAATCTTCAGAGCGTAATGCTGCCTCCAGGTCAGATATATCCACTTCATGGATACTGCGATGCCTGCGAACCTAGCGCAAAATAGACCACTTAAGATATTGTCAGTATTGCAGGATCCAATCTGGGTTGACCACTGAGACCTGAGGTTAGTCTTCTGAGCTTTTGGACTCATGCTGGAGTCCATTCTTAGGGAACTTCTCTCTCACCAGAATATATGAGAGAGAAGTTCATTGAGGATGAATTCCAGCACAAGTCTGAAAGCTTGGAAAATTAAAACTCTAGTCCCAGTGACCGACCCAGATTGGATCCTGGGACATTATCCTGGAACATGTATAGTTGCCTTCATTCATCGTCAGTATTATTTCTAGCTTGGCAGATCACTTGATCAACTTAAGAGTTGCACTGGCTGAATCTCCCATAACTATTCTTCTATACTAGATCATTAACAAATTTAGTTACAGAAAGAACAAAAAAAGTCAGAAATAAAATTTTAGACTAGCATAATTTACTGTGCAGAATTTTTTTTTCATGGGGATAGGGGTGGAATGTAACAGAGATTCAGTCATGTGAGTTTCCAACTCCGGTTTGGACCTGCACAATTAATATATAGGTTTACCACCGCAGACTCAGTTTGTAGGAATAAGGCTAAATTACTGCCTCCTAGTAATTGTTGCAAAGTTTAAGAATATTTGACTGTCTATCATTCAGCCCAGTTCTTAACTTCAATACCTGCAGAACATCCATATGAAACAGCGTTTGACCAATTTTTTTCTCAGGAAAATTCTAATATTGAAGTAGATCTGAGTGGTTTATGAGATGGAGATTAATTTTCACTAATAAAATAAATGTATTACCACTTTATAAGAGGCAGGTGCTTTTGAGAGAAGGCTATCTGTCTGTTGCTGATTGGCTGGAAGTTGCAAGCTCCGTCTCTTTTCCTTCATAGAACTGCTTTGATGGCGTTTCATGCGATCAATTTGTTCCTCGACACTCATCTTTGCTTTCATCTCATTGGAAAACACAGCACTCTTTGGCCTGGCCTAAGGGAGAAAATAGGACCCTGGTGGTTACTAATGGCCCCAGAGGCTTTTTGTTTCATCAAAATCTTGGTTTATTTTTTTCTGAGAGCAGATTCAGGATAGAAAATATTCTGATTAACAACAGGGTCCTTATGTTGTTAACATTTTTGTTAGGAGATGGGAAATCTTCCAGTAGATAGCAGTCCAGGTTCTGAACCAAAAGATGACTAGTTGTTAATAAAACAGTTTATGAAAAGAGGAGTTTGGCAAAGTGTGTTTGAGCATGATAGCAAATGCAGTAAGAAGTTTGCAAAATTTTGAAACTAGAATAATACAGGATTTTTTTCTGTATGACATGATTATATCAAATCATTTTGATATAAGATATGAATGTGATATAAATCTAATAATACAATACAATATTTATGAGTTTAAGACAACTGTGTTTTTGGGGAGAAAAAATAAAGTACTAATTTAGCTTACAATGCAAACATTGTAAGAAGAAGAAAAGATAAATGCTGTGTCCAAGAGCTTCCCATTTTTGTCAATCCAAGAGGAAATTCCACAAAGTAGATTTGTTGCTAACTTCTCAGTATCAGGATAGCAATTTCTCATTGGCTGGAGCCCCCACCTCATCCCACCCTGGGTCCTCAGTTCTCCCATCTCCCAGAAGTGCCTTCATGCCCTTTCACTGGGCATTTTGAAGCTGGCTGTTTTCTCCACTGAGTTGAAGTCATGGTGTTAATCATTTCATCCTGATTTTCAAATGGAGTCATTGTTTTTCTATGAAAATAAATGCAGTGATACAATTATAAGAACACAGGGCAGGTGCTGGCTGGAGGCTGGGTTTTGCATCTCCTGTTGATCACCTGGAGGGAGTGCTATTTGCTTCATAGGTTGTGGTGATTATTGTGGGGATGTTTATGGTGAAGACCCTTGTAGGGCAGAGCAAAAATACTTCTGAGTGTTCAGGTAAAACTGTTCATATAGGAAACCTTCCTGAGATCTCAATACAATTGTGTTCCAGTAACGAAAGATAATAATAATAATAATAATAATAACAACAACAACAATAACAACAACAACAACAATTGGAAGGGACCTTGGAGGTCTTCTAGTCCAACCCCTGCTCAGGCAGGAAACCCTATACCATTTCAGACAAATGGTTATCCAGTCTCTTCTTAAAAACTTCCAGTGTTGGAACATTCACAACTTCTGGAGGCAAGCTGTTCCACTGATTAATTGTTTTAACTGTCAGGAAATTTCTTCTTAGTTCTAGGTTGCTTCTCTCCTTGATTAGTTTCCATCTATTGCTTCTTGTTCTGCCTTCAGGTGCTTTGGAGAATAGCTTGACTCCCTCTTCTTTGTTGATTTAGTTGATTTTGACTAGTGGCTAAGGATGAAACTAGAGGCTTTCTGGTCACACATTTAACTCATTCTTTCTAGCAATCCTGGATTAACTGTTATCACATTCCTCCCAATTCACTGAACTGTCAATAAAGTAGGAAGAATATAATCTTTCACTGTCAAAGTGGAGAAATTTGAGCCTTATCATACAGACATCATCATCTATAAGTGATGAGGACACTGACATCAGTTAGGATGCTGATACTTCTGCTGATCTCCGTAGCTTGCTTCTCAATGGTTAACTTTTCCTTATGTCAGGGTTTCCCAACCTTGGCAGCTTTAAGATATGTAGACTTCATATCCCAGAATTCTGGGAGCTGAAGTCCACATGTCTTAAAGTTGCCAGGGCTGGGAAATTCTGCCTTACATAATACCTTTGTATAAACATTGTTCCCCTTTTGGTACCAAGAAAGACGTTTTCATTCCCATAGGAAATAGACTTTTAATTTACAGTAGAATTTTGTTGCTACATTATTTAAGAGGTTTTTTTTTTTAAAAAAAAAAAAATCTAATTATAACTTTTAGTTAGAGGGCTGTTTAATTTTTGGACTGATTTTTTAAAATTTTCATTTGATATTTCTTTTCATTGGTCACTTGATCACATTGTTTTCTGATTTGTTGTATAATTGCATTGTTGGTTTTTATATATTGTATTGTTCAGCACTATTTCCTGCAGAGTAATTAATATTATTAAAAATGAATTAACAGAATATTGAAATGATGGCAGAATTCATCCTCACCTGGGAATCCCGCCCATTGGCACTCCTCCTCACCACACCTGATGTTGGTGTGTTCTCATCATCCATAGGTGACTTAGTTCTTGGAGGAACAATACCAACTGGTGGAAATCCAGGAGGTAAAGAAAAACAAAGATATTAACAAGAAGCGGGAAGATTTTGGCAATGGCAATATACAGTATAAATAGAAAGCATTTATTTTAAATGACTTTTACACCTACTCATATTGTAACCAGAACTATGGGTGGCTCACAAACAGTAAAAACAGACACCTCCCCAACAATTAGAATAAAAACTTAGGATGCTCCAGAGCAGCATTGTCCCACATTGCCTGGGCTCCAGCCTCATTCTGCCCCAACTCCTGTGTTAGCAAAGCTCTGTTGGTTGGTTTCCCTGTTATCATTTGCTCATTATCTATTGTAAAATGGGAAAATTAATTTGGACTCTGGAATATTACTGAATGTTATTATAATTTCTGCTCCATTGATTGTTTTATTTGTTTGTTTGTTTGTTTGTGTGTGTGTGTGTGTGTGTGTTGGTCTTAATTCATTATTAGCCACACAAACGTATAATAGATGGGTGGCCACCACCAAATAAATGGGACAGATGATAGAGATGGATGGATGGATGGATCCATCTGTCTGTCCATCTGTCTGTCCACCCACCCACCCACCCACCTGTCTACCCATCCATCCACTCACCCACCCATCCACCCATCTATCCTTGTGACAGGTAATCCAAATACTTACTTAGGGCAGATAATGTAAACAGTTATTTAGGACAAGAAAGGAGCAAGAACTACTTTCTTGCTAAAATCATTTCAGAAAAACCTTGCTGAATGAGACCAAACTCACTGAGCCGGCCTATAAGCTTGTTAAGACAATCACCATTGAGCAGCAATTTTTTCCCCACTGTGAATGTCTATTGATGGGTTCACCTATTGGAATCTGGATTTGTTTTAGCATCTATTGCTTAACAAGCCAAAATGGATGGATTGATAGTTAAGATATAAATCATGGGTTAGGAATGTCTAGGCTCATACAGCATGCTAGGATTGACATTTGTATGAACTCAATCTGTCTCTATGTGATACTGTATACTGATTTTGTATAGTGACATATTATATTGTATAGCGACATATTATATTGCTCTGAACAAAGGAATTTGGGGATAAAAGGCTTTGCTTATTGTAATGTATTCCTATATATCCATGGTGGCGAACCTATGGCATGCATGCCACAGATGGCACGCAGAGCCCTCTGTGTGGGCACGCGCAACATCGCCCCAGTCCTAAGCCTTCAGCTGGGTTTTATAAAACCTTTTCACTTTAACCTCCACCATTTGCAAAAAAAAAAAAAAGTTTCAATCAATCAATTTCAACTTCTCACAGGAAAAAGTAAGATCTCGCAAAGTTGAAATTGATTGATTGAACTTTTTAGTCCCATCCAGTCTGCCGTTACTACCGCAGCCACGCCCACCCAATGGGCCACACCCACCCGGCACCTGATGATACGTAAGTGGGTTTTGGGTTGCAGTTTGGGCACTCAATCTCTAAAAGGTTCGCCATCACTACTATATATATATGTTTCTTAAAATCTATCTTTCCTGAATTTGAGAGATACAAACTTTATACCAGTTATTCCCAATCTATACTCTTTTTTTAAACACCAGACTACAATTCCCACCATTAGAAGCCAGCATGACTTTTGGAGCTGGCAAAGAAGATAATATCAGCAAACAAATGGATTCTCTTAATAAAATGCAATGTATAGGTACCTTTGTTGAGTGCCACCTGCTTGTCAGAATCTTGGTCCTGTCTTGGCTGCAAGAGACCAGCCTCCATTGTTGAATGTGAGGCTGATGCCCGGTGATGGTCCTTCTTGGTCTGCTCAAAGCTGGACTTTGACTGTGGGGAAAACGTATTTCCTTAGAAAGTGTCTGGTCTTGCAGAAGACAACTGCTATCGACAGCTGTTACTGTCCTGAAGATTTTCTTGTTTTTGTTTAAGGAATTTAAATGGTCACCCAGCTCATAGTTCTGATTATAGATGGTTAATATAGAGTTAGAACAGAGAAGAAAAAAATAGGCAACAAGAATATATTGAGTGTATTGAAAAAAGAATCCGAAGCATCTCTGTAGATTTTTTTTCTTCTCTGTTCCAAAACAGTTCAAATGATGAAAAACCAGTCAGGTGAAGAAAAGATGGGGCAAATGCTTACTTCATTAGCATGTTTTTTGTTCAAGGTAAAATATCCAGGAAAGGCAAGGATTTCTATTCCTAGTAGATTCCCCTAGGAATTAGAAATGTCCAGCTGGATATACATTGGAGAATAAAGCTCATGAGATAAACTGCCACCTGTTCTCTACTTCTATAAATGGAAACTAGAAAGCACACCAGAAGAGGATATTTGATGAAATTATATTGCCCTTAATTAGAAAACAAAAATAGCAACTACTTGGAGAAGAGGAATACTGTGAGGAAAAGATTCACTGTCTTGGATACTTCATTTTCTTCTGCTTCATTTCAGTACCATTTCTATAACTTTCACAGGGGCTTAATTGAGGAAACAAAGGGTTTTAGACTTCGTATAGCCATGCCTCAGCTCATTTTTTGCTGCAATAACTTAGATTTTTGTGTGATATTGGTTGGTGGAGGAAGATTGTCTGTCTGTCTGTCTATCTCCTGCTTTTATTATTTTTAGAAATAACTCAAAGTGGCAGACATATCACACTCAGCTTTCTCCTATTTTTCCCACCACAAAAACCCTGTGAGATGAGCTGGGCTGAAAGAGAGTGACTGGCCTAAGATCACCCAGCTGGCTTTCATGACTAGGAAAGACCTTAACCACTAGACCAAACTGCTTTTATAGTGCTTGCTGCTTCCAGATCTTTGAATTTTTTCAAAAACATGCAACCTCCTTTCTCTGCTGCAGATGTGGGATAGAGGTGTCCCAATACAGCAAATTCTCTGATAATGTGGTTTAATTTCTCCCTCCTCCCCACTTTGTGTTTCTAGCTTACCATGTCTGTTTTGAAAACCTACCTATCTTCATCCATGATTACATAATAAAACAATGGTTTGCATTCTCAAAAAGGCCAACTCTTTGCTAAATAATTTTCATATCCGGACTTAATCTACTTATAGAAAAAGTGCTTCATGTGGAACTACCTTTATCCATTATAAGCTTAAAGACACAACATACATGAGCAAGAAAGATTACTGTTAGACATAGGGTTCCCTCGCCCACCCTCTCTCTGGCCGCATTGCCTGGTGAAAGTAGCAAAGGATAGACTCTGCCGCTAGATCTCAGACTCCATTTTGATACCTGTCCCCTCTTCGCCTCGCTGCTTTCCTGCCAGGAAGGGGAGTTAGGATATGGCCAGAGACGGCTTTCAGAAGGAAGTGGAGGGATAGTCGGAGGAGACTCCAAGGGCACATATGATTTGGGGAGGGGAGGTCGAGGTGGACCAGGCTCCTGGAGTGGAGAGGAAATCAAGAAGCATTAGGAGTAAGAGCAAAGAAACTGTGAGAATGAGAAGGAAAAGAGAATTAGTGAGACACAGATACATATAAGGACAGATGTTAAACCAGGATAGGCACCTGCATCTGAGCACCAAAAACTCAGGAGTCAAAATGAACAGCCTTTTTCCTTGGTGACCAACCCAGTACCAATCCAGAGAATACTACTGCTAGTCAGGCATCACTTGATAAATAATGTACATGATACGATGACTTTACTTTCACTTGCTTCAACAAATATCTGCCATTTCAAAATATGCATCCCGTCTAAGACACATTTTTCAAAATACAAATATTTTAGAATGTCAGCACAATCTGCTGCTTCATCAGACAATGCAAGCTAGTGTCTCAAGACATGGCTGATGAAGACTTAAAAGACCTCCCGTTGATTCATAAACACCGAGGTCACGGCAACATAGAAAGTGATGCTCCACACAAATATAAGGGGTAGCACATGAGTGGAACTAGGGTTGATGATTGTTTCAGGGTAGGAGTTTGATTTTGATGAGAGGAATAGCTTAATGAGTTGTTTCCACTGAACCTTGAAATTTAACTAAAAACATTTGGCTTGTTCTGATGTATTATTAGTCTAATAAAAAGGAAAAAAACAGGGTCCTATCACAGTGGTACTCAACCTCAGCAGCTTTAAGATGTGTGGGCTTCAATTCCTAGAATTCCTCCAGCCAGCATGCTATCTGGGAAAATTCTGGGAGTTAAAATCCACACATTTTAAAAGCTTTTGAGGTTGAGCACATTGATCTATCAATTTCTGCATAATTTTTTTATTGATGAAGAAGTAGGCTATCTGACTCTCCTCATCTTTTGGCTCAATCCAATGACTTAAGTGTTTGCTTATAATGGGCAAGCATGAACTTGTTACTGTCTAAGGAATATACAAAATTAGTAGCATACATTACTGTGCTGCTAATATCATGCAACTAAATCATTCCAGATTTTGAGTTCTGAAGCACTCATTGCCAAGATATTTAGGTGGTCTTTCTAAAACAGAACAGTGGAATTTATTTGGCTTGAATTCTTAGCATTTATTGGGTGCTTCTTCTGATAGAAATATCAGTTTCCCAAAGAACCTCTAGATGACACCTTCTATGAGCTTGTTCCATAGAATTATAATTCTCCTGAGAGATTGACAATCCTATCAGAGAAACAGAAGATGGATATCTATGTCAAATAACACACCTCCACAAAAGTCTGCCTGAATGTTCAGAATAGCTTATTTAAAATGCAAAATAGAAGCAGCCCAAACAGTTCTCAGTTCTATTATGTCTCTTGAGTCTTTCTCTGCTTTCCCCCTCCTGAAACCAATAACATCCTGAATTATGTTTGGCCCAAGAAAGTGTCTCTTCTCTCTTCCTATCCCCTTTCACAGAGCGTATGCCCATATATGTGTATTTGTGTATCTCACACAGTCTGCCTAATTTATTATTTCTCCTCCACACAAACACATACACACCAAATAGTTAATTTTGTAATGAAAAAAAAGCCAGTCAAAGCTTGGTCCTATTCTCTGTCATAGCCAACGACAAAATGGGTCAAGAGGTGCCATGGCTACAATTAGAGAGGTAAAGGCTGTTTCCATAGCAGATTCACCCAGCCAATTGGAGCTGCAAAGACTGCTGTCCCTGATTGTATCATGGCTTGTCCTTGAGGTACTCAAGATTTTCAGGGGGAAAAGGAAAAAAAACATTACTTCCAAACAGTTAAAAACAGTTCAAGACTGATGGTGAGATGGAGGCAAGGTCATGAAGACGTGGCCCTCAAAAATGGTTGGGAAAGCACCAATATGCTTCATCCAGCAGGTGTAAGGATGAGTCTGTAGACTGTGCTCTGAACAGAGGTGCATTTCAGATTTTTTTTTTATCCCAGGTGTTACTCAGATGCATCATTAGTTTTTTGCCAACTGCACAAGCATAAAGAAATAAGAGACAGGGAGCCTTGCTTTATGGGAAAACATCAGCTCATTATTTTAATTGCTAAAAGGCTACTTTTTATAAAATAAAATTGAATAGAACAAAGAAAGAGACTATTTTCTATAATGATCAATCTCTGGTCTATTTACTTTCAGTTGCTGGAAAATGTAAAAAACCAAATTTAAAGCAAATGAATAAATAACAATTAAACTCAATTACATACAGAACTTTTATAGGTAAACTGGTGCACCAAGTGCCAGCTACCAGGAATTTGTTCTTTAGATTTTCAGTAACAAACTACAGGTTTTCAAGGATTTGGGGCCAATTTCCCAACCTTTAACTGGCTGGTTCTCTGAAATTATTCAAGCATTGTAAGCCAATAATGTAATGTTTAGATTTATACTATGGTCATTGGAGGAATTTGTCCATCCGTTCCATGTCAGAAGAAGGTGTACATCTGGTGTACATCTCCACCTACTGGTGGAATAATAACCTTTAAAACAAAAACATCAGGGACCATCTTCTGGCTGCTTCAATTTTCCAGCACCTTTAGCCAGAGGTCCCCAACCTTTTGGGCACCAGGAACCGGTTCTGTGGAGAAAGATTTTTCCACGGACCGGAGTGTGCATGGTTTTGTGCGCTGCCTGTATCCCATTTGTTTGTGCAGACCAGTTGCTGGCATGCTGTGGCCTGGTACTGGTCCACGGACCAGCGGTTGGGGACCCTTGCCTTTAGCCATTCTAATTGATGAGAGATTTGCTCACCTCATTGCTGCCTTGCTTGGTAGGGGAGCTCTGGGATCCAGACACAAGAGAGAAAGGGCTCAAGGGGCTTGTGAGGCTAGCTGAGCTCAAAGGACTGGCTGGACTGTTGGAGCTGTAAGTTCCTGATGGGCCAAGGGCCACTGCAAGAAAGGGGAACAGATAGTAAAGCATTAATGAACTGCAGGAAAGGGACATATGATGATGAGTTGGAGATAACTGGAGTGTATTAAACAGAACAGAGAATCTTTTTTACTAAAAGGAGAAAGAGGGCTTTTAGAAAAAGGGATGAGGCTCAATATACTGTACATATAGGAAATAAGAAAGCATATAACATTATTTTCTACTGCCTAAAGTGTGTTTCTTAAGCTCAAATACTTTAAGATGTGTGAACTTCAACTCCCAGAATTCTGACTGGGGAGTTTTGGGAGCTGATGTCCACACATCATAAAATAGTTGTGATTGGGAAACACTGGTCTAAAGTACCTAAATCTGGTTAAAATATGCTCTAGTAACCACTGTTTTCTTTTATTGCCCCCTTACATTGCCCCTTACATCCCAACCTTGACCCATATTCCAAAAAGTTTTAAGTCATCCTGATGGGATGTTTCAGTGTTAAAGGTTGTTTTCCCTATTAGGCAGTCAACAAACTGCATCAGTTTTACCAAAGACACATTCTGAAGCACTTCACCAATCCATATGACTAGAAGACATCCAAGATCCCTTCCAACACTGTTATTCTGTTATATTATCAATGATACCATCAGATGGCATAAGCGATGGGGGACAACTAGTCTGGCACATATTGACAACCTTAGACTGATACAGCTATACCGCTTTATCCTGGTCCTGGGCATTTTCCTCCAGGGCCATTCTGTTTGAACAATGAGAGAGTCCAGTTCTTCCAATTATTTCAAACAAAGCTCTTCCTTGTACATGCCAGGTCTCTCAGCCAATAAATCAACCTGAATAACAGCTGACGAGGATAGATGAAGGGGGCTGCAGTGTGACTGCTTCATGGAACAATTCCCCTCTGGGTTTAGCTCTCTACTGGGAGAGTAGTAAATCCAAACTCAAAAGCAGCTTGAACAACTGACAGATAGGGTGAAGTGGCAGAGAAAGAATAGCTCATACAATCCCCCTAGAAACCTATCAGCTAATGTTTGTACTGCTTTTGGACACAGATGGGCTTTTTAATGGGTGAGTGTTAATCTGGTGTTCAAGGACAGTCTGACAGGAATAATGGATTGTACCAAGAAGCAGCAGCAGCAGAGAGAAAGAAAGGTCACACAACCTCCAATCTCTCAGCTATTCAGGTTATTCAGATCCCTTCGCCTGCTGTCTCTTACCACCTGGGCAAGTGACCCTACATGTGACAAAATGCCCAGTGAAAAGAGGACTAGTTTTCATAGAAGGTTAGGCCCTACAGTCTGGTCATATGTAAAAACCATTGCCAATTACAGCTGTCCTCTTTCTACAAGTCAGAACAGAGACACTGTGGATTAGCAATGAGGGTAGTAAACTCTATGTTGATGTCAGGCTCATGGATAAGAAAAGAGTACTTGATGTAGAGAGGATTGTGGGCAGAATGGATAGTTTCTCAGCTCCAGTACCTCTACTTGTGTCTTTTAAGTACTCCTTACTCCCATATATAATATCTTTCTTGTTAGGTCTCTCTAGCTCTAGAGATAAAGAAAGTCAGAACAAGATTTTTGAAAGCACATGTAGCTTTGAATACATAGACTCTTGGGCTTGTATCCATTAGTTTAATCCTGTTATCACCACTGTAGTTATTCTATTTGTTATGGATTGGTTGATCAAAAAAAAAGGCCACATTTATTAGTTAGCTAGTTAACTTATTTGTCATTTATTTATGAGACTTCTATGCTTCTCCACTCCAGAAAACTTTGAGCACCACAGATAGGGAACTGCTTCCCTGCACTTAAACAGCATCAGGCTAGAAACTGGAACTTTTCAGCTACAGCTGAAAAAAACATTTCATGCTGAGTATTAAGGTAAAAGCAGATACTCAGGTTTGGAATAATATCGACATCACCATTTAGTAGGCTGTCATTATTTCTGGGAGATGGAAGTCACAGGGGCAGGGATGGGGGGCAGGGAAGGAGAGATCTAAAGCTTGATCATAAAGCAGAAGGGCATATACAACTCAGTCTAAAATGCTTTGATGCTGACTTCATTTTAAGTAGATAAGACACATTGGAAAAAGTACAGAAAAGGATATTCAAATGGATTAGAGACCTTCTCTTTAAAATATAATTAATGTGTTCAGAGCTTCTTAGTTTTAAAAAGAGGCAGCTTGGGGTAGAGGAGGACAAAGTTTACAAAATGATGCCTAGCATGGAAATAGTGAGAAATAAGTTTCAAACGTTATTTGAAGTGCACCCAGTTCAGGACTGACAATAAAAAATAATTCCTTCCCTCAACACATCTTTAATTGATGGAATTTATTGCCGCAAGATGAGATGATAGTTGCTGTATGCAAAGAAGCTGGTTTAAAATTGTTAACCAATTTATGAAGGATAAGACTATCAAGTGGTTTTAGGTGAACTAGTTGAACAGAAATGGCACAAAAATAAAGGGATTAAACCAATGTCATTAAGAGGAGTGTCAGAGCAGTTATATATATGTATGTATGTATGTATGTATGTATGTATGTATGTATGTATGTATGTATGAATGAGTATCAGAGCAGTTATATGCATGTATGTATGTATGTATGTATATATGCATGTATGTATGTGTGGCTGATAACGTTAAAAATATGAACCCTGGGTATATCCATATTAAAATAAAAGTGAACACCAGGGAAGTTAAAACTATAAAAAGTTTAATTAAAAACGCCAAGCTTTCGCTGGCACCTGCCAGCATTATCAGGGCTTAAAATGCTAGGAAGTGAGGAAGTCCCTTTATAGGTCAGCCAGGGTCTGTGTCCGGCTCTTCGATCTCGTCAGCGGACCTGATTGAGTAAATTGTACTCCGGTGCTCTTTTTCTTTTTCACCACTTATCCATCTGTATGATGTCATTAATCTTCCCTTCGTTGGATTTTGGGTTAGATGGAGTGCCCTCCCTGTCCCCTTGGATGTTCCCCTCATCTTTTTCTTTTTCTCGCTCAGAGCTTTTAGATGGTTTATGTCCCCCCCTTCTCTTTCCCCCCCATCCACATTTGCATAACTGTCATCTCTGTAGGTGTCTTTACTTTCTCCAAAATCCCCCACTCGTCCATTGTTATTACTAAAGTAATCCTGTGCATCGTCCTGATCTATCTGGGTCATTGTTACGGGGTGATTTATTATATTAATGAGCCATAGACTGTTCTGACTGGGCATTATAGAAATTGAATACTGGAGTCCAAAATATTTCAATATTAAAGATTGAAGAATGCTTGTTGAAATGAAATATAAGGTAGTCCTTGACTTGGGATAGTAATTCAGCTCAAAGAAGAAATTTTCTGACATAACAACTAATCAGTGGAACAGAAGCTGTGGGTGTTCCAACTCATTCTGTTTTTCTGTTAAAATTACACTTGTGTTATTGTGGGTATTAAGTCGGTCATCACATGACCCACCTGATTTTATGACATTTTTAGCAAAGGTTCAAGGATGCAGCAGGAAAGTGAAACAAATGGTAATTCTACACTGATTGGAACAGCAACCAACTGACACTAGTGAGCATTTTAGGTAGCAGAAAATGGATGTTCGTTTCACAATAGCAGTGGCAGATAATTAACACTCAGATATTTAACACTCAGATATTAATTGAACATTGTATCAGGTTACCAATAGCAATAGCACTTAGACTTATATAATGCTTCATAGTGTTTTACAGCCTTCCCTAAGCGGTTTGCAGAGTCAGTCTATTGCCCTCAACAATCTGGGTCCTCATTTTACCAATCTTGGAAGGAAGGAAGGCTGAGCCAACCTTGAGCCAGGCAGAATCGAACTGCTGGTAGTCAGCAGAATTAGCCTGCAATCCTGCATTCTAACCACAGTGCTACTAATGGCTCATTAAGAAGTAAAAATCAATTGAAGAAGTGGCCCTCACCTCGGTGTTTTGCGGTGTCTGTGCCCCGGGAGGGGTTGTTCTTTTTGAGTCCCTCCATCACATCCTGGATTCGCCAAATCTCTTTCTGGATTTGCCTGTTGAGCATTTCATTCTGAAAGACAGAGGAGAGAAACAAATCCACATTTAATTAAACTAAATACTAATGTTAGTAATTAATTTCCTATACTTAATTGTGGGCAGAGGGAAGGATAATTTTTAGGCAACCGTGAGTATAATATTAGTTGTGATATGTATATTTGTTTTCTTGTCTCTCTCATCAGGCTATCACTTAATACCTGTTAACTACTATAATGGAAAGTAGATAAAGTAGAGCAAGAAACAACAACAACAAAAACAGAAATATAACTAAAGAAAGAAAAATACTTCCTGTATGAAATGTTTCCTTTAAAATCTATTTAAAGCATAGCCTCATCATGATAACAGAATACCAAGCTTTTGGTTCTGCTCTTTTGATATTGAACACACTTACTTAAGAATAAGCAACAATCCATGAAGAAAATGGTGATAGCAAAATGTTTCAAATTCAAAATGTTGTGAATTGAAATGATCTATTTTGAATCTGAAACAGCTATCCTGATGCTATTCTGATCACTCTGGATATGTCCTTGGCTCCAATCAGCCTGATTTCAAGCTGATTTCAAACTCAGTTGTTTTAAACTCAAGAGAGCTGCTGCAGGTTCAAAGCAGACAATACAATTGGAAGGATCCTTTCGAACTTGAACAAAACTCTTTTAAAGTGAAAACTTTTGGATCACACCTAATAAAAAGTAATATATTTTAAAAGGAAAGTCATAAAAACAAACATATGCAACTTTATCATGCCATTTTTCTATAAAATGTTGGAAGGAAGGAAGGAAGGAAGGAAGGAAGGAAGGAAGGAAGGAAGGAAGGAAGGAAGGAAGGAAGGAAGGAGGGAAGGAACAACTACTTATATTGACTGACTCTGGGTCTGTGCACCAATGTCCCTATCGTCTGCAGTGATTTCAGAATTCTCTGCACTGTGGAATAGATGTGTTTGATCTTACAGTTGAATTGCAATTGCATCATCAAAAGTATCTGCTTTTGGTTTTGTTTCTCTTTTTTAAAGGTTTCAGAACTGGGGATTTCTGAGAATTAAAGTTCACATATCCAGAGGATCTTCAGTTAGGGAAGTCTATAAATTGTGTTTCCCCTAGGCTTATCTGCATCTGCTATTAGAATTCTGCAATAGAAAAGGTATCTTGTAAGAAAGGGAAATTCAGCAAGAAAAAGTATAGGTAATAAAGGAATAAGCAATCTCTTTATTTAACTTTTCTACAAAAAAAAATGTCCCCTTCAAAGATGCCTTTTAATACAATATACTGGTAATTTGTTATATTCATGCCTTTGATAGGTGAGTCTTCATAAAATAACGAGGAGGAGTGATTGCAAAGGTAAGAGACAGAATGGAAAGAAAAAAAAATAGAAATCAAAGGAAGGACAGCTACGTGTTGAGAAGAATGGATGAGAGACTGAGGTATAGACCAGCAGTGAAAGAAAAGAGTACAGAGAAGAAAAAAGGGCTGGGGAAAAGTTGTTTGCTTCCTTTATAAAAGGATGAAACAATTATGTTACAAAAGTTACCACAAAAATACTTTTCCACAATTATCTTGGTGATCTATGTCTGCTAATTAAAAATAAACAAAAGTAATCATTTAAATTATTTCAGTTGTGCATCCTTGCCCAATCTCTGTGTGATCTTTCCTGTAGATTAAGCCCATTTTCTCCTGAGGAAACTTGGCTTCATCAGCTCTTGGCAAGTCAGTCTCTAGTTTTGAAGTCTCTGAACAGGCTATGTAATCCCCAAGTAAAGAAAGGTATAGTGTCTCACATGAAATTGTTCATGCAGGAAACCGTGGGTGTGTGAACATGATTTTATCAAGCCTCCAGATTGTAGATAAATCTTATCTCTAAATTGGAGAGTGCTTCAAAAGTTAGCTTCCTATTGGCACAAATGTGTAGAGTACAGTAAATATAATGCAGACAATACACTGCATTCCGGTTTTTACAACTGTGGCCACATTCTTTGAAGCAATTGCAATTCTGGCAGTGTGGGTCTGTATAATACTGATTCATTGCCTAATATCTTATTAGAGTTGATTTATTATAATTTAAACACAGAGATGGGATAAGCAGATCATCCATCCAATTAGAACTCAAAATGTTGCCTGCCCTTTCTATGTCCACAAGCAATTTTTTCCACCATGAGACAGAACAGCTCCTGTCCTCCATTGAGGTCATCAGAATGTCAAATACCAGGAAAGCAAGCTTGGATTAAACATCTATCTGGCAGACATGACACAATGTTTTTATAAACATAAGTTTGTGTTTATTTGTACATAAGTACAAATTCTGAGCCGCTTAGACAACTTTTCTCAGCTTGGGCTCTCCAAGTATATAATATTATAACTTTTGTTAGGCACAGTTAATCAACTGAAAATTTTCTTAACTTAGTAGACCGAAAAACTGGGTGAATGATTTCCTTAAATTTGGGTAGGATTTGCACTTATTTCCAACGTATTCTAGCAACTCAGCATGCTGAGCATTGTATCCTTGATTGGTGGATTTGCCTGCAATCCATCTGATGCAGATGGATTCATTCTCTCACCTGGATGTCCAAGTTCAGCTGTTCCCATAAATCATCATGCAAGGCTGATACCTCAGCTTCCAGATTCTCATATTCCATAGTGCTGTTGGCCAGTGCCTGTGGGGATTTGCAAACAGTCTCATCAAGATACGAATGTCTGGCTAGATCCCTGTAGTGCAGAAAAACTAATTGGCATAAGAACACTAACTGTTCAACCATCTGTTTGGATCACAGCCTTCAAAACTTCACAGAAGAGACAAAGATTTCCATTCCGAAAAACATTTGCTTTTTTAAAGACTCATTATAAGTCTTCAGGGGTAGGGAAGCAAGGCTAGCATTTTGCTTGTTTCTTTAGGTTAGGGTTTGTTTGTTTTTTGGCATACTGAAAACATAGACCCTATTCTCTGAGTATAGTTTTGGAGAGACCAAATTGATGACATACACTTTGGATGTTCTGACCTCTAAATGTGATTTTTGCAACTTACTCTTGTGTTGAAGAGGGCTTTATGGCCTCCTTTCTTCCCTCTCCCCTTTTTATATAAAAGAAAAAGGCAATAAAAGAATAAAAGATTGAAGAAATGTATTGCACAATGCTAAACCATCAAAACATTATTCTTTTTGATTCTAGCATTTCCTGGCAACACTAGCATTGGCAAAGCAAGGAGAACAGACTGCCCATTCAAGCTCAGCTGGAAGCACCTGGTTTTCACAACAGCTAATGCTGCTGGAGAAGCAGTGAAGACTGCAAAGCTGAGAAGCCAAAGCCTCTAGTAATCTCCATGCCAGCTAAATATGACCAGAAGCTCAACTATTCCATTTGTGCACTTCCATTTGGTATAGCTGTGAATGATATTGAATGATGGGATAATCAAAGCTAATGATTAACAGACGCATAACCCTTTCCCTTAGATCAGTGTTTTTCAACCTTGGCATTTTAACATGTGTAATGGGAAATTCCAGAGTTGAGGCCCACACATCTTAAATGGTTAAGGTTGCGAAATGCTACCTTAGATAGTACTAAGTCCCTGAAGGTTTCTAGGTGTTTGGGATTTCTTGGTGACTAAGGAAACTTCTTAGATTACCGTGCTGGCTTGGGATAGTTCCACCCGAATATTGATCAATTGATTCTGAAGAGATTCCTTCTTGTGCAGCAGTTTTTCAGGGTAGGCTGGCTGACTCCCAAACATCTCTAGTTCCTGGTGTGTCCCCATCAGTGCACTCTCTAGACTCTCCTGGTGATGAAATGAGCATAAGAAAATACAGGTTTGTTAATAAGGGCAGGTAATCCAGAAGCAAATTCAGGACTTAAAGATTTGAAATTGGTTGTGTTTTCTAGTTAAGAGTCTCTTTCTGGACTAGAGTACAAATAGTCCTCAACTTACTTCTACATATTTAGTGACTGTTTGAAGTTACAAAGCATTGAAAAAAGTGACTTATGACCATTTTTCACACTTACGACCATTGCAGCGTATCCATGGTCACACGATCAAAATTCGGATACTTGGCAACTGGCATGTATTTATGACAGTGGCAATGTTCCAGGCTCATATGATCACCTTTTGCAATTTTCTGATGAGCAAAGTCCATGGGGAAGCCAGATTCACTTAGCAACTGTGTTACTAACTTAACAGCAGTGATTCATTTAACAACTATGGCAAGAAAGATTGTACAATGGGGCAATACTCAATAATTGTCTTGATTATCAATAGAAATTTTGGTTCAGATGTGGTCATAAGTCAAGGACTGCCTGCATGTATATTCGTACTGCTTCTAAGCTTTGCAGTCTCCCTTTCATTGTTTCTAAAATGTATGTCCATGGATTTATTCCTATTTCTATTATTTTGAAAATCATTAAATTTAATTGAACTTTTCTCATGTTTTAGGATGGAAAGCTAGTAAATTTATGAGAAAAATAGAGTTGACCTTTATAAATTTCTTGGATAAGGACTTTTTCTTAAGCAGAAACATGGCTTTAATCAGGCTCTGAAGGAGAAAACAGTAGTTTATAAAGCCCTGAGAATTTAAGGGTCTATAAACAATATTTCTGCAATAAAATTTATATTAGAGCCAAGCCAATGTAATCCCCAAGGCCTCTTCCAATTCCATGTCCCAAAGTCACATGAACTGATAACTGAAGCTGCTTCAACCCTGGCAATAAGGCAGCAGATTAGCTGGAGGGCAGAAATCAGGCAATTTAGAAAAATAGTTCTGATATTTTTCGGCATCTAACTGAGGCAGTTACCTCTGTACAACCTGATCCAATATGGTGGGACTAGCAAAATGCTAATGTATTTGTACTTCTGGGCATTTTATTATATACGCTGATCCTAAAAGAATTTGCTGTGAAAAATTTGTAAGTTGAAATTGGTCACTTCTCAGTTATATTAATTGAGATGTTCAGAGTAGTGTCTCATTTAGTTGTAATGAATCTAAGTACTTGTGCCTAAAGACCCAAAGACCTTGGATGTGTTTTAACAGTTATCTTTGAAAGAGGCAGTTATCAGCCCCTGCTAAAGAAACTTAACTCAGAAGTGTACAGACAGTTGCCAGACTCCATTTCTTTGGAAAGGTGTTTGAATCATTGCTTATCAAACAACTCCAGGGAAAAACACTGATGTTCTGCATTCACCTGGATTTTGTGACAAAGACTGTCTTGGTCACCTTGGGAGTGACTTTGGTTGAGAAAAAACAGAAGGAACACCAATCCTGTTGCTTTCCTTGGACTTCACAGTTTTTAGCACTATCAACCATGGTATCCATCAGAATTAGCCATCTGACTAAGACAGGTTCAGCCTATTCCAGAGAATTACTGTTTTGTCATATTGCAATTACTTCATATTTCATATTATTTCAATTTACACAAAACTGCTGTGGAAAATTATTTGGTATATTAGCTGAACTATTATCATTACACAGATGACATTTTTCATTTAACACAGTTGACATACGAAATGTTTTGAAACACTGAATAATTGCCTGGATGAAAATCAAGAAAAGAAGCTCAGTCCAGATTGAGATCAGAAATATTATTTGGGGTGCTTGCGATTTTTTGTTCCAGTATGGGTTACACCCCTTGTGAGAGTTCAGGAAAGCAGTTTGGAGTGTTCTCAAAACTCAGTGGTAGTTTTATCACCTCATAAAACCACCCTCCTTTGAAATAGATAGCCAATGCTCAATGTTACATGCTCTGGTAAACTTTTGATTAAATTATTATAATGTGTTTTGCATGGTTCCTTTGAAGATGGAAACTTTAGTTATTCTAATACAGAGCTGCCAGGAAATTAACTGGGACTGTTCAATTCAGACACAAGAAATCAGTGCTTCATCAGCAAGTCAAATAGCTGATATTACTCTTTAAAGATTTGAATGGCTTGGGGCCAGATACTTATAGGCACACCTCTCTTCCCATAGGTATTACTCTGAGCATTCTGGTTACTTTAAGGTATCCCTGCCAAATTGAAGCCAGGCAAGTAGTTTTGAGAGATGGGATAGGGCAACTCAGTTATGGGCTTCTAATTACAGAATATCTTTCCTGGGTATTGCATCTGGTGCTTATACTGTATTTGATGGCTGAATTTGTTTTTACCACCTGCACTGTATAAATATCATGGTTTATATCTACTTATTTAAATAATATTTGTCTTTAACATTTGCTATTTTATTTTATTATTGTTGTTTGGTTTATAGTTTTGTAATCAACTCAGAGAATTTTCATGTCTTGGGAGATTTAGAATATTTATAATACTTCATCAAATTACATTTTAATATTTCAGTCTCCTAGCTTCAGGGAACTGGAAATACTTCTATTAAATATAACCACTGCCTAGAAGATGAAATATTTTTAGTCATGCTATGAAAACTTCTGGGAAATGAGATTCATTCATAGGAGTTGAAAGCAGCTTGTCTATACTACTACCCTATTTTTGTGATTCATGTCCATTACCTTTTCTGCTCGGAGCTGCTGTACCAGTCTTTCCTGTTCTCTTATCACCTTGTTTTGTTCACAGAGTTTTCCTAGAAGCTTCTGCCATGTGAAAAAGAAAGAAATAAAACATGAAGTCTGTAGCAGATATCAAGAATGAGAAATATAAACTTTCAGCTGCTTTGATAGCGATCAATTAGATCCCACCAGAGGCCTGGTCTCAACTCCTGAATTCCAAATCCATGCAAGAGAATGTACAAACAATTAAATCAGCATGAAGACATTGAGTAGAAAGGAGAGAGACAAACAGAAAAGAGATTGCACAAGATTTTTGATGGAGGATAATCAAGAGCCTTTATAGCTTTGCAGTCTTATTAGCAGAAAAGATGGACTATCTAAAGATGTGAAATGGAAAGAAAGAATCCCCACAAACCTCAGGGAATGCAGGGTAGACAGTGGTAACAGGATGGGAGATGGATTGAGTAGGCAGATGACAGTGAGGAAGAGGTGTTCTTACATCTGTGTGTTGCTCATTTATCTTGTAGGTGTGCAGCGTCTCTCTATATGAGTCAGGAAAATGAGACACCTGAAAAAATAAAAACAGGTCATTGCTACTCTCTCTATCTTGATGTTGTCATAATAAGCCCCTAAGGAAATCCAAGCCTGCCTCTACTTAGTGGATCATTTCACCTTCTACATGTACATATGGTATGCACACATACATTATCAGATTGTACAACTATTAGATTTTCCTTGAAGCCTTTCTCAAAAGCAACACATAAACTGAAGGAAAACAAGGGATATTATTACCATGTATGATAATTATACCCTCCCATCTAACCAAAGATTATTTGCTGCCTTTGAAAAAACAGTTCCTCTACTTTGTCAAGGAAAGCAACTTTTCCAAATCTGATATTAAGAAAATGGCTCTTTTGCTTTCAACATAGAAAGGACAGTCAGGGTTTATAACAAAGTGTTGCTTTTTTAATGTAATGACTGGTCAGATTTCTGAAGAAATTAGCTCTTCTACATAACACTCCTCTACAAGTGTTAGATGTGCAACTATCAGGCAATTACACACATTGTGCAATAAAGCCATAGTTTACCTTCATGATTACTGCATCTATTTGTGTAAAGAGAATTAAAGATATGGGCCATTCTCGCTGCCCCTCTAGAATTTAGGATGATTAAGGGGAGAAAATTAAAATTATCATAGCTACTATGGTGCAAAATAGTTATTCTACATAGATTTTAATGCATCTCATAGTTAATATACAAAGCAAGAATGTAGCACAAAAATCCCAAGAAGATTGTTTGCTGGGGTTTGTGGGACTAATAGAAATTCTGTTATGGATATACATTGCATGATGTGAATGGCTGATAAATAGATTGTTAGAAACAGATTGATCAGGATAGTTTGACTTTTAGCTAGATTTAGTTAGATTAACAAGAACTTTTAATGAACAGAGAAAGACTAGTGTTAGTTTAATATCAGATCCCGTACTGAATCACAGTAATGAAATGTTTACCAAATGGATTGTATTCCAAATTTAATTGCTGATTTCAAAATTGCAAAAAACTGGGTAATATTTTTCAATTTGAAGATGCTTTACATTATAGCCAGATCTAAATTTATAAGCAAACCAATACAACATAATGCAAAAAATTAAGGAGATGGTTTTTTAACACAGCCTTTTTGGTGTGAGCTTTCATAATCACACCTAAATTTTACATTTTTTTTTCCTCTCTGGAAAAATGAAGTTGCTAATTGCACTTATCCCCAGTTGTATGAACAAGTATAATAGTGTGTTACCCCACTCATTCACATACACATAACCATGGTTTAGTGAGTTTATTAATATTCCCCAGCAATTCCCTTTACCAAAACCCAGAACTGTCCCAGTTCAAGTCCACAAAGCAGTTGAAAGTAGCCCAAACAAAATAACTCCATCATACTAACTTAAATCCACACACAAGATAGCTCATGAGGCAAGAAAAGTCCAGAGTTTCCAATTCCAAATATGGTGTCAATCCAGAGTGAGGCAGGAATCATGACAACCAGAAAACAAACATGTTCCCAGCAATGCCTTTATCTGTCTGTTGTGATAGATAGCCAGCTTCCAGTGCAGCCCATCCAGATGGGTGTGGCCTTCTCCTCTGGAGTAGTCTGGCTGACCTTCTCTGCTCCTGCCTTTTTTCTAGCCTACGTGTTCTCAGATCAGGTGCAGAAGGCAGTTCCTCCTCTTCTTCACTGGTCATCTGCAATCACAAACTTTCCCCAGCTGGAGCCTCAGCCAAAACCCTTCTGGATGACTGTTCAGAGCCATCAATCAACTCAGTTCCTGACATGCTAGGAATCAATTCATCCTCCCCCAAGCTGACAGCTACAGAGGTATCTGGGGAATCCTCCAAAGGAGTTATCATAGATAGGAGAACATAGATTTAAAACATCTCCATGCATGTACAAAGTACTGGGGCTTTGATTGTGACCCTGCACCTGCCATCTTTTAGATTCTGACATCTCTCTGTGGACACTCATGGCCAATAAGCAGAATTAGAGGAAACTCTCACATACACACATAACAACCCAGGTTTGTTGTTATGTTCCATTATGGCCTTACTACATAAACGATTTTCCCTTGTTCAGTCAAGTCCAACTCTAGAGGGTGGTGCTCATCTCCTTTTTTAGTCGAGGAAGTCAATGTTGTCCAAAGACACTTTTCATGGTCATGTGGCCAGCATAACTATATGCCGAGGTGCATGGAACATTGTTACCTTCCCACCAAAGTAGTGCCTATTTATCTACTCCCATTTGCATGCCTTAGAACTGTTGGGTGGACAGGAGATGGGCAAGTAACAGGAGCTCATCCCATCATGCAGCACTCAGGTCTCAAACCTGGACTATCAGCTTTCCAACTGATAAGCTCAGTATTTTTAACCACTGAGCCATCACGTCCCTTTGGCCTTACCACATACTTGGCAGAACTGATTAGAATGTACTCCCTAATGGAAAAGGGGCTGCTGGGAAGACAAGCCCAATCCACAAAAATAATGCACCATGCTTCTATTTAACTATTACAACATCTTAAGACATATTTCTTTACTACTTTTAATACCATTTTATATCATTACCAAAGGATTTCACATGCACTGAAATCTGAAAAAAGCCATTGCTTGTCTACATAAATAAAATGACTAAAAGGCCTGCCTTAGTTGGTAGTATTTTCCCATATTCTTGTGAAGGTTATGCAACATAATAACATCTATTTTCAGGTTCTCCAGTGCACGTAGATCAGAGAACAGCAACATATAGCCCTCAAGGATTCATGACCTATTTTCAAAACCTTTAGCCAAAGACCAATTTAGACTTCTAGAAGAACTATCTGCCTCTTCATAAAACCTCATATCTTGGAAGAAGGTACCAAAAAGGCCCTCCCTAACAGGGGTATGAGAAAGATCAAATGTGCCCATCTCCTTTTCCCTATGGCTTTGCTTCAGTTCCATTCACCATATTGTTCTTACTCTGAAAAAATGCATATGTTAGCAGAAACAAGGCATCATGCCCCTGGGATTATAATAATGTCTCACCAAATATACAATAATTCACTTTCTCATATAACAAACAGACTGAACAGAACTCAGACTGCTCCAAATATATTCCTCCTAACCAGCAATTTTAAGCAATGTTCCACTGCTGTTTTCCTTAGGTAGTGGTGCAAACCCATAAAAATATATTTTAGTACTAAAAGTGACAAAACAAGTATTGAAGCCAAACTCAGAGATTGATGGTAGATGGCTGTCAGTAATTGGGAGGAATGTAGCTCTAATTATTCTGTTGTTGACTGTGTTGCTCAATACACAATGAACAATGCCAACCATAGAAAAACAGAATCTCTATGCAACTCTAAGACAACTCTACCATTAGAAGGGTAAATTATTGTGGAAAACCTTACTCCTTCTTGTAAATATAATTATAGATGTTACTGTGCTTAACCACTTTCCAGAAGTACCAGAATTTATGTAAATATAATAACAAAGATTTTTTCATTTAAAAAAAAACAAACACCTAATCAACTGGCAGGTTTTCTCCTCTAGCAAAAATAGCTTGACAAGGATTTTTTAAATGGTGGTTATCGGCTGTAATTCCAGATCTTCTACATACATGTATTGAGAATTTCATTAGAGAAAAGGAGCTGGCACAAGATGTGCATTATCAGAGTTGCTTTCATAAATCTCAAAAGAAATATGTGGATTTAAACCATTTCAAGAAAGCCTCCTCTCTTGGAGGCCCAGGGGGCACAGATGCCATGATGAGTCTATAAACAAATGCTATTGTGGGATGAAAAATTGAATGGCCACCTCACAGATGGTTGTGGAGGTGAGACATGGAACAATGATACTGGGATGGTTCTGCCATGCAAAAGCAGCTGGGATGTCATGGTTGATGGCAGAGCTGCTGTGATGTCTTACTTGCAAGTACAGCTGAGCCCTAGGAGAGGAGCTCTCCACCATTCTGTTCACCATACTGATCAAAGTCTCGCTCTCGCTCATCTGTGGCAGATAAGGAAAAACAGTCATGACACTAATGGAGACAAGAGTCATTTCCATTCAAGCTTAAACTTGTGTCGTCCCTAAGATAAATGTGGAAATATCTGGATCAGTAGCTCAGATCTTATAGTAGATTGATGTACCAAAATGAAGCTCATTTTATGATAATTGTTAAGGCCATGCAGGTCTTCAAAAGGGTGGTGAACTTTCTTGAGATTTCAACTGAATAGTCTTTTCAATAAAAAGTTGTTAAGTAAAATAGCCTTGCATTTTCCTTTGTCGGGGAGAAATGACCACTTCAGTTCACTTGATAATAAATGCCTTCTGAATGGAATGGCCAATTGGGGTAGAGTGGTCCCATCTTAATTCTTTGTTGAGGTGAAATGATGTGCCTCCACAAGGCAGCTCGTCATCTCAAGGCAATCGTCTATTAGAGAAAGCACCTCATCAAGGCAGATTGCGGACAGTCTCCTCTTAATTCTTTGCTGCAATTTACATGCACATTTTTATTGAGTTATATAAATAGCAGTCATGGAGAAGGGGAGTCTGGTTGGAGAGAAAGACTTAATCCTGCTTCTTCCAGCTGACAAGAATTCTTACTATAGAACAGAGGTGTCAAACTGGTGGCCTGTGGGCCAGATGCGTCATGCAGAGGCCACGCCTACCCCGGCTCCGCAAAGGCAAAAAACATTGCAATACGTCAGTATATGTCACGTGACATGATCGAGTTTGACACCCGTGCTGTAGAAGTACTAGACTTCACTGACAGGATAACCTTTCATGGTATTTCCCAGAGTCTCTCCATTTCCATACAAAGTCAGTTGCTTAGGCAACTGGGCTAGTACACCATCCTATGGTTTAAAATGAAGGACATTATATTTGGGGAATCATATGAGATTATCTTTCTGGGGTTGGGGGAAACTATGTGTTTATGTATACACAGCTGTATGTTCTCCCTCCCCATACCCATCTCCTTTATTTTATTTGGAGCACCAACACAGTTGATCCATGTTTGGATCTACTACATTTTTTTTTCTTTTGGCCCCTTCAAAACAGGCATTTACCAGTTTGAAAATGAAGAAAGGAAGAAAGTTACAAACAATTCTTTCTCCCATGGAATTGCTTCAGTCAAAGGTCTTTGGGAAACTATAGAGCAATCTGTTTCCTCTGTGGGTCTAATAAGAACTTGGTGGGCAAAGACTATGTTACAGAAATAGTGCACAAAAGGAAAATTTCAACAGGAAAGGGGTTGTTCAAATGGTATGCATGCAGCTCCCATTTCTACCCTTCAGTATTTTACTTTGGGAGCAGCATTTTACTTCTCAAACAAACAAACAAACAAACAAACAAACAAACAGGTGTTGCTATAGGAAATAATTTGCTTCTATTCTGAAAAAAAAAGCAAAGGAAGACTGCTGCTAATCATGACTAGCTCTCTCTCAATCTTATGCACTATATAAGGGGTAGTCAACCTTGGCTCTTTTATGACTCATGGACTTCAACTCCCAGAATTCCTGAGCCATAAAAGAGCCAAGGTTGACTACCCCTGCACTATATCGTACCTCCAGTTCCCTTTGCCTATTCAATTTTCCATTGGGAAAAAAACCTTAGACTGCTCCAAAATAGGGAGTAGCCCATATGCTTCCTTAACCATGCAAATCAGCTTTAAATTGATGGGTAGACTTTTATTCAGGCCTGACTAGTTACTACATTGCCTCTCAGAAATAAATGTTTTAAAAGAACAGATTATTTAAATCTTGAGCATTGAGATGCAGAAAGTCTCTCACTGATGATGTTATTTAGCAAACAACCAAGCTCAGAGAGTACCAAGAAATCCACAGTTCAAACCTGAGCTACAGATTTTTGTTCATTTAGAAAGCTTTATTTGTGCACATCCTACTGCATATGGTAGTATAGGTTATTTAGACTGATCCTGGAGGAAGAGGAGATACTTATGTAGGGTTGTTTCTTTCTCATTTTTTAATTCCTTCTAAATATAGGTTTTTATAGAAGAAACCTTATATAATAAAACAATCATTGCTTACACAAAACCTCAAGGATAGCTAAGAATATATTTGAATAAATCTTCATTCTTCAAGAAAAGTCAACAGGATTACATCATATATTCTATATGCTCACAAGGAACATAAACAGAGGTTCTGAATCAGTCACACTTAGAAAAACAAATCACCAGGGCATGACAAAAAAAATGGGAGCAGAATGCACTAGGTGATTATGGTAGAATCTTTCTTCTATGGTCCAAAGTGGAAGAAGATGGAAAACTTCAAAGGGGTTTGCAAAGTTGCAAGGTTTAGAAAACAAAAATGAAGACAAGAAGGGCAGAATGCCACTACCATAAATAGTAACCAAGTAGTTTGGTTTCAGTCCAACCTAGGCACTCACATCTTCCAAATTATTGTATAATGGTGGACTCTGATGCTGAAGCCACAATGAGATCGGTTTTAGAACCAGCACTGATTCATGCAGGCATTTTTCAGGCTAGTATCAGCCAGCCATTGTATTACTAGCTGAAATTGTCTGCCAACATTTTCTCAAAAGGCTTTGATTTTGTCTGGTGTTTTTCAGAGGGAATTGGTCAGCAATTGTGCCTTAACGCCATGTAATATGCTGAGAATACTACTGAATCTCAAATTTAAGTTGTAGGGAAAGTTCTTTAGATTATCTGCTTGATGTATTAGTTACCAAAGTTAAATGTGGGCAGATAGCCTTTTTATGTGGTGACCATATTTGAATTCACCCGTTCCTTTGCATACATACAAAGGTACAGCTTTCCCCTGCCAGTCATGTCTGACTCTAGGGCAGTGGTTCTCAACCTTTTTAATGCTGTGACCCCCCAACCGGTCATAAGTCGAGGACTACCCAACCAATCCTTAGTCGAGGACTACCCAACTGGTTGTAAGTCGAGGGCTTTCCCTGCCCGGGAGCACCGCACATGCGTGGTGCCGCCCCCTGCGCCAGCCGAAGTGTAGCAGAATGGGACTTTTGGCGGGCTCAGCAGGGCAGAGACAGCCTGAACAATTCCTATTGGCTTTTGAAAGCCAATAGAATTAGACTCTATTCAAGAGAGTATATTCTATTGGCTTTCAAAAGCCAATAGAATAAAAGGGAGTAGCACAGCTAAGGAAAAAGGGGGGGGGGGAAATGGCAGACTGCGTTGTTTGGCGACCCCCGTGAAATGGTCATTCGACCCCAAATGGGGTCCCGACCCACAGGTTGAGAACCGCTGCTCTAGGGGATGATACTCTTTTCTAATTCACAGCTGAAGAGTCAGAAGTGTCTGAAGATGCTTCCATAGTCATGTGGCCAGCATGACTATATGCTGAAAGCACCCAGAACACTATTACCTTCCCACTGAAATGGTGCCTATTTACATGCTTTGGAACTGCTAGGTTGGCAGGAGTTGGGGCAAGTAATGGAAGCTCACTCTGTCATGTGGGACCTAGGTCCCAAACTGCAAATCTTTCGGTTGACAAACCCAGTGTCTTAATCGCTTGGCCACAGCACCCCTTTCTCATACATGTACCATATATTCTGGTAGCATACACATGGGTACAGAAATGTAATCTTAAGTATTTTATTCTATTTGCCTCGATTTTCTGCATGCAATATTTGATCAATTCATGCTGCTTACATTTAAACTGCAGAGAATTTTGAGCGACTGAAAGATTAATAAATAGGATATTCCAATCCACTTTACGAAAGCATGTGTCCTAATAAATCTGTTGGGACTAAAGACTTTGCAAAGCTGAAGAATCCAGAGACAACTCAGTGCTATAGGACAACGATCTCCAACCTTTCCAGTTCAGTGGACTGGCGGAAGTGGTGGTAATGGGGAGAAGAGGGGATGCACACTTGCCCACCATTTCCCTGGCCCCATTCCCACTGGGCTGTGGCCTGGCACTGGCAACTGTAGCAGGACTTGGCAATAACTGGGGAATAAATTCCCCTGACAACAGCATCACACTGAAGATAAGACTTATGAACTTGCCTTAAGTATTATGATGTCATTAATTAAATTGGAAATTTGTATGAGGACAATATGACATGAATGTTCATGGCCTGATAGAGAAGGCATGGATTAGATTTCATACTCTGTACATGTTTAGTTCTTTAGTTCAAACTGTACAAATCAATTTGCTTAGTGCCTGTTGAGACAAACAAATATAGCAGCTAATTCTAGTTGGGTTATTTGTGGCATTGCATGATGATTCTGATATAGCTTAGAGTTCATTCAATATGCTTGGAGCTCTCTTCAAGTAATTCTGATTGAGGGAGATGAAGTACAATGATGCAGGATCGATGTTTCTTGCCAATAGCTAAGGTTATTGGCAATGAAGAAATTGTTATGCATGAAGCTGTAGGAACAAGTAGAAAATCCAATGTCTGATAAATGACAACAATGAGACAGAAAGATGAAGGAATAAAAATAATTTAGATTCATTAGTGTCTCTAAGGAACCAGGTGGGCATTACTAAGGATGGGTGACTTTGTAAAGTTCATTTTCACTTAATCTGTAATGTTCATTTACATTCTTAACTTTATTATGTCCTGCTCCTGCATTTAAATTGTAATTTTAAAAATATATATATCACAGGAATGTGTGTGCATTTTTCTTAATATATAGACATCTTTAAAGATTTTCACCTGCTGGATTGTGGTTTTCTACATATTTTTCTCCATTATATGCATTTCTGCAAACATTTTTAATATAGTAATAGTAGTAAAGTTGGAAGGGACCTTGGAGGTCATCTAGTCCAACCCCCTGCTCAGGCATAATAATAAATATTTTCCTAATATGCAAATGATTTACAATTATATAATCTGTTTTTAGTCTTGCTTTACCTTAATACATGCAGACCACCTCAAAATTTTCAGAAAGTTATTTATATTAGCATATCATTGTGCTATACAGTTACCTAAATTTTGGTAGTGCATGTTAGTGAATCTGGATTTAAATGTTAAATGTAAATTCATTCCTTGAAAGAACATTCAATATTAGATTTCTAATCTTCTTTCTTTCTTTTTTAAAACAAATATTTATTGAGACAGTTTAGGGGATGGGGAAACTGAAATTTATCCTCCTGACATTTTGTGTGTTTGTGTGTGTGTGTTGCAGTGTTAATCCAGAAAATAGTATACATCTCTCACAGTTGCTTTGAAGTAAATGAAAATAAATGTATGCATCTTATTTTCAGGGTTGGTTGGAGGTGAACCTAGGATTTTCTTTTATTACAAGAGCCCCCCTCTTATTTTTACACTGTTCCTCAAACATTGACAGGTATCCAAAATTGCAGTCATTCTAAAATTAGAAGAGATCTATGGCTGCTCAAAGATTCAGCCTGGAAATAACTTTCTATGCTTATTATTCACAGTCACCATGTTTTAAAGTCTTTTAACTCAACAGTATCATTATAGGAAAATTCAGAGTCTATTCAGAGTCCTCTCTTTGTATGTTTAGACTTCTATACTGCTTACAGGTTCTAGAGCAGGGATGTCAAACTGCCAGCCCATGGGCCGGTTTCATCATACCAGAGCCGCGCCTACCCTACTGCCAGCAATGGCGAAAAAGCTCCAATACGTCGCGCGACATCATGTAACATCACAAGTTTGACATGCCTGTTCTAGAGTAAGTGATTTTTTAATGCACCTCAGCTGTTTGTTCCTAATTTGATAAAATGGGTTGCTAGAATTCTGGACTGTAGTACTTCAGCTTTTGGGTGAAAAGTCATTTTTTTCTATTACATATACATCCATTTGTTAAACCAGTATTAAAAGTGAACACCAAGATTGTGACAGTTCATATTGCAAAAACAAACAAATATACGAATAAACAAAACCCTCCCTCCCTTTGTGTAGTTCAGAATGCTAAGACAAAATATTAGTCCCAAGAGAATGCAAACATCTCAAGATGGTGCAAGATTTCCTAAATATTCTTTCAGACCTCAAGTGAACTTTCTTCCCCACAGCAGTACAATCCAAGGAAAGTTTTACCGCCTGGATCTGCCAAACATAAACTGCTTCAAGAAACAGGCATTCAGGAAATACTTGTTGAGCTGCATGAGTGAGAACTTTAACCAACGTCTGTAGCTATTCGCATCAGAGAGAAACCACTGAAAGCACAGCCAGTGCTAGATTTTATGCACCCACTAGCAAAGACAGAAGTGACTGTACCGACAGAAGAGAATATTTGTAGCTTAGGGCTGAAATGTGAGGACCTTAGTACTCTTTGAGTTTGATGGTTTTCTTACAAAGATTTCATTATCAAATTAGATAACATCATCACTGCACTGATGATGTTACATAGTTTGGTAATTAAATATCTTCAAGAAAACCAAGCTCAGGGAGCACCAAGGACCCCTAGCAGTGACTGGGTTAGATATTCCTCTACCATTTTTCTTCCACAGGGTCTTAAACTGGAAGCTCTAGGACAATTGGGGCAATGGTCAGAGCTAAACCCTGCCATTAAATATACCTCTTGCTAGGCAGATTTGTAGGTAGGAAATCCAAATAAACACCTAGCTTTGGTCTCAGTGGGGAGGTGTGTCCCTAGGACAATAATAAATTTTAAAAAGCCAATCTTCTGAGGGGAGGAAGAATGTATCCATGTATAGGTCAAATGAAAAGTAAAAGTACTAAGATAGAGAAATTTTCCTACATTTTTTTTACCAGTTCAACTGAGAAAGAATTGGCTTTCAACATTTCATTCAAAGGAGAAAAACATTTCAAAGCAATGTCTGTGGTGTTTAAAAATGGCTTTTTGAAATTCTCTACCAGATTTATGGGCAGAGAAACCGAGGGGATGATTTTAAAAATCATCATCTAGGGAAAAAAGAAATTCCCCAGCAACTTCTTGAGGACAAGATGCTCTCTTAATAATATTTTAAAAAATATTCAGTGAGAGTCACTCCTCATAATGTCTTCCCTCCAAGAGATGATTATGCAAGGAAAAGCTCAACACTCACGTACACCCTTTGGCTACCTCCCAACTACATATTTGACAAGAACATCACATTCTTCCACCCATGTGAATGTTTCGGCAGAATTCTCCTAGAAAATCTAGTTGGAATATTATGTAAACATTCTGTAACCAGGTATGCATTAAAGAAACATGTCTTCCAGCATATGAAATCTACAGATCTCTAGACAAATAATGTATTTTTTTTAGTCTCCCAAAATGAAACATTTATTTATTTTTATATATTTATTTATTGCCCTCACACAAGGAAGGCTGACACAAACTGAGAACCAGTAGTGCTAGCATAGCATCAAGAGATATTAGGGAAAGGGAAGGAGGAGCAGAAAAGGGAGGAGGACACAGGTCTGATAACAGGACAGGAGGGAGATGGGTTTGGCAGGGTCAAAGCTGAATGTGTGGGGAGTAGTGGAGTGGGGAGAGGGGGAAGGAACACAGCCAGCTCAGCCTACCTGTTGGTCCAAATACTCTAGGTTTCTTTGCAACTGAAGGTCTAAAAGTTCATCCTATCAGGAGCCATTAGGCATGCGGCAAAATGGAAACACAAACATACAAAAACAACGAACACAAAGAAGAAGCAAAAGCAGTTAGGTGCAGCTTAACTAGAGACAGGCAAAGAGCTTTCCCCATACAGCAAAGGGAACATTCACAGACTTCCAAGCACTTTTAAAGAGAGAAGATAAGTGGATAATAGTTGTTCAGCAATCTTCTCAGATCAGGAAATAATCTAACATTTATTTCAGGGACTCCCAGAGATCCTGATAGCCCTGAACTATCATCAATGCTCTGTCCCCAAGCCTTGCTTGGCATCTTATTGTATGGCTGAGCGTTAACAGAGTGGCCACATTAATCTAATTCAGATCACTCTATCTTGTTTAATATGGCCTGGGTTTGGCAGGCTATCAAGTCATATCATTTGATCAAGTTATATTACAACATAGGTCTTTACTCCTTCCCCCTCAAAAGACAGTTTTCTGAGTCCACATGTGTTGTTAATTGAATCCAGGACCTCAAAAGCAATTCCTCTACTCTTGCTGTTGAGGCTACATTTGCTGCCAAGATCAACATCTTTGCAGATAAGACAAGAGAAGTAGCTTTGAAAGCAAAGAGCTGTGGTCAAATGTCTCTTTCCTCTGTTTCTGCTCAGCAGGTACAATGGTGTTTACATATGATGAACTCTGAACTGACCCATCATGCCCAGATCTACTGGACAACAGGAAAAAAAGTGTGTGGCTCCACTACAACATGCTTCTGTACAATCCACTGCGGTCATGCAGCTTCAGAGTCATTACAAGAATATGGCCCTTGTCAGAGGGGGAAAAAAAAGGCTGAGGTTGGAAACAGAGCATCTGTGATCAGAAAGAATGTTCCTGACCTGCTTAGTGATACCACACTCATCTCACTGCATTTTTAGTTCAGCCGCATGCATCTGCTTTTGAGCATAGCTGGTGAAAAGGCAGGGGTAGTGAGGGAAGAAGCTGCGTGCAACAAGCACCTTAAATCCAGTCCAGGATTTACTGGTTGCTTTCAGGTGTCAGGTAGGGTCAAAAAAACGTGGCATGGAGCAATGAAGTTGGCACTTTCATTTGGCAGAGTCCCAGTCACAGTGTTTGTTGCCCCCACCACATGGAGCCTCCCCCGCAGTGGAATAACCAAACAGAGAATTAGAATGACCAAGGAAAAACAGCATATAAAATTAGCCAATAAGGGGAAACAGAGATTTTACCATGTATTTTTCCTCTTCTGTTTTTGACTCCCTAATTATTTTTGTGATAAGAGAAAATGACAACAGAGAATTAAAAAGGACTAGTATTCTTCACTTTTTGCATTCCCAATCCTGATTCCTGAATGGTATCCCATATACAATACCAGAAGTACATTCCTAGAAATTTTTTTTATGGGCATTCAGCCATTGGGAAGGTGCCATTTGTCACAGGAAATAAAACAGTATTTTCCATCTAGAGATCACCCATAGGACTGGACCAACCATGAAAACAAGGCAAATGCTTGGTTGAAGTGAGCAGCAAGAATAAACAGCTCATATAATGAAAGCCGTTGGTGGAGCCGTTATCTTCAACATGCAGGCAGCTTGCTATGCGATCTGTGACTTAATTGCAATTTTTCCTCCACTTTGAGGTAGAAGTAAGAAATGATACATCTCAATAATCATTGTTAAACAGGTGGCCCATTCCTTCCTAAAATACAAAAGATAATTTTGATGGAGATATCTAAGATATATTCCATTTCCTCCTCTCTCTTACAGTCAATGAATTAGGAAGGTGTTTGTGCCATTTCCAAATGTTATATGGAAGTTCTGGACTTTGACAATGTTTTGCCCCTTGTCACTTTGGTAACAGAGCTTGGGTATGTCCATCAAAGTCATCTTCACTCTCTCTATACATATTGGACTTTGCATTCTATCTCTCCTTGCAACTGTTCCTGGGTGGTAATGTTAATGCAGCGCTGATGTCAACTGAATGAATAAATGAGGACTGAGTATGTGCATAGGATTTTTTTTCCTTCTCTAAAAATCACATGCTCAATTCCTTCTTTGCTCTTTGAAAATACATACAAACTATGGTCAACCAATCATCAGCAGTCAGGCTAATGATTAAAATTTTCACCTGTTCACACAGTCATGATGCCTCCAGGCTGGTCTCATAACTAACCCTCATAACCAACCAACAACTTTGCTGCTAAGACAATTATTCCAGTTCTGAATTAAATAATAGGGTTAGGAAATAAAAACACTTTCACTGGTGAAAGAATGGACAGTATTGTGGCTTACCATTTTATCATGGACTGTAGGGGATGCTGGATAGTTGAAGGGAAACATTCCTGCAGGAACAGGCTTTCTATCACCAAGGTAATCATACTGGGCAAACAAAAGGAATGTGTGTGAGATAATTATATCACAGTATTATTACTAGATATTTTTCTTATGTTAACAATCTAGTAATAACAATGACCTTCCTATTGGAAGAAAAAAATATCAAAGTCCATTAACTAAAGTGGTGATCATCTATAGAAACTCCTTGAAACTGAAGACTGGACACAAGACAAGAAGGTTGGTTTTATAAGCAGAGCTAGTTTGAAATCTATATTGTAATACTACTTTGTTCCTGGGATGATTCCCTCTTCTCTTCCATTGACACTCTCTAATTTGTTCTGCAAATCACACTTATCAAGCCACAGGGTGTAACCACAAAGATGAACACTTCGTCTCAGATCAAAAACTTGTCTAATCTACTACCCTCTCAATTCAGCTAACATGACACTTTCCCTCAGCCTTAACTTGCCACTTGGGCACCATATTTCAGCTGCTGGAGCTTTATACCTTATATTTAACTTGAATTAGGGCTCAGCTCAAATCCCTTACATTTATTTCTGAGTTATGTAGAATTAAGAACAGATGGTGCTAGCGCATTTGCCGGCTGAAATGCTCCTGCTTCTGACTGTCTAGTACAGGGCAACTCTGGCCCTTTTATGATTTGTGGATTTCAACTCCCAGAATTCCTGAGCCAGCCACAAGTCATAAAGGGGCCAGAGTTCCCCACCTCTGGTCTAGAGCAACCTTAACATATCTGAGATTGAGGAATAATCAGTTGATAACAGAGAATGTTATTTAAGGTCAGCTTCTCTAAGTATTGCTTAGAAATGACACTTTGCTCATTCCTGCCATTGCTCCAATTCTTAATTAGATGTCTCTTGTGACCTGACTGATCAATAAATCTCCTTCACATTCAACAACATCTTCCCTCCCCAGTAATCTCCTCTATACAGCATAAACAATACATAAATTACAGAGATAGGGTTGTTATTAAAATCATTTATACCCCCTCCCCCACCCTCACTTTGCTGGGTATCTACTGAAAGATGGCAGAGCTATTTGGAGGAGGAAAGTTTCAAAGGAACATTACCTTTGGGGAACTGACAGAGCGTCTCATCATGTAACTCGTTGGCTCAGCATATATCTCCTCACTCCGAGAAGGCATTCGTTCAAAATGGGCACTGGGTGACCTTACTGGAGAGTAGACTCTGGTTCTATTGTAGGAGCCTTGACTTGGTGAGCGGGGGACTGATCGTGAACGAGGCTGAAGGGACATCCTGCGCAGGGACCCTGAGGCAACGTCCATTTCATCATAGTACACTGGCTGCGGTGTGGGGCCTGGGATCCAGATGGGCACATCTTGCCTGCTATAGCCAGGCTGTTCTTTCCACTCCCTCAGCTGGAATGTGCTGTTGTTGCGGAAGGCGTGGCGCTTGTCCTCCACAGCCCACTGAGGGCTCACACGTTCATAGGCAGGCATAGAGCAGATACTGTCAGGACGCACACCAGGTGGATAGTACTGGTAATCCTCCGAGTATTGGGGTGAATAGGGAGGGTAATAATCAGGTACTCTCCGAGACATTGGGAAGAATCTGTTGGGGCTACAAGTCCCAAAAGAAACAAAAAAGGAAAACATTTGGTTTTAGGATTTTCTATCACTATTACCTTAGACTACCATCTGCTGAACAGCACTGATATATTTTTCGCATATTTCTGTGTGTAAGACTGGGAGAAGCTGCAAATTTACATTTGTTCCACTATATTGTTTGCTTGTGTTTCTTAATTTTTTTACTCTTCATAATTAAAGTTGTGAAACACTCCATGTGTCCTCTCCTGCATGTGAGCTGCCTCCTTGAGTAGCAGAGTATACATACACGTATCAGGTTATGATAAATAGCATGTAAAAGTTTCTAAGGTTCAGCTAGGATAAAAGCGGCTTTGGTACTTGTGCTAAAACTCTGATCTGTAGATTCGGATCTGAACTGCCCCAAATCAGTGAAGTTCATTGTCCATATGTCAAAAAGTAAACTTAAGAGTGGAAAGATATTCATCTCTTTGAGCTTTTTTTGCTAGTATTTATTTTCTCTCACTGGGTATTTATATTGTTAGATGTGTTTATTCCTAAAGGGTACTCTGAAAACTTTCTAAGAGGAGCAGCTGATAAACAGATTTTTTTTTAAAAAAATACAAAAATAATTAAAAAATAATAATTACTTCATTCCATGATCATAATACCAAAGACTTTTCCTGCTTTTCTGGGTGCAAGAATACTAAATACAAAACAATTGTGCATTTTTTAAATAATGTATTCCAAGACACCGAGAGTCGATGATGAGCTTTTTTGTCAGAAAAGAAACTGAAATTGTTACAGCCTCGTATATTAAAAGTCAGGGGCAATTATTCAGGGAAGAGGGAATGGTACTACATATAAGATACCAACATTTTTCATGACCTTTGATACTGATTTAAGTCTACAATATACCTTCTTTTTTAGTATTTAATGAGCTGTTTCTAAAAAAAGTTTTTTTAAAAAAAAACTTATATGTCTTATTTGTGTCTTGTGTTCAAACAACTCACCTATGGAGATCTTCAGGTGGTGGAACTCCACGGCGCAAATTGACCCACTGTTGCAACTGGGTCATGGAGCTTTTTCTTTGAGCAATCTTTTCTGGATTAGTGCGAGGTGCAAAGCTCCGACGAGAGATAACAGTATCGCCATCATGCTGTGGAAAGGCCATGCTGCCAGGACGAGTTGGGGATGAATACTGCCAACCATTTGGCTGTGGGGTTCTCTCCACTCCAACTGGCACACGAGCTGCTTCAGGATAAGGGCTTCCAGGCTCCGAGGGTGTATCTTGATTGGCAATGCCATTGGTTTTCACCAGTGCCTCTTTCTTATTTGCAACACGTTCTAGTTTTCTTTCAATCTTCTCGGAACCACGTCCATCACCTTCTCCTCTGGTTTTTGCTTCCAACTCAGCTTTGGCAAGCTCCCTGGTAAGAATACTGCGCTGGTGATGCTGATGATGATTTTTGCTAGGAGGAATGTTCTCACAATCAGTCTTTTCGTGCCTGAGAAGAATCCACAAGTTGAAAAGAGCATTCATTACCATAGTTTAGGATTCCAGATTATTGTGGGTTCTGATCATCCTCTTGCAAATTATTGATGGAACCTTCTCATGAACCTACCATTATTCACATTGCCTTAAGGCTATATTTATTCTAATTCCACTGAAGAAAGAATCTTATAGCTATAGAATGACTTTTGAGTAATGCCTTATGAGACGATGAATATGTTAGTATTTTACTAGCTATGCTGCTAGCATCTTTCAAGTTCATCTGAAATAACTTGACAATAGATGTAACACCTTATACGTTGTGTTCAGCAGGATGAAATGTCTACAACCAGTTCTAAACCACTTCCACCCATCTTTTGAACAGCTGACCTTTGAGTAGGTGGGATTTGAACCCGAGCAGCCTCGCCCATGGCTTGAATCCAGGATTCTTGTTCTTCATTGTTCTCAGCACTGAAGAAATAGGTCCGGATGCCAGCATGTTCAGCCTGAGGAGAGAATGACTTCTTGTGATTTCGTGGCATTTCTTCCATCCAGCATACAGTTACCTGCAGAAACAAAGAATATAAAGAGAGAAGGGGAGATAAAAAGATCCCAGTGAGTGTCTAGAGAATTTACTCACCACCAATCAATTTTGTCTTCTTTCCCTTAGGAACATTATAATTTCACCAATTTTTTATTTCATGATTGTCAGCTCTTATCTTTAAACAAGGTTTGAACTTGTTCAAATAGACAGTGCTTTGAAACAGAAGAGTAATTATGACTATCCTTTAAATGGAAGATTATCCTCTTTAAAATTTTGGCACAAACCAGCTCCACTAATTCTAACACAGAGACATCACCTCTGGCCCTCCAGCACTACGTAGAAACTTTTGGGTATTGGATGAAAGCTCTCCCCTTGCAGGACATGCATAAATTAAAATGTTTAAGTGGAACAGCATGCAAAAAACTGGTTCAATTCAGATTATCTTGGTGAAACTCCTTGATAATCAATTTATGGTAGGGAGAACAAAAGCTACTGCCAAGTGGCTTGTTATGCTTATTGATCTGAATTAAAATAATGAGACAGTTAACATAAATCAACATTAAACTTCAGATGATATAGATTTAATGTTTTAGGAATAGTTCCTAGACATTCAATATCTCTTCCTAAAACAGGCAAGGAAGAAAGATCTCTCAAACTTCTCTATTTTTTCTAAACATCTTCATTTACAGCATTCCAGATAGAGTGATCTTCCCACCTGTAACACTTCAGTGTTATCCCATAATTTCTGCCACCTTTTTTCTTATCAGAGGGATAAATTAAAGAGGGATAGATTTAGTGGTAGAGTGATCTTTGAATATCAATGCTAGGAACTGTCTATAGAGAAGTACTCACATTCCATTTCCTTGCAGACTTTTAATAAGATTACATCAGCATAGTTGTTGATTTAGAGAAATCACTAACAGGAGTACTCAACCTTCCCTAGCAATGCTATCTCAGCATTTGGGACATAGACAAAATTGACTGATCTCAGCTGTGCAGTGCATGATATTCTGTTTATTTTCCCCCATTCCCTCAGCATGAACCATTTCTTCATCAGGTTAAAATGTAACAGAGTCTAGGAAATCACACACAGAGCCTTTTATGTACTTCATTCCTGAGTTTTGATATGTAAAAGCTGAAGATTTTCAGATAGAAAACCCACAAAGGAAAGATTATTTTTGAAACTGATAATATAACTAATAACTAAACTAGCTCTTACAATAACTAAACAAAAAGAATAAGAATGTATATTAAGAATAGTAATAGAAGCAATCACATTTGATTTAGAACTATCCTAAGAGGCTACAAATCTAGATCAAAGTATTTCTAGAATTTGCTATGTTCAAATACTTTGTCTGAATTTAACCAGCTCATTTGTGGTGTCTCAATGATCCTGAAAAAAAATCCAGATGTTTTAATGAAACTTATTAATCAATATAACAAACACAATTGGGCTCATATATTATGTATTTTATTATGTACATTAAATATTCACAGTAGAGAATGAATAACATAATTTAATTTTTGTTTATATTTTCCCATCAGTTTTGTCTCACAAATAATTGCCACTCATTGACTACTACATGCCTTTTTGATTTTCACTTTGTTGAGCTAGATATTATCTTCCACAAATCACTGAGTGAAACCCATAACATGAACATTTATTTATGTACAAATCATATAATAGTAATGAGTTCAAGATCTATATCCTCAGTGGGATTTGCTTACATAGCTCTGTGTTTCCAGTATTCTCTATGGTTTAAAAATACTTCTAGGTATTTCATTAGACAAAGGGATTCAAAATTTCCCCAACCACAATTTCCTTAGAGAATGATTGCAGGTGAATAAAGCATGCAGGATACTTTTTACCATTGGCACTTCATTTTTCCTTTCTGGCATGCACGCATGCATTTGGAAACAGAAGGAAAACACTACCTATTTGGTGGCTGGGTGATGTATTGCAGATCAGTAATCAGAAGAGATCTCCTGTCCAGGGGATCCTCACACAGAAAAACAGGGAAGACAGAGAACAGATCAGCCACACCCAATAAGCAATTCAATGGGGAGGAATATCAGCAAGGCAAAGCACACCAAGAGGAAAGGTGGTCACTGTGAATGGGTAGTTGAAGCAGAATTGGGCTCATACTTAGTGCTTTCTGAGCTTTAAACTGAATGGTCAGCTTGGTTTTCACTGAACTTGGGAAAACTATTCCTTTGCATCTCAGCCCATGGAACAGCCCTCAGCCAGTTGTCTCAAAGTGCGAGAGGAAAATGTAGGTTCAATTATTGCAGCAATAGGACATGATGTAAAATAAAATTTCTAGAAAATGTAGGATGAAGTCAAAAATTATATTTGTGCATCTACCTATTTAGCACATGTAGATTGTCTATGTGAATAGTCTATTATACCATTATATTTTTTTCTGAACATGAATTGTGAGCACAGAATATAAATTTTGAGTATCTTGCCATCAATATGAAGTTTGGAGAAGATCAAAACTGTACTTTCATTTCCTTTTGTTTTCTTACAAACAAATATTGAAAATCTAGGCACATTACTTCAGAATAATTTCTACTGAATTCTAAAATTTACTTCATAAGCTTCATATGATCTGGAAATATGATACTCTTCTCTAAGATATTCGGTATATATTTATAGACTCTGAAATCTTGTCTAATGCAATGGTATCAGTGAAACTTGGTGGGAAAAGTTGTGCCAGAAAAAGAGTTCCTGGATTCCTATCACTCAAAATCTGCCAAGTTGTCCTGAAAAGCATGTTTAAATGCTTATGAGCTTCATTAGGAGTCCCCATACCCCTTTTAAATACAATTCTTTTCTTCTATACCACTATTAGACATGTAGGAAGATTTACAAAGAAAACCAATGTATCAATGGTTTCCAATCAAAACCTTCATCATTAAAAAGGGAACAAATATTACAGAGCACAGTTTTGAAACATCAAGAGTGAGTGGTTTCAATGAGTAGAAAGGAGTTAGTGAACAATATAATGGCAGGATGGCAATGAGAAAAGGTAAGGGATATGTAATATGTAGATGTGCAATTACTTAAATCTAATTAATTTTCATTGAGTGTACTAGAGATTTGTTAAAAAATATTTTTATTAAGAATTTTTTACAGCATAAAAGCAATACCAACTTAGGAAAAAGTAAAAAAAAAGATAGTGAATAGACAAAAAGAAAAATAAGGAGAAGAGAGAAAAGAAAGAACATATTGCAATTTTTTTTTCATATGAAACAATCTTCAAATATCCCTAAATGAACACATATTTCCTAATTACCCCCACAAGATCTTTCAATACTCCAGATTTATTCAATAAACATTACATGATCTATTTGACTATATTTAGACTCATAGGAATTAATATCCATCAAATGAAAGGGGGATAGAATGAATTTGGAGCTAAATCTCATAGAATTTAGGAGCTCGTAGAGTATACTTGTACATTGACATCATACATGCAGGTACAAATGTATGCTTTCAGAATCTAACACGTTTTTAAATGTGTGATATAAAGCTGTTTCCCATCTAAATAAAGTTTCTACTGGGTCCAGTTCAGGTAGTGCTGTTAGCCTAAGATACATTTCTACTAGCACAACAAAGTATATTTATACATCCATGAACACTATACTAGGAGCACTTCCACTCTTTACTGACCTTAAAGGTGTATTTCCTGCTGATGTTATCCGATGGCTGTACAGCTGCCACTCGAAAACTGAGAAGTGGGATGCTGCCCAAGATGTTTTCCTCCTTCTCATCTACATGAAAGAAGAAGGGAGGGACAAAGAATTGGACAATATTCCTTTATCTTAGTTAACAATTGTTAAAATGGACATCCATCTACTTCATCACCTTTGGAACTAAGAAACAACCAGGAACATAGGGTAATTTCCTTGCAGGCAGGCAGGCAGGCAGGCAGGCAGGCAGGCAGGCAGGAAGGAAGGAAGGAAGGAAGGAAGGAAGGAAGGAAGGAAGGAAGGAAGACTTGAAACCAATCATTACAGAGGGAGTGGGATGGAAAAGCTGTGCCTAACTATTTATCTACCTATGAAAGATGCCCCCTTGCCCTGATGCATTCATGCTTGTTTATCTTTCCAATTCAGACCAAGAAGCGTTCACATATCCCTGTATGCATATCAGTTACAGTTACACTTCACAATACTGTCTAGTTAATTATTCATGCCCATCATCTTTTCCATCTGCTACCAGAGAGAAGGCCCAGACAGCAGGACTGTGGGAACCAATGGTTACAGGACATACTGATATTGGTGGGCTCACAATTTGGCAGGCAGAGTATGGAAAAATAAAAGAGTTGCATTGGTAGTGGGTGACATGGAGTCTGCTTCATTGGAGTATCTGCCAGAGTAGAAAGTTGTGTATAAATTAAATAAATATATATGTGCTGCAATGTCATGCATGCATCTTCACTGTCAGATCTTAATCATTCCAGTAAGTCCAAAGGAAAGAACGACTAACAGGATATTACAGAGAATATTTAATTTCTATTTGATGACATACAATAAATTAATCCCATGTTTGTGAAAGGGCAACAACAATATCTAAATCATCTGTTTTAGAGAACTACTGTATATTCTGATGTATAAGACGACTTTTGAGAGTGTCAAAACAGCCTCCAAACTCGGGGGTCGTCTTATACGCCGAGTCGTCTTATACACCGGAAATAAGGTAGTTTCTGGCATATAAGACGACTTTCTAGGCATGCGACTCAGCGTCGATCGTCTTATATGCTGGAAATAACGTAGTTTCCAGCGTATAAGACAACTTTCTAGGCATGCAACTTGGCGTCGATCGTCTTATATGCCGGAAATACCGGTAGTTTCCGGCATATAAGACGACTTTCTAGGCATGCGACTTGGCGTCGATCGTCTTGCGACTCGGCGTCGATCGTCTTGCAACCCGGTGTCGAACTCGGGGGTTGTCTTATACGCCGGGTCGCCCTATACGCCGGAATATACGGTAATTAAATTCCTAGACCAACTACTAGAAATATCATGCCACATACAAAAAATATCTATTATTAGTGAAGAAATTCTAATTTCAGCCTTTATCCTATTTTTCAGACTATGAAGATATTGTTCGAATTTATAATTTTCTTGAGCTCAGTAGTAAATTGAGACTCTGCAAGAGACACTCCTATTTGCAGCAGACTAGAATCCTTTTGTAGTTGGCTCCAAGCATCACAATCCTTTTGTATTTTTCTTTTAATCAGGCGGCATTTATCTCCTCCAAAAGTGAATGCTTTTATTTTGAATACTATATTTAAAGTTTAAAAGGTATTTTATTTTATTTATTTTGCTTATCTCCTGTGAGATTAATTTATCTCCGATGGGTGGAAGAAAAGGCTGAAACTTCTTGCCATCCCTGTGCAACATAGGAACAAGTGGCACTATTAAAAATATTTCCTTTTAAAATATTTTTATCGTTTAATTGCCAGAAAGGCAGCACAGATTCTAAATTATCAAGCTCCCTCAAAGTGGAGGTGAGGACAGAGTGAGAAGATTCAGGAGACTTCTGGAAGAGCAAGTCTAGCACCTTGAATCTTTGATCTTATGGATTCAGCCATTCAATTGTAGTATTGCAAAATGGAAAATTAATTGCTAGGTAAAATAGCTAAAGACTTGCTGGGGAAGGAAGGAAGGAAGGAAGGAAGGAAGGAAGGAAGGAAGGAAGGAAGGAAGGAAGGAAGGAAGGAAGGAAGGAAGGAAGGGTCATCATTCATGTGAGAAATTCTTCCTATGTGTTGCTAGAAAATTATATTGTTTGGTCAGAAAGAGTTAACAGTACATTTTTATTATTACAAAACAATATTACAAAAACATAAGAATCTTACTAAAGCAGATCAAAGGACCATCACATCCAGCATTCTATCCTCACAGTGGCCAGCTAGGTAACAGGCAGCCAGCTGGGACATAAATTCAGTAACACTTTTAAACTCTCCTGTATGTCTATTTGTAATCCACAATTGGCAGAAATAGTGCATCATAGGGCAACTATTTTTGAATCAAGGAACCTCCAGTGGGCTAACTTAAAGAATGCATCCAGGCCCATTACTTTTGTGGGATTGAAATTTCAAGGATCTTCATACCACTTGCACTGGCAAAGTGTGGCCGCTGCAGTGTCACCATGCTGTCCTGCAGTCGTCACATCACTGAGGTCCTGTTATCATAACTTCCAATGTTCCTGGCTACCTTCCCACAAGCAAAGTCAATGGGGAAGCTAGCAGGAAGTTGCAAGTTGCTCCTGTTCCACTGCTTTTTTGCCCACCCATGGTCATATTGTTTTTCTATTTAAGTAAGCAAATATCTCTGAAATAGTGACTCAGTGGGCCATGGGTTATTTAACTATAGAATTGTAGGCTGTCCTCTATAACTACCATCAAAGCAGTGGGGTTGTCTCCTTTACAACCATCCAGTTGGCAGCAATTATTACATCTCATAGTATAGAATGACATTTCTCAAGTACATACTTTGTGAAGAAATACTGCCTTTCCTATCTCTCCTAAACCATGAAAATATTGTATCCCTTATAGATAAAAAAAAACAAAACTAGTCTCTCCTATGAAAGGAATACTGTTCCTCAATAGCGGGTATGAAGGTGAAAATCTAGTTTGATAAGAGTTACAGAAAATGAATGCATCATTGCTTTCCAACTATGTTTGGCATCTGGGAGTTTCCTCATATCTTTATATTTTAAAATATAATTAAATTAAATACAATTTTAATATTTAATTTTAAACTTGCATCTCCTCATACCTTTGTAGTAAAAAAGGCAGCGATCCACCAATACAAACCAGCGCTTATTCCATTGCTTGACTCCAGAGCTGGCCTGTAAAGAGTTGTTGAAAGCAAATAAATGTCATAATCTGTATATTACATACAGCATAGATTGAAAAAGCATCCTGAGAAACTGGCATAACAGGCTAAGGTCAGACAAAGTAATAGAATTTCTAGATAGTATATGACAAGAACTGATATGCTGGATTTACCAAGAAGATCCATCTTCTAGAATAGAATATATACTGCCCACCTGCTGTGGAAGCAGTGTCTAAATTAGTTCTAAAGTTACTTCCTGTGAGAGGGAATACTTTGATCCCCAGTCTCAGAATGACAGGTCAGAAAGAAATCTCAGCAAAAAGAGAAAGAAGAAATAAGGGGTTTGTGATGTGCAATTTTCTGTAAATATTTCCTCCTTCCTGTAATAGGTACGTGGACTCTCTCCACTTTAGATATTGTAACTTATCCAATTTCAATGTATCATTTTCCTACAGTGAAGCCAAGGCACCCTATTGTGGAACACATCAGAGCTTCCCTCACATATTGGGGGGAGAGGAATACTCTTGCTTAGCTTTAATGCAATTGAACATGGAGAACCACAAGCCCACTCTATCGACATCTCCCAGGAGCTTATTAGTTGCCCATTTGTCCTGTGGGGCACCCTTATTCTGTGTCTCATAGGGTAGCCCAATGCATGATTTGATCCATTTGGAAAGCGTGGTTAGTGAGGCTTTGCAACCCAGATGGTTGTCAAAAATATGTTATGAAGTAATCAAAAATTTTGGATTCCTCTGTTATACTCAGTAGCTCTTGATGGCTTGTTTGATGGTGCCTTCTTTTCCAAGTTAGTTTTGGGGTTATGTAATGATTCCAGACTGATTACTTTCTTGACTCCTCCTTCCAACTGAACAGTCTCTCTCTGACACTTTGGCCAAAAGACTGAGTTTAGACACAAAACAGATTGGATGATGCAAAGATCCCTCTTGAAAGACTGCTCCTGTTTCTGATATTGTCTAACTGAAATTATAATTATTATAAATACTGCTCTACTGTTAGGTACTTTACAGATTCTTCACACTGGGATAAGGCTTGAAGCAGTAATAGGAAGTCTATGATAAATGCTGATAAATGTTGGGCAATCTTCACAGGGAAACACCTAGGAATCTACAAGGAGATAATGGGATGAGAGGTTCTTGGGTTTCCACAGTTAGGCTTTAGGACAGTGCTGATAACTGCCTATGGAGTGTGTTGGTGGGAAGGACAGAACTTGGTGCCTGGAAGTTGACATTGTAGGGTTACCTTTCTTTTGGGCCATTTTAGAAGCCTTACCATGTGAGCAGATATTTGTAAGTGATGGGAGGGGGTTTTTGTTTTGTTTTTGGATGCTAGGATGATATCTGTTGATATCCTATTTCCTCTTTTCCCAAAATATCCCCTTTTGCAAAATTGAGTTAATAGAATTCTTATTGTTTTGATAGATAACAATTAAATATATATTTTTCCCAATATTCCTAAAAATAATAATCACATCAATATAATATTTCTTTTCTGTCCAATCATTCTGGTTACCTTATCATAGATCCTGTTACAGTCCTTATTTTAATTTGTTTCTCCCACCAAATTCTAGGTATTCTTACTAGTTAAGATTTTCTCAAAAATTAATTACATTTAAAAAATTAACTCTATTTTTCCATATGAACCATCTCACACTTTTACATTTCTTAAGGAATAGATAGAACAATGAAAAAAAAGAAGGGAGAGCAAGAGTAAAGAAACATAAAAAGTAACATACTACTGAAAATATATATCCCTCCTAAGCTAATATATATTTATTTCCTAAATTTCTTATTCTTTTTAACCACAATTAAAAATATGTTTAATCTTTAAACATTCCATTTAATACATCTAGTCATCTAGTCCTTTAACTCTTATTCAAAACATTTTATCCATTATAATTTTCTTAAATTCAAGCACATTTAAGTATCTAAAACATTTCCTTTATCTAAGTCATTTCAGCTTTTTTATATTACTCATATCAAGAAAGAAAACAAAAAAGGAAAAAAGCATACTATATTATTTAGGGAATTCATCCCTCTTAGAATGACATATATATTCCAAAACTTTTCTATTTCTTTAACCATATTCAAACACGTTTCTTTTTTAAGTAGTCTCTCTGGTAAATCCCATCATCTATTTTCTTGGTTTCCACTTTAGTCGTTTTGCTTTGCCCAGTATCTTTCTTAATCAATGTATTTTGCTGAATCAAAAGGTTTTTCCGTATGTTCGTAAATATTGCTGTAGATATAATAAGTAAATCAGGTGAAATGTCTTTGTACTGGGCTTTTGTCTTTCCATGTTTGTTAAAAATCTTTTTCTTTTACTTTCTCTCTGCTTCTCTTATCATTTCCTTTCTCTCCGATGTTTCTGACATCTCTACAGTCCATTTTATCCAATCTGTTTTCTTGTCCTCAGATTTATTTTGTAGTCTTAAGGGATAAGTTGTTTTTTCCAATTCTTGTATTTTTTTTTCTCACTAGGGTTAAATCATGTTTCCTTGTTTTGATAAGTTCCATCTTTAAGTCTTTATTCTCAATTCTTTATTCATTTATCTGTTTTATCTGCTCCTTCTTTGTTGTTGTTTTCAGAGAATTTCTTTGTTGTAGAGTTAACTTAGAAATAGATTGATTTATATTTTCAAAGTTATTTTGGATTTCTTTGTGGTTTAAAGTCATTGTTGTTTGAATTATTTGCAGTATACTATATATCTCCTCCTGTGAAGTATTTATGTTTTCTTGATATGTTCTTTCTACATGTCTCTGATCCATGATGGCCAAGAATTTGATTTTTCATCTTCCTTTCTTTTCTCTGCAAATAGCTTTAGAGTCCCAATTAAATAGATTTTTGTAATCCAAATAGTTCAAAAAAGATTTTTTTTCCTGAAATGTATCATTCTCTCTTTGTCTACAGCCCAGATTATTGTTTCTTTTTTTATCTCAGCTGTTCTTTGTTGTTAAAACTTTGAAGGTCACAAACACAGATTAGCTTTTCCCAGGTTGCCAATCATAGCTGCCATAGTCTTCATCCACCACTAGGTATCAGCAACTATTTGTTTTTCAATTTCCAAAATAAACAATTATGTTTAAAATGAGAGTCTTAACCATTCAAACAATTTTAGATTTATCCAGATTTAAGTTTTAAATTTTAGGTTTCATATTTATTTCACTTCCATATATTTTGATCCTCCATAAAAAGATTAATTTGCTGCTTCTGTTGGTATAAGGGTGGGGCGGAAATCCTCCTCCTTTCCTTCCAGAGGCATTTTGCTTCTTGGGGATCTTTTCCAGGAAATTAAATGTAGAATAGAAAAGAGAAGATCAAATTCCTCACCCAGTTTCAAGCACGCTGTTCACAGTTGTGCTGGTTAGTGCTTTTGGACTTCAGTTGCTAGTAGTTTGGGCTGGTCGATGAAATACTGCCAACCTTTCTCCTGTTGGGTTAGAAGGCTTTTCCCAAGTTGAATGGAATGGCTGCTGCCATTCCAGAATTACTGGAGCACTCTTTTTTCTTTGTCATCTCTTCAGGGCAATTTAGACCCAATGTAGGGTCCCCAGGCAGGGCGAAATTAGCCGCAGGGGTGCAGAGAATCTGCAAGCCCATGATCAGTCACTACCATGCAAAACTGGAAGTCTTTATTTTATTTTATTATTTTATTTTATTATATATTTTATTTTATTTATTATTAGGCTTATCCTGCTTTTATTACTTCATAGGTAACTAAAGATGGTAAACACACTTATTTCTCCTTTCTCCTATTTTCTCACAACAACAATCCTGTGAGGTGGGTGGTGCTGAGTCAGAGTGACTAGCTCAAAGGCACCCAGCTGACTTTCATGCTTAAGGCAGCACTAGAACTCACAGGTGGAATGATCAAATAAGCTATCGACTTTCAAATCAGTTTCTTGCTCAATAAAGTTGTAAGGAAAAGCAAGTAATGGGTGAAAAAGCACTTCCTTGACTGTCCTGAAGCATGAAGGCTGACTGTGATGTTGGAGAGAAAATAGGAGAAGCTTGTACAAAGATGGGCAACCTTTAGCACACCAAATAGCATTTGCTGTAGCTTTAGTGGATGAAAGTCATGTTTGGTGGGGCCAAAGATGCACTGGTGATCATAACTGTGTTGTCAAATTGGACAGTCAAGAAAAGAACTCAGAAGTCCCCAAATAATTATTTAATTATGTGTGTGGGTGTGAAACATTTTGCAAAACAATTACAGCATTAAATTGTGGGATCTAATTTACCAACAGAATCAGGAATTGGTTTGGGGACCTTCAAAATTTACTCACAGCTTAGGGGCTATGAGTATCTCCTGATGTAATGAAGGACAGGTGGTTTACCTGCTTGAAGAGCCAACCATTCTTGGTCACCGCAGCATTGGGATTCCTCTTCATGGAATTAGAACGTTTTCCAAAAGCAATTCCTTTCCTGGAAGTACGTGATGATGCCTTTGGGAAATGAAACAGAAAGGTTAGGAAAGGCAAAACAAGCAGTGGGTAATACAATGAAATCCTACTTTATCATATTAAGTCTGATGGTTGCTGAGTTTTTGCATCATTCTGTAGTTTTTATTTTTGTTATATACTTTATATTATTTCTAATTTGACTTTTTAATTGATTTATATTTTTATGAACCACTTAAGACTCCTTTGGAAGGAGGTATACATTTGATAAATAAATATCAGAACAGGCACACTGAAAGGAAGAATTAAGTCTGACTGAGTACTAATGGGTCCATTTTAAGCATGACTAAATGTGGATCAAACTCATAATCTTGGGCACATGCTGGCTATGACATTTGGCATAAAAAAATGCCTAATATTTATGAAATAGAATAGAGTGCCCTAAATTTCACAATAGCAGATCAGTTGCACCTTATTTTTCAGACGGGACAACTTGACAGCCAGAAGATTTGGACAATCCTATCAGAACAAAGCCACAAAAGGAAAAAAATAAGGAAGACCACAATGCATGATGTAGCAAACATACCCTGCCATTTGGTCGTTCCTGAGGCACCTCTGAAACCATTTTGTGATTGGAAGATTCACTACTGACTGTTGCCGGCCGCTTGCTACTTGCTTTGCTTGACATGTCAAAGACAGATCTGAGATTGCAGGTGAAGGAGAGAAAAAATACATTATTAACAGTCCCAAGAAACTAGCTTTGCTTCTTATACTTTCACGCCACGTCAAGTCCATATATTGATCTTGGGTTAACATTAATTTAAACCAAGAATACATCAAACCAGATAAAATACAAATCTCCTTTATGAAAATCCCTGCCCTCCCCCTTTTTTTTTCTTGAGCTAGATTTCTGGAACAAATTTCTTTCATCTGGTATTTTTCATCCTTAAATTTTATTCTCTGTCCTCTTTCATGAACTTCCATTTTATGCCCAATATTGCAAGGCACTAAAAACCACCAACCTTTGCAAACCAAAATGATTGTTCACTTCTGGGGTCTGGCCAATCACTGGATGAAGGAAAGTGTTCCGTCTTTCATTATGACTAGGGAAAAAACAAAGAGAAATAGACAAGGCATTAATGATGTGGCTCATATGGAAATGTAACTTGCCTTTGGTGGATAATTAATTAAGAGAGAATATGTATTTTTCAAGGGAGTTGCAAGATTAATACTAATGTACATCTCTTTTTTTAAAAAAACAATAACAAAAACCTTCATCTTACTACTATAGTATCAGGAGAACCTGTAACAAGATTTCTGCCAATAAGAATGGTAGAATCACATTTGCCACACTTTGCAACAAAATGTTGTACATCTTTCTTCAGAAATGATTCAAACATAAGGTCTTCCATATTGGAGGCAATGCAAGGAGGATTGTACAAGCAAAGCATACTGTGCTTATTTTCATCACAGTAACTGATGGTTCACTAAAAAGAAATGACCCCCTAACTTACTTTGTCCACTGCTTCTTATTTCTAGTCGTCCCTAAGCACATTCCTGGTAAGAGTTGAATCTACACAGAATTGTCTTAAAACAATATCCACAATGTATCAGCACCGCCAAGATTCTTAAATCCCATTATATAAGCCAGAAGGGTTGCATTTGTTTCTCATGTAGAAGATTTATTTCTGAAAAACAACAGTACAAAACTCTCTTGTTGCCAGGGCCATAGAGAACACTGTCCCAATACAGATAGGGATCAAAAACAGTTTTTCTGTCTTTAATCAACTTGTTTAACACATTACAAAGACACCTATTCACTAATTTGCCTTCATGTGCCGTGGTAAATCGCATCATATCCAATGGATATTATCCATACCAAAAAGATGCTACTTAAAGACTTTAATTTTCTACTTTGAAAGAAAGTGAGACTGATAGGAATTAAAAATGTCCTGACAGACCATTCTCCCCACCTATATGTGCATCTCCTCAGAGTTTCTTCTGGGAAGCCAGCTTCTCCTTATGAATACTACAGGCTGTAAAGAGCTCAGCTGGAACTTTTCATTCCTGTCCTTCCATATTTTCAACTTTTCTTTCTACAGAAAACTCAGCGTTCCACAGCCCCTGAGCCTATTCCATCCCTTTGAAATGCAGGTAGACCTCAACTAACAAACCACAATTGAACCCCAAATTTATGTTGCTAAGTGAGAAATTTGTTAAGTGAGTTTTGCCCCATTTTACAACCTTTCTTGCCATACTTGTTTAGTGAATCACTGCAGTTGTTAAATTAGTAACTTGGTTGTTAAATGAATCTGGCTTCCTCATTGACTTTGCTTGTCAGAAGGTCACAAAAAGGGATCACATGATTCTGGGACACTGCAACTGTCATAAATATGGCTCAGTTGCCAAGCATCTGAATTTTGATCACATGACATGGGGATGCTTCAATTTATGACCATTTTTCAGTGTGAAAAATGGTCATAAATTACTTTTTTCAGTATCACTATAACTTTGAATGGTCACTAAATGAACATTTTTTGGTGGTGGGAGGCCTCATTTTTTTCATACCCTTTTTTTTTAATAAATATTATTCCCTACTAAAAGAACTGAGAATTTTAGACTGCTGTATGGTCAGTTGTGATGTATGCTACTCCACTGTAGCTTCCATAGTAAGTTGACTATGAGTACATCTTGGTGATTTAAATTAGTCTGCCTTGATCTGTTTAGAGTTACTAATCCAGTGTATAGACAAGTCCTAGCCATTACTCCTATCAGAAATGATTTTACATCCTCCAGCCTACTCTTCATCCATAAAAAAATTTGCACCTTTAGAACATTTCCTGGAAACTGCTGAATTTTGAAAAGATAAGCAATCGCAGTAATAATCTTATACAGTTTTCAGTCTCAGTGGAAATTTTGCTATAATGATCTAACAAAAGCAACATCTATACTGATGGCTGTAATGAAATAGAAAATACAGATTGGATGAGACTTGGCTCAAAAACAGTGACTGTGAGAGGGACCTTGGAGTACTAGTGGACGATCACTTGTCTATGTGCAGCAGCAACCACAAAAGCTAACAAAATCCTGGGTTGTATAAACAGAGGCATAGAATCAAGATCATAAGAAATACTATTACCGTTTTATAAAGCCCTAGTAAGATCACACCTAGAATACTGCAGCCAATTTTGGTCACCATATCACAAAAAAGTTGTTGAGAGTTTGGAAAAAATTCAAAGAAGAGCAACTAAGATGAACAGGGGCCTGGAGACTAAAACATACAAAGAACGGCTACGGGATTTGGGTCTGGCTAGTCTAAGGAAAAGAAGAAATAGGGGAAACATGACAGCAGTGTTCCAGTATCTGAGGGGCTGCTACAAGGCAGAGGGGGTGAGGTTGTTCACCAAAGTACCAGATGGAAGGACAAGAAACAACGGTTGGAAACTGACCAAATAGAGAAGCAAGGAGAAATTTCCTAACAGTGAGGACAATCAACCAGTGGAACAGCTTACCCCCAGAAATTTGGGTGTTCCATCACTGGAGATTTTTAAGAAGAGACTGGACATCTACCTATCTGAGATGATATAGGTTCTCCTACTTGAGCAGGGGGCTGGACTAGAAGACCTCCAAGGTCCCTTCCACCTTTATTCTATTCTAAAACTGTACTCATAATATATCAATATGGACACAAATCATGACTTTGGCATCCAGCAGTTTTTGCCTTACCTAGCTAAAAGTTGTTTACAGGCCCAAGGCTGCTACACACAAATATCTATCACCACTAACAATAAAAGCATTTTTTAAATAGCTGCTGTGATTTAATTAGAAACATAATCATTTCATATCGTAAGTCCATAGTATATTAAAGTTGTAGGAGAATAATAACACAGTCATGTGTTGCTGTTTTAAGCAAGCTCATTAATGAGACATTAGAAACCATGCAACCTGTTTTTGATAGCTCCTTAATGATTATCGTGGCCATCATTTCTTGACAGAGATCTGAAAACAATATTTTGAAATTTCCAAATAGTTTTAATATATTCCTATCCCCATCACAACCCATGCACAAATAAGAGCCTTTTATATATGCCATTTCTCCATCGTCTCTGGAACTATATGTAGCAGACTATTTTAGTATAGAAAGTTGATGCTCCACTGATTTCAGAGAGATATCTGGCTATTTCATGGCATCTTGTATAGAGTCAACAATTTAAAATTATTACCATAGCATGCAAATGATCAGGAGAAATTTTGGATCATATCACCTCAAACTCTTCTTCAACTATAATGGTAGGTGAGAATGACCTTGAGGAAAGCCACAGACTTAGCAACAATAAAAACAAGAGGTGGCTGAGTCTACAAAAGGAATGGAGTTGTGGCAAAACTCTCAGAAGGGAACCCTCCTAATTTCTCGGACTGTAAAGGTGAGATAGGAGAGGGAGTTGTACTTTCAGACCTGCAACATTCTGTTAATGGAACTTTACAATAAATACAGAGTTCATACTTGTGGGTTTGCTTCTTGTCTGGACTACCTCACAAGGCTGATATTACAGGAAGTAAATAATAGTATGTGCACTGAGTTAATCCATGAAAGAAGCAGATATAGAATATTTCTCTTCCTGGTTGTTTTTGTTTTTAAGAAAAATCTGGGGAACATTTTAAATAAGGAATGCAGAGTCTATAATAGCACAATTGAGGATTTTCCCATTTCAGTATAATGCCTAAATCCATATCATGTGTAGAAAGGCATTCAGCTGAGATCCCTGCAATATAATACCTACTCCACATAAAATTGTACTTTTATAGTTGAGGCATACTGACTGAAACAAAACTATTAAATTACAGCAGCCAAAACAAATCAAGCCATCAGTGCTCTGTGATGTGCCTTTCCGGATGCAGATTTTAATTAGAATACATTATGTTATCTTGGCCTGCTGAGCTTTATTAGTTTTATGTTTACAAAAAGCAGGCTGTAGTTTCCTGCGTGCGCACAAAGATAAACAAGTTTTAATGCCTTGTGACAGACCAAATTACAATTTTAACCCCATTTCATGGATTAAATGAACATATAGCATGATCAATCTGACATATGAATGGCACTAGTACAAATGTCTAGCTTTCTTGTCCTGGTGTACAACATGTTATGCAACCTCTTTTATTTATTCTGTTCTCTCTCAGAGCCTGGTATGAATGTTTTTATGGAAGGAGCATTGAAGATCCCCAAAATAGGCAGTAAACTACTCCAGAAATTGCACATGGCCAAGTATAATGGCCATACTGGGTATGAATGATGTACACTGTACTGAATGTTTGGTCTGGGTTTCCTTCCCAATAAATATGAAATACTTGTGAGAGAAACCAAAACTGTAAGACATGGGATTGTGGGATGTTCATAAGATCAGAATGACAGAATTTGGATGCAGAAAAAATATGGCCAATTTGTTCAGACTGTGCTAATTTATTCCCTCTCGTTAAACAGCTTGGGAAGAACCTAGCCAGGTAAGAATGGCTCTTGCTTTTGCTGTAGAGAGTTTCTTTAACTCAGGTTGAAGAACTTACCAAATCCCCATATTTAAATCAAACTTTCCATATTTGGTCCTTATCCCTTCTTATTAAGTGTGGCTTTACATTCAGGGAAACTGGAATGTTTACTATAAAACAGTCTTTGTATATTGTATTAAATCTGATGTAAAAAAAATCAACTACAACACTTTCCCCATTTTTCCCCCAAATTAGCAATATTTACCTAAATGCAAAGTCAGCAGAAATCTGAGAGGTTATATAATTGTATAATATATAATTGTAGCAAAACTTTTGTAGCATGCTTTGTTTTATCAGGATTTTTCAGAATTGCTTTTTATATGCACTAGAAGGGTTTTGAAAACAAATGGCATTTCCTCAACAATTATGCATTGGGATAGTGTACAGAGGTAGATCAAGCAAGTCTTTGTATGTATTCTTGCCCCCATGTCCAAGGAAACAACAGCTCTTTTGGACAAGGCTACTATTTATGAGTTGTAAAAACACAGATGATTACTAGATGGTAATAAAGAGGCACAAATGTTCTGCTGTCATTTAGTGTTTGCCTGAATATTATATCCAA